GACTATTAAGACCCCTGTAGTAGTGCTGTACCCCCAAACCTAGTTCTAACTATTAAGACCCCTATAGTAGTGCTGTACCCCCAAACCTAGTTCTAACTATTAAGACCCCTGTAGTAGTGCTGTACCCCAAACCTAGTTCTAACTATTAAGATCCCTGTAGTAGTGCTGCACCCCCAAACCTAGCTCCAACTATTAAGACCCCTGTAGTAGTGCTGTACCCCCAAACCTAATTCTATCTATTAAGACCCCTGTAGTAGTGCTGTACCCCCCAACCTAATTCTAACTATTAAGACCCCTGTAGTAAGTAGTAGTCCCAGGTGCCGTCCCATCACACCGGAGCTTTGCCCCCTGGGCGCGCACGGGAGACGACATGCCCTTGACCCTTGAGGTGTCCTTCGCGGGCATACCACCAGCTGCTTGGAGAAACATTGCTCAAGCACCAAGCCCTGACCCAAGTAATTAAACCCTAAACTGTAAGCCCTTGTCTGCCTTGCGCGAGTGTGTGAGTCGAAACCGTAAGCCCTGGAGTTTTCAACGGACCTCTATGAGGAAATCCGAAGAAGGAGTTCTAAGAAGGTAGGTTACGGACAACCCCCAGTGAAACCTGCCAGGAGCTTATGAGCTTGAGTAATATAGGGGCCTTAATAATTAGAATAGGGTTCCTTTTAAAGGGATCCTCAAAAAGGGGTCTATAAGGGATCTCTAGTAGGGTTCTATGATATAGGGGCCTTAATAATTAGAATAGGGTTTTGGGGTAGATTCTATCATATACTATAGTTATAGCAAGGAACCACCAAAACAGTATAGGTAATTATTTAGGCTCCTATACTATGCTCGAAACCTCAAATGGCTTTGGATTTCAGGGATAGGGCCTCTGACAGTCTGAATCACCCTATGAACCCTGATAAGTGTAGGTTTACGTTTAGGTTTAAAGTTTAGGGACGCATGATGTCATAGTGAAGAAAATTCACAGGCCTTTCCAATGAAGGCGTACTTATGGAGGGAACTGCAGCCAGCTCCTTAGGCCGAATCCTGGCACAAGCAGTTCGATGCTGGCCAAGCACTGAAAATAGCAGTTTCATCCCTATCAAGGCGACTGGATGTTACCCACCTGGTCTAGAAACAGGTGACCCGAACAACTAGAGCTGAGCTACCTCCGCACATGCTGCTGCGCAAGGTCTGGATTCCATTGCCACGAAGTCTTAATTTCCGTCAGCACAACATTCCGGTGCGCGCCACGCAGGCGACATGCTGTTGAGATGTGTGTGACTGCAGCTCGGTAGACGACGCTTTATGTGCATTTTGGGGCTGAGGGTTCAACGGCCATTTCCGTTGGGATTGCGCATGCGACGACTTGAGCCAAGTTTATTTATGCATGAGCCCTATGCCGGGTTTTACTAAGTCTCGGGGCAACACAGGGGCCGGAATGACTAGTTATATAATCCCTTCCCCTAATATTAAAGAGTTCCCCCTCCTCCCTTCATATAAAATTTGGATTTCGGGGCTGGAGTTTTTCTGTTACGGGGTCTCCGGGCATCCGGGTATGAGTCGGATCGAGAGTAATATAATGAACCATGCCCATCACGCAGCCGTTCCGGCTGTAGAGCAGACAGTCCCGCCCTAAGCACTAAACCTTGAGCCCTAAACCCTGAAGCCCCAAGGCCCTAAAGCCGTAAGCCCCTAAACCCCAAAGCCCTGGTCCTTTCGGTTTAGTACTGCTGTAGTCTTGGCTTTATTAAATCTAGTATAAAACTAGTATAAAACTAAAACAATATTCCCCCCCCCCCCGCCCTATGAAAAAATCAATTTTCAATTGTGGGCCCGAAACCGCGAAACTCCGGGAGCCCGAAGTTTTTATATTAGCGGGGGGGGGGCTTTCATGTTAGGGGGAAGCGATTATATACATATGTCCCGCTGCAGTTTTCACATAGATTTAATAATCAAACCCTGTTCTACCCCTTGAAGCTTTATACAGTCCCAGTATTGTCCTTCTTCTTGTTATCATTTGTGAAATTAATCTGATATGATGGTTGTTCTGTAATATACCCCAGAACCCTATTCAGGCATTGGAGCATGGTATGACCCTAGTAATGTAGGAGCCCACGAGTTTCTTACTATACTTGTTATCGAGCGTTTAGGTGCCAATACAGTATGTACTGTGGCCCTATGTACCTATTTAAGGATTATACCTTAAAGCCTAAGTATGTGCGATCAGAGTACATGGGTGGTTGTCAAAATTATGGTCCCTTCTGGGTACCCTAAATAATAGGTGCCGTATTACTATTAAGGACCCAAAAAGGGACCCTAAGTTTGACAACCACCCACATGGACACTTACAGGGCTTGCTTTGAATCTGAGTCTCCCGTACAAGTCATCTCCGGGCTGCTTTTGCACGTACGGAGCTTTTATGAGCACGCTTTCAACATTCTGAATACTTAGTAGCTGGGTGGATACACTGTACACTTTTTGGGTTAATATTACCCACTATAAAACTGAAAGTGTGCACTTTTTGGGGGCTTATGAACTCAGCAACTAAGAATATATGTCTCCAAGGTAGGTGTTAGTGGGTACAGGGGATCTGGATCCCCACACGTTTGCAAGAAGGAGCTCTTCGTCAGTCCTCGCCACGGCGTTGCATCGAAAGGAGGTGCTGACCTCACGCCGCCTTGTCCCAATTGGCAGTCGGGCAAAGTGGGTTCTTATTAAGGGACTTCATTTCATTTACGAAAGTATGGAAACCTTATTAACTATTTACTATAGATCCCTATTATAGTATCTTAATTTCAACCCTTGACAAGAGACCAGCAAAGCGCTCCAACAGCCCGAACCCGCAACCTCAGCCCCCTATGCTAGGAACTCCAGAGGAAGGGCCCCAAACCCCACACTCCAAGAGCTGGTTTGGGTGTACTATAAACCCCAAACCGTGAATTATGGGAGACGAGGGAAGTCGACATCGACTCTAAAGTACCCTACTTGGAGGTTCATGGGCAGTTATAATTGGGGCCACTATACTTATTTCTCCGATAAGGGGACTTATAACCCCACTTATAACTACCCAGAAACCTCCAAGTACCGAAACCCTAAACCCTAAACCCTTGCCTGTGAATCGCCACAAGCTTGAAGTAGATAGTTGACGACCCGAACGCAGAGACCTCCTCTGGCTTGTCCGAGTTGCGAGGGCGCAAAACCCTTGCCTGCCTAGTCCGAGTGCGAGTGTCACAAAAAGAAACCCATCGACTCCAAAGGGGAACCCTAGGGATCTAAGGACCCATACATTAAGGCCTTTGGGCCCAAAGACCATACTATATAAGGGTTTTGGGCTATTTTGATCCCTGTGGGAAGAAGGGCCCTGGTTTGACGACAGCTGAGGCTTACTGGCAATGGCTTCGTCTTCCCAACGGCATCCCGACAAAATCTACAAGTTTAGGAGTTTAGGAACTTCCCTGAAAACCCTGAACCCTTTACATTTTTAGGAGTTAGGAACTCCCCTGAAAACCCTGAACCTAAACCCTCAAGACTACTGGGCCCCCTTAGGGATTAGACCATAGACTTCAAGGGCTCACAGCCCCACGGGGATTAAAGCAGAAGTTTCATCATAAGCTACTAACAGCCCACCGTGCTGAAGGCCTAAGTCAGACAGTTGTACCGATATTTGCAGAGCTTGGGCCTCAGGGCTCCTATCTGCAAGCTGGGCTTCAAGTGGTCAGACTGTTCTTGCAGCCAGACCTGAAACCGTAAACGTGTAGGAAAAGAACAGTCAAATTCAAAAGCAAGCCACGAACTGCAGAAGGTTTATGACTCCGCGAGGAAGATCAAACTTTCAACGCTTCCAAGAGTTGGTGGGGCGATCCCCGTCCTGCGATCCCTCTGCCTAGTTCTCCAGACACAGGGTTTGGTTTTCGGGGATTTGGAGGTCCGGGTCTTCGTTTTCGTGTGTTTTTTACCTGGGTGATAGAATACCTACTTTCTATTTGTGGATACTTTGGACACTTTGGGTTTTGTGTTTTAGAGGAGGGTTGGATTTTGGGGTTTGCAGCCGGAGCTCGGGTTTGCGGTTCCGGTGTTCGGTTCATGGGCCTATTAAACCCTGAACCCTGATGCTAAACCCGAAACTCCAAAACCCCAAATCCTGAATTTGATGGTGTTATGAGGTGAATTCATCCTTGGCGGGATGTGTCTTCGGCCGCTCTTTCTTCTCCATTGCGGCCTCTTGTCTCCCGAATGGATGCATGTAGTATGTGTGGATGAATAGCCAATATTCATATATTATGAAGTATGGGAAAATGATTATTGATGATTATTGAGAATAACAATAGTGATAAGAATAGTTCTAACACGACTCATGTTGCGAATCATAATAAAAGCAAACACCATCCGTTGTAAACCTCACAGCAGTACTAGTATACTAACAATGATGATAACATTCGGCCCCGATAGCAAGGTGTGCGTGTCTTCGTTCGGCCCATCAGGCAATGCCTGGGACCTGAAATCAATGTTCTTTTTTCTCAGAGGCTTTAGGAAGGCAGGGTTACCCAGAGAGCCCAATGCCCCTTCACTAAGGACGGTATATCCTTTGGGTAAGGGGCTCGGTGGTGGTCGGAAGGGAAGAGGTGTGTATGATATTGTCTGCTTGCATGGTGCATACCTTCGTGAGGGGATATTCTCTCTCTCTCTCTCTCTCTCTCTCTCTCTCTCTCTCTCTCTCTCTCTCTCTCTCTCTCTCTCTCTCCCTAAACCCTAAACCCTCTCTCTCTCTCTCTCTCTCTCTCTCTCCCTCTCCGTCAAGCATCCCTGTCGTCGCATAAGACGTTGTGCGAGAGGAGAGGAGCTGATGGCTTCATGCGGCGCTCTATACATCCCCAAACTCTAGACTCCGTCTGCGGGAGTATCTTTCGGGCTCCGGGCGGCTTGTTCCAGCTTTTGCAGTGGTCAGGGCCAAGAAATGCCAAGAAGGATTCCGGTTGTTTTGACACCCAGACTGATCTAGCCCGGTCGGCCTCATGCATTTGTCGTACTTTGTGTTGCTGCTAACCTTTCGAGCCATCCAAGAAGCTCAAGAGTGTCCGCAAAGGACGCTTCATCCATGCGGTGTGTCTGAGACAGGCTCTAGACTATTCCTGTGGGGTCCTTATTATAAGTATACAATAATAATATACCCCAAAACTTGATTCTCATTATGAAGGCCCCGGTATTAGATGAAACCCTGCTCCGAATCCTGAGCCAAAAGATGCTTATTCTAACCCTATTCTAAGTATCCGGGCCCCTACATTATAGAACCCTACTATAGATCCCTTATAGCACCCCTTTTAAAGCAAAGGTGGTCAGCAGTCCCAGCACCATGATGTGCCGCGCCCCGCCGCTGGCAAGCATAACGATGGCCGAACCTCCTGTCGACGCCTCTCGGCAGCTCTATACGAGTAGTTGTCAAAACTAGGGTCCCTTTTTGGATGCTTAATTTAATAATACGGCACCTAATATTTAGGGTACCCAAAAAGGGACCCTAATTTTGACAACCACCCATACAAGGCCTTGACGAGTCTATTTTGTTGGCAGCGAGCCACCCGAACCCAACAACACCTCCCAACTGAATGTGAAGCTTGGTCCAAAACCCCAAGGCCTAACCCCTGAGCCCCGAGACTGCTTCCTCCTGTTGCAAGCTGCCGGCCGGGGCTTCAAAATACAGGCTTCAGGCACTATGGAGTGCATTATTACAGGGTTTCGATTGTGAGAACAGGATTGACTGAATCGAATAGGTTCAAGGTCCTTTGGCCGTTATTGAAATTGCATATCTACCTACACACACCATGCGACACATGCATGGCTCAATAGCTGTGGTCTTGAACAGCCCCAAAGATTCTCCAGTGCTTAGGTTAAGGCTGTGGGGACCTGCAGTCATAAACGCTAAACGCCAATCAAGTCGACACGCCTGCAAGGCCAACATTGACCACCTGAAGCCATAAACCTATACGCATCTGAATAAACCTAAACCCCCAAACCCGCTATGTGTTGAAGCCATCTTAGGTAAAACTTGTGATGATTTGCCGAAGCTCCCCGAGAACGTGCTTCACTCAACAGACTCCGAACCACATGCCTCGCCTGGATAGTCCGAGCATGAGCGCCGAAACCCTACTGTAAACCTTAAACCCTAAACCCTTAAACCCTAAACCCTAAAATACCTTAAACCCCAAACCCTAAACGCCTCGCCTGGATTGTCCGAGTGTGAGCGCCGAAACCGTGATGTTCTGAGGTGACCGTCGATCTCAGCTTCGATGGAGGGCAGACCATGACGAGACTTCGATCGCGGTAGGATTTCGGGACTCTCCGGGCCTGCTTAGCTTAGGGTTTAGGGTTAGGGGCTACCGATTTTGTGGGCGCTGGCCGGCACCTCAGTCCGTGCTGAAAAGGGGCTACCGATAGTATGACTTAGGGTCTTTTTAGAGTATAGCGCAATCTGCCCCCAAAAGCTTGTTCTAAGTCTTTGAGGCCTTCTTTCTATCAGGGGTGTGAGGTTGAAGCCAGTTCCACCAGCTAGAGTTTGTGGTGAGAGTGTTAGAAGTCTGCAACAGTCAAGTCTGAGGGTTTGGTTAAAGGTGAGGGGTTCTGTCTGTGAAGCTTTTGCCACCCTGAACCTGGAGGCGTGTAAAATTCAGGTGCTAGAGTCCACTCCCACAAATAATCCCCTGCCAACTTAGTGTACAGCCCTCAGAAGAAGTGGTTGGTTGCAACCACACGAGGGTTAATATAGAGGCCGGAAAAATTAAGCACCAGTATTGCCCAGTGGCGTTCCTCATTATGACATCACTCCATCATGCTCCTGAGCCCTGCTCTTATCATTAAAGCACTTACATTACTAATTGAAGTTCTTTCGCGGTTTTAAACCATAGACTCTACACCGCGCGATGCGCGGACCTTTGCTGCCATTTCTTTCGAGGTTCTCCTCGGGCTTTCTTCCGTTTATGAGCACTACTTGGAGGTTCATGGGTAGTCATAAGTGGGGTTATAAGTCCCCTGATAGGAGTTATATTAGTAGTTCCCTACTTATAAGCCCCATTATTATAATTACCCATGAACCTCCAAGTAGAACCGCAAGCGTTTCTACATGTGCATGCTTTCACGTAATATGACTCTCATGCGTTATGAAGCATGTTGTGTTTACTGTGCTTCCAAGCGAATTGCATAGCCTTTGACTTCCACTGTCCAACTGTCGGACGTCTGCAGCCACGGAGCATCCCAGAAGCCCAAATTCTTACAGAGTAAGAGTGTTCAAGGGAATGCATGCTTTCGTGAAGCAGCAGTAGGACGTTAAAATCATCTCGGACATTGGCACGCTTTGTCCTCATGTCCTACAGTAGAAGCCAGAAAGTTGGAATATGATTATCCTAACCCTTCTATGGTAAATTATAAGGTACCCTACCATTAATCCATATTCCAACTTTCTGGAGTTCCCTTTTACGGCCTGGGCCAACAATCAGGGGCCTCAAAAGGCAGGATGAAGGTAGCTGGGGTAGCCCCTGGGATCCTTGATCCTACCTTAGGGGTACTTAGACATAACCTTTAATATTTTGGTTATTATAATCCCCAAGAAACAGCTAAAATCATAATTTTTGCTAGGGTTCTAAGTTCAGTATAGCTACCTGCCTTCATCCCACCTGTTGAGGCCTTCATAACAAGCGTGAAACTGCGCAATTCAGCCCGGACGAGGAACCTCAACAACTTCTACAGCTACCTTCGGGACTTCGAGTTCAGCGGCATCATCCCGTCGGGCGGACTTTTCAGCATCTTTTAAGCACTGGGCTTTGATTACTATAGGGGCCTAAATCATTGCCAATATTATTGTGGGGGCACCTTATTGTGATATAAGTATAATACCCCCCCAAACCCTATTCTAACTATTTAGGCCCGTATAATCGGTCTTCGATGTCTTTCAGAAACTGCATTCACAGTCCCGGTCGCTTCTGCTCTTGGTAACGAAGCTTAGAGGCGTAGAGTTTAGTGCACGTGAGCTTCACACCCTCTTAGGCGGGCAACAGAGTTGCCGGTGACACTATCGCTTTGCAGTATTACCATCAGGCCTGCGCTAGCGCCATTTCTTACGGCATGCAGCCGGCAGTTGGAGCAGTCTACATGGGAGGCAGAGAGGCTGACAAAATGCAGGTCATGGTATACGACTCTAAGTCACCAGTCTCGTGAGTTTTTCACGACCAGAAACAATCAACCCATGTTCTCGAACAATCCCATGTTCCACGGCTTTGAACAGAGGGGTGCTATGCATGTTTATAATGCAGCCATCGTATGTTTCCATTTCATACTATGAGCCTAGAAGCTGTTTCGGGGTATGAAGTATGCGAGCGGTTTGTGCATGTTATGTCTGCCCAGGCTCACTGACGCAGGCGACACTGTCCGGCAAAAACTTCCGAAGGACACCGAATCTGTATCTGCAGTTTGGCGAGAAGAAGGCACTTGGGGCTCAGATTTGGATGCTCGGGTCTTGAAGGAGCTTCAGAGTGGCTTGTTGGTACAGCATCAGTGTAAATTTCTGGGTCTGCTGCCTGGCAGGGGTTGCTGTTGCAGCATCGATGCTATCTAGCACCGCCATCCTCATCACCTCAACCACCACGATCATCATCACTTGCATAGTCGCCAAGCGCCAGTGTTGTCATGATCGTCGTTGTCATGTTGTCCGTCGAGAACCTCAGCATCAGTTCCACAACCATCACCGCCATCACCAGCATCGTCACCAGAACCGTTTGTCATCTCGATGATGATGCATCGAGATCAAGATCATGAACACATATTCAAGATCATCATCCCCAGCAGTTCTTGTTATCATCTCGACATCTCAAACATCAGCAGAAACAGGAATATGAGCTCAGCACTCGCACCGTTCCCGTCCTACTTAATCATCATCGCTGGCGTGAAGAAATTTGAACACCATGGATTTTACCGGAGGGGCACACTTCAAGTTGTGCGGCCAGTATCAAGGTTTAGTGGTTCGGTGCTTCTGTGTCTGTCATCATCAACCAAGCGGCTTACTGAAGTGTAACCTTGGGCCATCAAGCCAATAACGAGCAGCCAGCATGCTAGTTTGCATCATGTTCTGTTCATGCAAAACATTGTTCTACTACCCTATTGCTATAGTACTATGTAGTGACTTTGACCAGAACGATTGGTTCATGTGGTTCTCATTCTAGTAATCATGGCGTCTGTTTTCCCTAAACCGCTAATCGAGGCGCCTAAATAATTGCCAATACTATTCTGGGGGTTCCTTGTTACACTTATAGTATACTGGGCCCCAAATCCTTGGTCTAATGATTCAGGCCCCTATGATAACCCTAAACCCCCTGCTCTTCAACTTCAGGCCATGTGGTCTGACAGTTCAGAAAGAGGAACTGGGAAGGGTGAGGGGGAAGGAAGTGGAAAACGGAAGCGGAAACCCCCAAAACCTTAACTGGACCCTCAAAAATCTAAGGCCCTTCACTAGAAGCCCAGCAGCCCCACACCAGCCTTTACAGAAACCACGCCAACCATGGAGTCACCCCTCCCGTAATTTTCATAACTCTTCTAGGAGCCCATAAAAAAGCTCTTATAATCTATTTTGTAAGCCTTGCAGGAGCCCTTATAAGAATCGTTGTGGGAAGCCCTTACAGGAACCCTTATAACCCTTAAAGCCTTAAACAGAAGCCTACATACCCTTAAGCCTCAAAGGAACCCTTATAGGAACCCGGCGCCAGGCTTCCGCGGCCTTGGCCAATGCAGAGAGCCTTCGTACGATCGCCCCAATCCAAGACGAAGCAGGCCTTCGTCAATGTTGTAGGCTTTGGTTTTTGGGTTACTTTAGGGTTTGTTGTGCGTTAGGAGCTTGGGATTTAGGGCTGTTTTCTTCTAGTGATGCTTGGTGGGTGTCTCTCTAGCCAGGTCAGTCGAAACTGCGAGGTGAAGTTTTCACGGCTTAGGCATTAGAAAAGGGTTTCGGGGTATGTTATAGCATGACATAGCATGACCACAACAAGGAGGCGTCGGGAACAGCATCAGCTCTCTCACACACACCGAGTCGGATTGGCCATTACAAAAATAGCACCAAGCTGATAGCCTTAAGCCAAGCCCCGTGCTCTTGATCCTGCTTTCCGATGGCTGTTGTGCGTCCTAGTGCTGGTGTCTCCCTTGTCGTTGCTACCTATGCAGTCTATACAGATCTGTTGTGGTGTTGTACAAAGGTTTGCGTGTGTGTGTGTATATATGTATGTAGGAAACTTCGCCCGAATTGCTTCGAGCGCGAGTGCTGAAATTGCATGTATGTATGTGCACTCCACAGTGTTTTCGCTTACAGCCGGCCCTTGTGCAGGCTTGCTTATATTCTTCCCTCACGCTGCTACCAGGCACCTATCCGATCCTGTATTCGGTGGACAACCAGACCTTTGTACCGACTGGCCTCCTGGATGTTTTTGGGCCGTGGGCAGTTTAAATCATCGCGCTGGACCCTCTAATTAAGCCTGAAGCCCAAGCTAGACTTCCCGGAGCAAAACCCTATAAACCCGAAACCCCAAACCTTTCTTCGAGCGAGTGTGCGAGTCGAAACCCTTAGACCCCAAGCCCTAAACCCTTACAGCAAAATAGTGGTGAAGTAGAGCTGAAACACACCGGGCGTATCACTTAGGATTCTGCTATCATGGCTAGGCTCTAGTGCTCGGTTTGCAGGTGTTCCGGTGGCCGTTAGAGACCACAGGCTTGTTTATGAGACCCCTGCCGTAACGATCTATAGCCTTTCCGGGGGCTCCCCGGTGCCCTACACTCTACCCATAGGCTCCATGTTAGTTCCTTTTTGGGATGGCCTTATAGGGTTGTAAATTGAATCCCAAAAGGAATGAAGCCTATGCCAACGGGGGCGGAGGATAAACAAGTTTGCGCTTCTTGAACGGCACGCTCCAAAACCCCAAGCAGCCGTCAAATGCTCACGATGCCAAGCTGTAGCCCATCCTGACACTGAACTCCGTCCACTCCTTGCAGTGAGATAATATAGGGGCGTTCATGCTTACCTATACTATTTCGGTGGTTTCTTTCCAAAATTAAGGCCCCTACATGATACAAAGCTGAGGAACTATAGGGGCCTAAATACTTACCTGTACTATTTTGGGGCCCCAAAACCATATTCTAATTGCTTATAGGCACCTCGATTAAGCGAGTGTGCGAGTCGAAACCCTTAGACCCCAAGCCCTAAAACCCTTACAGCAAAATAGTGGTGAAGTAGAGCTGAAGCACACCGGGTGTATCAGTTAGGATTCCGCTATCATGGCTAGGATCGAACAATATTAAGATACCTTGATTATCGAGGCCGCTATATGACGCCTACAGGGGTTTAGGGTGTTATTGCCGGTTTGAGGCTCTAGTGCTCGGTTTGCATGTGTTCCGGTGGCCGTTAGAGACCACAGGCTTGTTTATGAGACCCCTGCCGTAACGATCTATAGCCTTTCCGGGGGCTCCCCCGTGCCCTACACTCTACCCATAGGCTCCATGGTAGTTCCTTTTTGGGATGGCCTTATAGGGTTGTAAATTGAATCCCAAAAGGAATGAAGCCCATGCCAACGGGGGCGGAGGATAAACAAGTTTGCGCTTCTTGAACGGCACGCTCCAAAACCCCAAGCAGCCGTCAAATGCTCACGATGCCAAGCTGTAGCCCATCCTGACACTGAACTCCGTCCACTCCTTGCAGTGAGATAATATAGGGGCGTTCATGCTTACCTATACTATTTTGGTGGTTTCTTTCTAAAATTAAGGCCCCTACATGATACAAAGCTGAGGAACTATAGGGGCCTAAATACTTACCTGTACTATTTTGGGGGCCCCAAAACCATATTCTAATTGCTTAGGCCCCTCTATCTCTAAACACCTAAAACCCTCAACCCTAAATCCTAAGCCCAAACCTATAATATAGTACCCTTATAGTAGCCCTTTAAAGGTAATTGCCCTCTGCCCTTGCAAGCAAGGCTTGTATTGGATCGCGTCTGCCACATCTCTCGCCGGGGGCCGAGTGACCGACTCCCCGAGCTCAAGACCCAAACGACTCAAACCGCAGAAACCCTAAACCCCATGTACCCAAATGGGAGTTTCCGAAAATTAGGGGTACCTGAATTTGGGGTCCTTATAATAAGAATCCTACTATTTAGGATACTATATTAGGGTCCCCTATTTTCGGAAACTCCCAAATAGTATATACTTTGGGCCCGATGTATCCATATAGGGAGTACTTTAAGGCCAAAGTATATACTATTTGGGAACATGGACCTTTAGGGTATTGGTGCAGGGCTGCTAACTACATAAACCCTTAAGCTCCCCTTAAGCACTAAAACCCTGAACCCCTAAATGAACCCTACAGGGCCCAAGTTCCTTCTCGGATCTTTCTTGGTTTCAATGCAAAAACCTCAGTATATGGGCAGGTAGTACAGGGGTCTGAACAGCTGGCAACAGATTTCTTTATGCATCGCTGTATGTTTAGAGCAGATTGCCACAGCACCGGTATTGCCCACGATGGCTTGTATACTACCACGAGTGCCACAGTCAAGCGCTGGAAAGTTTTAATTGATCTCCTCTTGTTGGAGGCCCTTGTTGTCTCTTAATATAGGGGCCTTCATAATTAGAACAGGGTTTTGGGGCCCGTTATTAATACTTTAGTTATAATTAGGAACCCCTACAATAACATCGGTAATTCTTAAGGCCCCTACATTACTCCCGAAGAGCCCGGGATTTTGAGGCTTTGGGGAGTTCATTAAGCACCGCCCCTCGCCCTGTGGGCGCAGCAGCACCGGGAGCTTTCCAGACTGTCCAGCGCTCATCCGGCAATTGCTGTGATCAGCGGTGAGACTGAATGGCTGACCCTCCCACTTAGACGAATAACAAAAGCCGCCTAAGACATCAAGATACCAACATATTCAAGTTAAATCACATACGTACACATAGACATGTTATACGTATTTTATGTGTGTGTATATATATATATATATATATATATCTATATGTGCATTTAGGTCATTTCGGTATACTTTCACTCTATTTTATTCCAACTTTGTAACTATTATTTGCTTATTCATATTTACACATATGGGAATCAGTGTATAACTCTATGTGTGTATGCATGCAATATGTGTGGGGAAGTATGTATGTGCGTCTGCACGTATGTAAATAGGGGTGTGTGTGTGTGTGTGTGCATGTGCTCATACAAAGTTAATTTCATGTTATTTCCACATGTCCAGGTACTCGCACACACACACGCACACACACACACACATATACATATATATACATACATACATACACACACATTATATATACATAAGAATGCAATGTAATGTAAGACAATGGAATGCCAAGGAATTCAATGCAGTGTAATGCAAATGCGATGCAATGCATGCATGTATGTATGGACTTATGTGTTTAAATACATATACACTTACGTAAACACCAAGTCGTTGTTGACATGTTGTAGGATTTAAGGTGTGAGTTTGGGATTCTGGCTTCAGCTTAGGTCCGCGCGATCATTCCCGACCGCGGATTCCGTGTTGGCGGGACCAATGCCACTTGGGCTCCTCCAAGCGAGCAGCGCTTATGGTTTAGGGCTTAGGGTTTAGGGATAATTACCCGGCAGTCGCACTCAGTCGCAAAGGCCTGGATGCAAAAGGGTTGAGGGTTCAGGGTGCTAAAGTCTGAAGCGCACATCCTGTAATGTAACCCGTTTTCGTCAACAGACTTCATGGACCTTGTGGTGAGGCGAGAGACAGCACACTATCGCATTTCTGGTCTCATCCACCCTTTGTTGTTTGAGGGCTTCGGGGTGCCCCGCAAGTCTGACCTACTGTAGTAAATGATTAGAGCACAGCTCAAACCCCACGAACTTTCGGCGTTGGGCCAATGCTTGTGTGCCTAAGAAGACTAGTGAGGCGGTTTGTGCCTCGGCTTCCTACAGTCAGCAGTTAGATGAGTCGTGAAGCTTGACAAGCTAAGCAGCTAAGCTGGTCCTCACATCTTGCCTAATTGGTAGACAGGACTTCTAGGTTCGGGTTTTAGACCATTTAGAGCTCAAAGCTTCAGGGTTTTGCCTGCTGCATGGAAAGCCCTTGGGTGCGTAAGCAGTCGGGATCAAAAGCTATTCCCTAAGGCTCCAAGTAGTGCTTGTTTATGGTTTCTTGTACCCATAAAGGCCCTAAAGTCCTATGATAGGGAGTACTTGGACCCTGTGGGATTTTCTTATGTTGCGTTTCATTCTCGCTTGCTGGCCACTAGGTGACCTTGGTGACTACTGGCTTGTACTGGCTGCCTTCGTTGGCTTGCGCAACTTGTGCCGCATGGGACCAGATTCTAGCGTCGTTGAGAAGCAGTCACAGTCTGAACCCTGATTATGAGAGTGTTCTAAGCGCCGTCTAGTACCCTATAGTACCTTGTTTAGTGCCCCCTGTAGAAAACCTTATAGTAGCCCTCAGTGGGCAACCTTGACCCTCCCTGTAACAACAAAGCAAGTCAAGGGATCAGCCGCCGTTGGCACAGTGTCCTATCGTAGCCCATGCGAAACCTCGAAACGTTTGTGCCCCTGACAGATGCCTGAAGTCCCAGCGCCACGGGCGCTGCTGGTTCTTCCCTCTGTCGTGTTTCCGTGGACAGTTAGCAGTACACCGTCGCGCTGTTCTTTTTCGTGTGGTCCCCTACGCACCCGCGAAGTGATTCCTGCTGGTTGGTCCCCCAAGCCCTGCGTAGAGTCTCATTGTTTTAAGGGTAACTAGGATCTGCAGTAGGCCCTTGTTCCCTTTTTGTAGGTGTCAGGTTCCCTTATAACCAAAAAGGGCACCCTTTTTATTCCTAGGCTACTCTTGGGTCTAGTTATATAACCAGTTTGTGGGATCCAAAATGGTAGTCCGAATGAGGAACTACAATGGAGACTACAGGCAGAATCTTATCGCCCTTGGCAGGTCTTTGGCTATGCCCCTGTGTCGGTCATCCCGGTCTACGATCCGGCTGACCCGAGCAACCCAAGACTCACGTGTTTAACGCCGCCTTGCGAGATTCTCGGCGTTGGATCCTGAAGCCTTGCTCTGCGATGCATGCAAGCTGGATGTAGTTATAGCCTGTCTGAGAGTCTTGAGAAAGGTATATGTACGTACCTCTAGAATCCCACGCCAGGCCTTTGCAATCCCCGAAGCACTAAACAGAAACCCTCAACCTGGTGTCCTCGAAGCCCTAAATGGCCATAAACCCTAAAGAGTCTTGCAAGGAAGGCTATGTATCTCGATGGCATCGGCCCGCAGGATACGGATGAGGATTGCTATGGCTTTGTGACGGTGCAGATGACCTTCAATGGTACCACGGCCAAGAGGGCCCGGGTTCGCGATGTGGTAAATCCGACTTCCGAAGCTTTAAGCTTGAACTCTAACTGCATTGCGAGCTTGATAAGCTCGGCCTGCGTGCACTGGCTTTCGGGTTTAGGGCTTACGCTTCAGTTTTGGGGGTGGCTTAGAATCTTAGGGTTTCGCAGGTTTAGTTATGGCCACGCATTATTGGGCATGAGGCCGGAATATGTTCGGCAACCTCAGCTACGAATACGAGACTTGGCCGCAGTGGAAATGCCCCTCTGAACCCCAAACACCCCAAACTCGTCTACAAACCTCATGAAGAACCACGCGAACTGACGGTGAAATTAATCCTCTTCGGAGTAATTGCATGTCTCTTGTTGCAAAGTTGCTAACAGAAACAGCGAGTCGCCGACCTGTGCAGCAGCGGCACGTCTCTTCAGGTGAAGATGCCGCAGGTCTTTTATGCTAGCCCCTTCCCTGCTGGTGGATTCAGTCGCTCGCTTTGCATTGAGCCTGAGATCTTTCCAAAAAGTAAACAGTGAGACCAGGCCAAACGCTTTAGCCTCTTAGCCGTTGTTGTGGAGGATTCTGTTGTCTTAAGCCATGCCTTGCCAACTGTAGATACCGGCAACTTGCTAGCTCCCCGACCCTGGGATGGTGGCCTGTCACCGGAAGTTTTCTAAGCTTTCGGGACGTTTAGGTTCAGCATGGTGTCTAAAGGATTTCGGGCGCAACGTTTCGGGGATTGGGGATGCACTGGTCCACGCCAGTTGGCCCAAGTCAGCATTCCAAGCGAGTAATGCTTGCTAAATGCACGTTAGGCGAGACCTGAAGCACCATTTCTTCAAGGTTGATGTGAGCCCCGAGACCCTAAGCCTGGCAAACCTCAACCTAGCTCGAAGCTCGAGTCTTTACCCCAGCATCACAGACCCTGAACAGCCATAGAGTGCCCCGGGTAGCAACATCACAGGAATATACGCCTCGCATCGAGCAGCACGTAGTGACATGAGTACACCGCATTGCGCCGAAACCCCGAAAACCATGTTGCCAAAGGCTTGAGGTTGTAAGGGTTTAGGTTTAGGATTTAGGGTTGAGCTAGGCCCTGATTTGCCACTGTGTCTCGCCGCAGACAACGAAGTGACCATCGCGCTTTTCGGAGAGAACTTCCAGGATCGCATCTCCTTGAGGGCTTTGCCTTAACTCCGAGGGACTAAAGACACATCAGGTCAGCCCTATGTGGAAGTACATGGTCGCACGTGCTTTCTGAAGGTTTGTCGGCTGCACAGCGCATTTCAAAACCCGACGAAATCGAGTCTTTCATGTCTTAGTATGTTTCAAGACAAGACTATATTCTGTCACAATGTACTGTATTCTGCCATAATAATGTACTAGTGTGCAGTCTAGTTTGCTTTATGCTTTAAAATGCTTGAAAATCCCCTGACAGCTGATAACACGGAATCCTGAAGCCACAGTATACGATGTAATCCCTATAAACTTCTAGAGCCCTGGAAGTCTGAACTGCCCTCGGAGGGTTCCCTTAGAGCGGGTTCTAGACTGGATTTTTTGAGGGTTCTGTGATGTAGGGGCCTTAGTACTTAGAAAAGGTTTGTGGGGGCCACTATACTGTATGGAATTCTATAACGAACTCCAAAAATAGTACGCTAAACCCTACACCTACACCCGTCTAAGCCCTAAACCCGGAGCCAACAAGCCGAATTCCAAACCCCAGCGCCCTAATCCAGGTCAAACCCAACATCCTCGATGTATGTGTGTGTGTGTCTGCACATATGTATATATGCATATCTGTATATATGTGCGTCTGCTTTATATAATAAAAATCTAAACAGACAAATAAATAAATAAATATATATATATATATGGACATACATACTGCTAGGAGCCCATGTGGTGCCGTTGGTGGAACTTGGCGGCTTGGCGGCATGAGTGGGGAATCGGGCTAGGTACAGGTAGCGAGATGGACATAGTTTTTGCCCATTAGCGTGTACGTGTATGTAAACCTATAACGACAAAAGAAGGAGTGTCATGGGTGCAAAAAGATATGTAAGTTCATGTACTAGGTGGACAGAGTGATTGGTTGCTTGACTGATGGGTTGCTAGCCTAGCTAGCGAACTAGTGAGTGAGTGACTGAGTGGGTGGGAGTGGATGAGTGGATGGAGTGGGTGGAGGGGTGAGTGAGTGGGTGAGTGAGGTGAGGTGAAGACATGCACCCTCAGCCCTCCTCTTGAAGCTTCCACACAGTTTTTGTGTTTTCATGCGTAGACTCTACATTTATACCAGTGTATACCTTTTCGTTGTGTATCCATACTTGCTAGTCGACTAGATGAGCTGGTCTAGGGTTTCGGGTGTAAGTTTGCGTGGACATAAAGATGTGTACACATATGTTCGTTATGCACGTGTATCTAGGCACATATTCTCTCCCCCGATCCATTTATCTACCTGTCTGTCTGTTCGTTTGTCTGTTTGTCTGTTTGTCTGTTTGTCTGTCTGTTTGTCTGTCTGTCTGTCTGTCTGTCTGTCGATCCGTCTCTTTGTCTGTCTATCTCACCTTTATATATATATATATATATATATGTATACATGTATATATATATATATATATATATGATATGTTGCACCCATACCCATATCTAAGTATGTATGCATGCATATACAAATGTATGCATAAGTATTGTAGACGGTGACATAAGCAGATAGATGGATCCAGCAAGGCATGCATCTTTTTCCATCCTCCAGCATGGAAGATGGGATGGTTCTGGAAACTAGAAGTTGGCGATCTTTCCACCTGACGTGCACGGGATTCCACACGACACGCTAGCTAGTTTGACTTCCTTGAGACCCTACGCTTGAGCCTGCTTCCTGAAGAGGGACATATCTCCAATTGGCAGTCCTTTGAATAACAACGATGGCCAGACCCCGGCCCAACAAGAGAGAGGGAGAGAGAGAGAGTCAGAACAGAGAGCGGCACACATAGAGACCTGAATCACGCACACCCCGAAAAAACACGTCTGCACCTTAAACCCAAAGCTCAGGAAGAAAGCGTAGCCACGGATGTTACGCCGGCCTTCATGCGATGCCGGGCACCCTCGCTGCCGCCAGAGCTGCAGCCGGAAGCCTGACATCTTAACGGGCGGTTGCGAAGTTCTTTGTAGCATGTCAGTACTTGTGCTTGTTTTAAGTGTATTCGGTATTTGCATACTGTATACAGTTACATGCACACGCATAGACATACATGCCAAATTAATACATGCAAAAGTCTATATATATATATATATATATATATATCTATACATGCACAGGTTTGTTTAGGCGGAGAGAGAGAGACTCGTGGTGTTCTTGCTCTTGCTGTCGCTGGTGTTGGTGTTATTGGTGCTGCTGTTGTAGTCGAGAAAATGTGGGTCGTAAGGATACCATAGTATAGTCGAGGATTGTCTATATTGCTGGCCATGACAGCAAAGTCATTAAAGTGGTAGGTGAACATGATCCTGCTTACCATGCCCATATGGTGAGAGTGATGGTGAAGTGGAAGTTTGATCATGGTTGAACTCCTTGCGTCGGACTTGTTGAACTGTTGACATGTTCCCTCGGCAAGAGTTCAAGCGGTTTCTTTCAAGACTCCAGTTAGACGCCGCATGCGATCATTCAGGACAACACCACCGCCCACAGCGTCCTCAGCTACTTCGAGGTCTCGCCGAATGGCCAAGATTGGACCCGCTTCAAGCGTGCATGGCTATGGTACAGGCACCGGACAGGGCCTAGTCGAGACACGAGAGATGCACCCTCCTAAAGTATGATGTTGAGCCAGCTTGCCGTGGACACTGATCATGCAGAAGATAGAAGCAGAGCCGACTCGATACCACTTCTGATGTGTAGCAGTGTAGCACCATGAACATCAGCCGTCTGCTGCAGCATCTAGAACATGACCTTGGAGAGACTTCCTAAACTCATAGCGAACCCTCGCCCTAAACCCTCGAAGCCTTAACGTTTTCCTCAACAGGGAGCCTCAAGTACTGACCATCGAGCCCAACACGACGTTCCGTACGTTCGCGCCGGAGGGCGACTTCATCATCACAGGCGGGCGCCACAGTCTAGTAATCAATTCATTAGTAGAGCAGGTAACCTTTAACGTTTTATTGCGATATAACCCCGACATAAATTCAATAGTGCAGGGGCCTAAAGGATTGCCAATACTATTGTGGGAATCCTTACTGGGTTATAGTACAACATATCCCAAAACCATAATCTAATCGTTAAGGCCCCTACGTCACAGAACCCTATCATAGATCCCTTTAAAGGAACTCCTTCAACGGAACCCTTAAAGGGAACCGACTTCTAATTATCAAGGCTCCTATACTAAGCTAAAGCCCACCGAGTGGCAATTTGGTTGTTGGCCTTGTGGTCAAACGGCTTGAGTTCGGAACCTTCCCATTTTGCCTCAGGGTGTATTGGGTTAAGAGTTCCTGAAAAAATCCCGAAGAGTCCGAATTACCCTTATAGCAGAGTTTTGGGTTTTTGTAACAGCAGTAACTACTACGATTTGGGAAAGTACCCCCCCCCTACACTACCTTGGACCCTTTGGGATAATTAGCTCCAGCCGGGCATCTTTCAGGCCTTGGGCTTCGTGACTTGGTGTGTGGTTCAGGGTGTAAACAAGAAGATGTATGTGGGTGGTTGTCGAAATTATGGTGCCTTTTTGGGTCCTTATTATAGTACGGCACCTAATATTTAGGGTACCCGAAAAGCGGCCATAATTTTGACAACTACCCATGAAGTCCGGAAGCTTCCATCCGCCTGGCTCGTCCTTTTCTGTAAGCTGACTTGGGTAAGGAAGAAACCCAAAGGGTCCACGCACCAACACAACCAGTAGATGTGTCGGCCGATGCTAGAGGTACCATATTGTACTTATATTATCATAGACCTTACGACTTTTTTGGACACCTTTGCACATCCCTGTGACAACCCTGAGCCCCATAATCCGTGAACCAAAAAGCTCAAAAGCTCCTTTGGGAAGACTTTGTTAGACAACCCTACGAAAACCCCTCCCCTCGTAGTCCCTAAGCCCAAGAAGCAACTTTTTTGGGAAGACTTTTTCAGATAACCCGACAAAAACCCTAAACCCAAGAAGCCCCTTTTTGGGAAGACTTTGTTTAGAGTTTAGACAACCCTGCGAGAACTCCCCCTAGCAATCCATAAACCTTAAACCCTCCACCAACCCGCCTTCAACCCTAAACTAACTAACCCTAGTCCCGAACCACTAACCCCTCAAACCCTAAACCCCCTGGAATCCCTATAAGCCCAAGAAGCCCTGGAGGCCGCTACTTCCGGTTGCTCCAGGAAGAGCTGGTTCAGTGCGTAGCTGGCTGCAAGGGTTGGCGCAAGGTTAGGGTTTAGGGTTTAGGAGAAAGCCTGCTGCAAAAGGGTGCAAGGGCAGCTAGGAGAAGGGTGAAGGGTTTGAGGATTTAGAGGTTCCGGGTTATAGCTTTTAGGGGCACAGTCCTAACTGGCGGAAGAGTGGCTAACTACCAGGCGTTCCTGCATGCAAGCCTAAAGCAAAAGGTTTTAGAAGTTGTGGGCTTTGGCTTTGCAGGCGGACGGCGCCTCACTATCTGCGGGTTGTTGGAGATGTACAACAAGGGGCACATGGCTATCGTGATGTCCCTCCCTGCTCCCTGTCCCTCCCTCCCTCCCTCCCTCCCTCCCTCGCTCTCTCTCTCTCTCTCTCTCTCTCTCTCTCTCTCTCTCTCGCTCTCTCTCTCTCGCTCTCTCTCTCTCTCTCTCTCTCTCTCTCTGTCGTTCTATCCTCTCTCTCTTTAAGAGTTGGTTTCCAGTTTGCAGTTGTACATGGGGCACAGTAATAGTCGCACGCCTCCCAGTGTTGATGAGAGCCAACTTAAAGAGACAAAACAGGATCCTTTCGTCAGGATGGATGTGCTCTTCGTACAGCATCCTTTTACCACCACATTCCACAGCCCTAACCTGAAGCCCGAAATCAACGTTAACTGTCTGACCTAATACTAACTTCAACCAAAAAAAGGCCAGGCTTCAACGTGGGTCAAGGGAAAGGCCTGAGACCCTCAAGCCCGAATCCCTCAAACCCAAGCCCTAAACCCCTACGCGCTGAACCCCTACACCCGAAACCCTGAACCCCAAGCCCCCTATACTGTACTATGCTATACTGTGCCAAATTATATGTTGTCTTAGTAGCTGAATAGGTACCTTTAACCTTTTGGGGTTTGTATATACCTTTCTAAATTGGAAAGGTTAACCTTTTTTGGGCTAGGGTACTCAGCCCCTACCTTAACCCCAAGTAACCTTTTTAAGATCTTATATAAAGAAATCATATGAAAGAACCCTAAAAAGGCATGTTCCTCCGGTTCCAGGTAGGCATTGTGACGGTGGAGATCAGGTCTGGCTCTACGACAAGTACCAGCCGGCCGAGCGCACAGCTGCGGTACTCCTGGCGCCCGATGCGCTGGGCTAAGTTGGGGTTCCTGTATGGGGTTTCCGAAAATGGGGGACCCTAGTACCCTAAATTGTCGCATCCTTTTTATAAGGACTCCCAAAAAAGGTACCCTCATTTTCGGAAATTCCCGTCTAGGTTCCTAGAAGATTGCTGTAAGGGTTCCCTATAATAGTTTCATGAAGGGTTGCGATATTCGGATAGGAGTTCCTTGCTTTGGGCTTATAGGGGTACAGATGGTTTATGATTAAAGGGAGTCCCTTCTTTAAGGGTTTTCTAGGGATTCTATAAGGGATTTGGGGTTCGGGCTCATGTGCGTAAAGGGTTTCTGCAAGAGTTCCCTTCAAGAGTTCCCTTAAGGATTCCTTCAAAGGGGACGGATAGTAGGAGTAATACTAGTACTCATGGTAAGAATAAGCGGAGTACTAACAGTCACAGGGGATTAGGCTTCCCGGTAGATAAGGATTCTATAAAAGATGTGGGGTTCGGATTCAAGGGTTCCCTTAAGGATGCCGCTGAGGGGACGGATGTTTGCGCATCGCAAGATCATCGGCTCAAGCGGAAATCCTCTGCGCCTTGCAGCGCAAGCTTAGCCCGGTAGAACGATAACACAAGCCTCATCAGTTGGGGGTTGGGGAGTTTAGGCTTCAGTAATTATAGGGATTAAGGTTTATAGGGTGTAGGGAGTTTAGCGCTTTTGGGTTTAGGGCTTAGGGGGTCATGCCCCGAAGCAGTGCAGCAGCCAAAGACGATTCCACTCCGACTTGAGGTCCTCCGCTGTCGGCCCAGTCAGCCGGCGGCTGCCTCTGGCCGCTCAGCTGACTTTAGGTTCAGGGCTTGCCCATGCTTTAGAAGCTGCCCCCACCCTGTAATAGTGACCATAAGGATTATATTAGGGCCCTATTATATTCCTATTATACCACTCTTACGGGGTGGGGGCCCCTTCTAGCCCATGCTAAACAAACGCGTTTTGGTCGCCAGGGCGATGGGCGTTAGGGAGCTTTTGGGCTATGGTGCAGTCGTAAACTTGGTATTATGGTGTTGGGATTATACAAACACAAGCCTCTCGGAAGCTTAATTGTTCGGGTGTTGTTTGTGCACGTGGGGAAAGTGATAGAAGTCTGAACCTTTCAAAGTGAGAGCCGAGGAGAGGACCAGGGCAGATTTCTTTTTCTATTACCTATTTGTCCATCAGTTCTACCTAATGATCATCTAGTGCAGTGTGCGGGGTGGGGGTGGAGTTGCGCTTTTGCGGATGAAGTGGACGGCAAAGGCGTGGACACGGAGTATCTGCAGCCGATTGGCGTGACTCTTGGCTGCAAACCGAGTATGGACTCGCCGAGGGTTTTCCGGCTTCCCAAGTCCCTTCGAAAACAGGCAAAAACTTGACGAGGAGCATGGGGTCTGGGGCATCGAGTAGGATAGAGAGGCTCCTTGGCGTTCTCCTAGCTAGTATTAGGGTGAGCCCTTAAAGGGGACACTTCTTCACCCTACTTCTTTCTCTTTTAAAAGGGCCCCTAATCCTAACTCCAATGTTCCTCGTCGTAATCAGAGAAGGGGCTGCCAGTTCACGGCATCCTCCTGCCTGTACTCATAATTAATTGCACTCCAATTGAAACCCTACTCTAGTGATTGAGGCCCCTGTATTATGCTGGAGCGCTCCATGGAGGTTCATGGGTAGTCATAAGAAGGGTTATAAGCCCCCGATTAGGATTTGTAATCATAGTTACCCTACTTATACCCGCACTTACAACCACCCAGGATTCTCCAAGTATAATAGTACCCTACATAGAAGGATCCTTTTTATAAGGACCCCTAAATGAGGTACCAATAATTTTCGGAAACTCCCCGTCTACAGAATACGATAGCTCATCAGGCTGCGACACGGTATAGCTCCTAAACCCACATCACGCCCGAAACTCTTAGTCCCAAAACCCAGTAATACAGGGGGCCTAGATGGATACCAATACTGATGCTAATCTGGGGGTTCCTTATTATAGTTATAGTATAATACTAATACTTATTCGGGGGTGCCTTATTATAGTTATAGTATATTTCTAATACTAATTTGGAGGGTTTCCTTATTATAGTTGTAGTATAACCCCTAAACCCCTTCAAGTCCGGTAACACCCAAACCTTCTCCTATCCGTGAGGAGCCTCGAGATCTCCATGTCCACACAGGCGGGATTCGGACTTCAGGGTGTAGCCCCAAAATTATTGGTACCTTGTTTAGGGGTCCTTATAATAAAGGTCCTACTATTTAGGGTACTACTACTACATTTGAGTCTCCATTGTAGTTCCTTGTTTTGGTTAACCAGTGTTATGGTTAGGACCCCATAATAGAGATTTTGGTTAAAAAGGATCTACAATGGAGACTATAGGTAGGGGACCTCTCCTCAGGAACGACTTTCAGATTTTGGGATAAGAAATTCTATGGGCCCCGCGGACTGTTGAACAGGTCGTGTTAATTTTTGGCCCAAGTGGTTTGCATGTTGTAGTGGTTGCGTTATACGGGCGTGGGTCTTCCGTCTTGTCTTTAAGGTGGAGGGTTTTGGAGTTTTGGGTTTAGGGTTTGCACAGGGCCTGGGTTCAAAAAAGGGGGTGCCCGAAGATGCTCCGAGTATCGGCAGAGGCCTCGACCGGCTACGGGAAGCTGCTGTAAGAAAGAAAGCTGCAGCCCTGAATCCTACCTACAGTCTCAATTGCAGTATGTTTTGTGGTGCAACCACTCATGGGTTCATATTCCGGATCCTATAAGCTAGCCCAAGAAAGGAACTACTAAACAATGGAGACTGTGGGTAAACCCTACATGGCCCTACATCAACCCCAAAACCCGACACCCTTCAGGTGGATTCAGCCTCGGGCATGGAGGTTCTGGCAGAGGATCGCATGGAGCTCATCGGATCCAGCCGCCCGGAGAACTTAAGAGATTTTGGGCGGTTTAAGCTTTAACCCTGCTCATCGTTCCCAGTCCTACTGAGGGTTCCCTTTCATAACATGAAGCAACAACCGGGTGATCATTTCAGACCTCCTCCTACAATTTGACGAAACCTCAGAAGCATAAGGCATGCAAGCTGCATGGGCTTGTCGTCGTGGGCTTAGGTTTTAGGCTTTTTTGTTAATTATGTTAGGCTCTAGCTCTAGCATTTGAAGGTCTCCAATGAAAAAAGCCCTTGCTCAAGGGATTTCGGAGTCTTTTCGAAGTTCCGACTCAACACACAAGCCCAGCATAAACCCGAGCCTGACAATATAGAAGCCTGCAAAGTTACCACAAATCTGCAACTCTGGTAGACCCTATGGCCATAAAAAGACTAAACCGAAACGCCAATTCTGAGCGAATAGGAGTTTTGTGGTCTCAGGTGTCTATCCTGATCTATTCATCTTCTCGCACACCAGGGACCCATTACTGCACAGAACCGTTATGAACAACTGTTCCTATAGGTTCACCCAGAAAACTTGTACACAACTGGATTTTTTCTTGGAACAAACACCCTTAAATGCGACAACTTTCGTATTCTGACCGTGTAGTATTGTATTCCAGTTCAGTCCCTCTGTAGTTATATAGTATACCCCACCCCTCATCAAATTGTAAAAGTTTCAAACATGCACTTTAAACCGAGGGACCCTCACAGGACTTGTCCTACCCCTTCCCCGAAGCTACCTCCCTCCCTTCCCCCACCCCCTCCCATTTCGATGAGCCCTCCGAGAGTCAGGTGAAGGCCTCTATCCTGGCCCCGCCGTTTTCCCGACCTCGTGCTTGGCCACGGGGAAGCAGAGCTTTTCGGTTGTTCGCAGGGCTTCTGACGCGTTTTTGATCCTCGGGCAAATTCGGGGTTCTGAGGCATGGTGGATATGGTGCAAGGGTGAGAGGGCGGTGTAGAAGAAGTTTTGAAAGTTGGGGGTCCGACTTTCTAAGCTTCCGTCGCAGGTGACGGGTGGCTGCACACTGACGCTTCGCGGAGAGCGTCTGTGGGCCGAAGCCGCTCGGACGGAGCCAGATGCCGGATCATGGCACTCGTCCTTATGCTTTTCAGAAGGCCCCAACCGTTGAACCCTAAGCCTGTAAACACCAAGTCCTAAACCCTCAATACAAGGCTGAGAGCGTAGAGGAAAATGTTAGCCTGGTTTATACTGTCTCCGAACAGGTGTCACGCGCAGGAGCTGTCAGATCTGTGGACTTTCAGTTTCGTGAACTTATAGGACTTATACCAACAGAAAGGGTTGAGATGGTTTGGTTTATACTTCATAGTAATACAGTAGTTGTTGAGAGTTTCTTCGGTAACGCTTTTAACTCAAATCCGTATCTTAAGCACAGAAAGATAAAGGTGATTCTTGAAAGCTTTCATTCTCGCAGCCTCTGGTCGACTACGTACCAGAATCCCCACAGCCAAAGACAACACCTCCGACAACCCCCCAATCCCCCCACCACACCCCCATGTAGTATGGAGCACTACTGTAAGTCCCCGAAGACCTGAACTAAGCAGTCCTGCCGAGGATGAAACCTATGGCTCCGGGAATCGCTCAGATGCCAAGCAACCGGGCTGTCTTCAGAGGTTCAAGGATTGTAGAAAGGGCTTTGTAAGATATTTATTGGTTTTCATCGGTTGGTTGAGGGTAAGCATTGCGGACACAGGGATCTTGGGAGAGAGAAAACATGGAGAGAGAGAGAGAGAGAGAGAGAGAGAGAGAGAGAGAGAGAGAGAGCGAGAGAGAGCGAGAGAGAGGCGGAGCTTTCAGGTTCAGGAGAGGGGCTCATGACATCAAGCGCCGGCAGGGCGTAGGAGTCGACGAATTTCGAGCCATTTTTCTTGGTATGCGGATCTCAGTCAGCACCTGGCTGAGTCAAGCGTTAAGGGCTATAGGGTCCATAATAGGGTATTTAGGGGCTTTGTTACGGGTCACGTGCTGTCCCATAGGTCTTTATTGGGTGGGGGCCGTGCTCGAGTCGTACTGACTCTCAAAGTCCACAAATCTGACGCGTTTCAAGTTTGGGGTTCCTGATATCTGAGGCTGTTTGTGGCCGTCGGCGACCACCTGTTGGAGGCGAGACGCGGCAAGGACGGCCCGTACTCCCAACACGCTCTGCCATAGGCTCGACGGAAGTTCTTCTTCAGGCTTTCTTCAACATTGGTAATTGTTCTTTAGGGTCCCTTATTATGGTTATACCATAATATACCCCCAAACCCTATTCGAAAGACAAGATCTGGGGCGCTCGGGACCAAAAAGAAGCTTGGTAAACATCATACATGATAGCCTGAAGCCCTTCGGGGCACAAGGCACCCTGATGGTCCGATTATGCTACTAGGGAGCCCTTATGGCAGAGCTATAGGCATCTAGACCCTGTACCAAGCCGTAAAGCCCAAGCCGAGATAAGGGCTGCTGTAGTTCTTAGGTTTCCGGGATTGGGGACCGAGCCATGTACATGCTAAACCCCATACATCCCAGCACGACACCCCAAATCCCTACCCTAAGCCTCCTTCCCGCAGTCAGCTTGCCAGAGAGAATGGACTACTAGGTGGCTTCTGTGATCGTTCAGGCACCTAGTGTCTATTATCTGGTTATCATACTCACATGTGCCTTCCAGATACTAGACTGCTTTAAGTCTGCCCTGAATCCAAGTACCTCATGATTGAATACTTTGCACCTTTAGAGTCCTGTGAGGACTCAAACTGGGCCACCATCCGACTGCCGCCGACGCGACTCGGACGATGACGGCACATGCGCATGGTTTATTGTTAATGAAGTGGCTTAGGTGTAATTGTTTGGTGTTTGTATTTGTTGTGCAAGGCTCCAGGGTTGGGAACAGTTTTGAGGTTGACCTCTTCTTGGCTTCAGGCTTGTAATGTAGATGTCGAGCAAACTAGACATAGCATCACCAGATAGCCCCCACATAGTCATACTCTATAGTACACCTCTTTCAAACCTTTCTTCCAGTATCGTCACTCCTACAAAGCCCCACTAATCCCTCATAGGAATAGCACTGACAGAAGTCGCCCCCAACACAACATAAACTATCCGAATTTCAAATCTCTACATCTAGAGCTTCGTAGGCGGAGTGGGCAGGTTCCAAACCCTAAACCAGGGCAAGTTTGCCGCATCCTGCCTGATGGATGCCATGGGGTTTTGGGCCTGGTGCTGTTTGAGCCGAGGGTTTCGGGTTTATGGGTTCTGGCGAAGTCCGAAGCAGCCGAGCCCCAAACCTGACATACTGTTGCCTCTGAAACCTCAACTCAAAGAGCTGAGTCCTTGTCGACCCTTAGCAGATTCGCAAAGCTCTGAAGTCTTAGGGAGCACTTGGAAATACTTTGCTAACACAAACCCCAGGAAACAGGTAAATGTATAATTGTTGCAGTGGTTCCAAGTTCGGTACATTTTCAAAGGGTTTATAATTATAGCTACCCCACTTATAGAAACCCATATAACTCCCCATGAACCTCCAAGTAAACCTTAAACTGCCGCCGAAGCCCTAAACCCTAAACCCTAAACCCTAACTTTTGCTTACGAGCGCTCTTGCAGGCCTCACATGGCTGTCGTGCCCCGCACGGAGCCTCTGCGACTGACGCGGAACCTGCAGGCCTTTCCCTCTCCCACGATTATGGTATAAGGGCTTTAAGCACATGAATGTGGTTGCGGGTGTATTGTAGTACCAACGTTCTCGCAAAACCCTGTGGCAGACTAATGTTATTCCCCCCCATATATTACTCCTGGTCAGAACCGGTCCAGATCTTAATGGAATTCCCGCTCCAAGACTGGAATCCCGAGGATCCACCGAAAAGGGAATTTCCGTTTTTGGGTTTAGGGTTTAGGGTTTTTGGGTATTGGGCCGGGCGAGCTCCGATCAAGCCTGTTTAATGAAAGGATATTGATCCTGTCCGTGGTTTCGGACCCGGCCCGGGATCTTGGGAGCATTGCGGGGGCTTGTGCTGCAGCTGTGCGGGATCGTCTGTCGTACGAGGCTTCACTACAGTGCCAACATGATTGCACAGAGGGTGTGCGGCATCATCATCAATTTATGATAATTTGTTTCCAGCTGCCATCGCGTAAGGATGATAAGTCGCTCACTCAGACTCCTTGTCGATTACACCCTATGAGTTACCGCCGTTCATCGTATCAGGTTTTGCAGGCACTGGTATCATGCGCTGTCAAGGTTGGCATTACGCCGTTTTGCTATGCCGATCTGCAGGATTACACGCCGCCGGTCGTGAACATTGCCTACAATCCGATTCCCATCGGTACATACTACAGGCAAGTGCACCATTCCGGCGTCCTTTCTACATTGCTAGAGGGCTAACCCTAAACCCTGAACCCTAAAAGCCCTAAAAACGCTAAACCTTAAACCGGAGCTGGATTGTCCGAGTGCAGCCAGAAGAGTGGTGGTGCAAGCCAACAAGAACGAAAGTAGCTGCATGCAATCATCGCACCGTCATCATCACCATCACCACAGCATGATGCCTCTATCCTTCTCCCATTTCTCCCCATCTGACATCGACACGATCATCTCAGAAGACTTCGTCGTAAAGTCCCTAAGCCCAAGAATCTACAACTCCTAGCTGGGAGTTTCCGAAAATTGTTGGTGGTGCTTGTAATAAGGATCCTATTGTTTAGGGTACTACCAGACTTGGAGGTTCATGGGTAGTTATAAGTGGAGTTATAAGTAGGGTAACTATCATTATAACTCCTATTAGGGGGCTTCTAACCCCAGCTATAACTACCCATGAACCTCCAAGTATTAGAGTCCCCAAAATCTAAAAACTCCCATATAGGATCTAATTCCTAGACCCTAAAATCCTATTATTTAGAGTCCCCTATTTTGGGAAAACTCCTGGCTGCGCCAGGGCGGAGCTCCACAACGGCACGTTGCAAGCGTGCCCTCAAGGCCACGCTTGTCCTGGCATCGGAGCCACTCTGATGGAGTTTTGGGGGTGTGGGAAGCGGGGGGGTGGGGGCCCTAAATCCTGAACCCTAAACCCTAAACCCTAACTTTTATGGAGTTTTGGGGGTGTGGGAAGTGGGGGGGGGGGGAGGAGGTTTAACCTGGGATCCCCAAAAGTATGTAGTAACTTAGTATAGTGGCCGTTTATAGGTTTTGGCCATGAGCTTACCTACTTTTGTGGGTTTTCGGGTAGGGGTTCTAAGGATTAGAGATTTTAGGACTGTTGGTTGGCTTTGGGGTCAGGGTTTCGATGATGGCTAGTGCCTTCGTCGCTGAAGGGATCCCTGACGGTGGTGGTGGTGGTGGTGGTGGTGTGGTGGTGGTGGTGGTGGTGGTGGTGGTGGTGGTGAAAGAAAGCAGCGACCGCATGTTTGTTTCCTGCCTGCTTTGTCAGCCCAAGGAGCACAAGACACAGCTTTCGGAAGTTTCAGGAAACGGAAGAAGAAAACCATACCCTGAACTCCATAGAAGGAATCTTATAGCAGAGTACCGCTGAGGCGAACCAGTCCGAGCTGGATTATTCTGGCGAGGCGCCGGGAAGTCTTCTAATACAGGTGCCGGATACGATTCCCTTATTACTGGAGACTCGTCTTCCGTAGAGGTCCTTGTCATATTCATACTAACTATTGAGGTCCTTTCTAGGGCTCCTCAGGATTAGGAATCCCCGATCTCCATCTACCACCCTAAACCCTCAGACCCAAACTTACGGTTTAGGGAGGGTTTTGGGGTTTGGGGTGCAGTTGGACCCTGGGAAACCCTGAACCCCGAAGCCACCACGCTGGACTCTGCCTTAAGTAGGGTTCCATTATTTGCACCATTGTTCCAGCATCCCTCAGAGGAGCCCTGTGTGTGTAGGGTTTATATAAAGGGCTCTTTTAAAGAGCTGGGTGAAGTCCTCCTAATCCTTACAGAAAAGTCGCTTTTCCCAACCCTACACCCTTGACCAGTCGCCTGACTCACCAAGTTTAGGCGGTCGCCCCAGGGTCACAGCTTAATTCGCGTTTAGGGTTCATCGGGCAACCTATCAGGGGAAGTATAGGTGCCGGAATGGGAAGTAAGGATTGACTAGTACCTGCTCCTAGCCCCCATCAAACTACAGTATTCCAGAAACCCTCAGAGACCCAATTTGAATCATTAGGGTCCCTGTAGTTTTCATGTAGCCACCCCAGTTGAAATCCAGCCACTCCAGTTCCTGGAATCGCTGAACCCTAAAACCCTAACCCTAAACCCTAAAACCCTAAAACCCTAAAACCCTAAACCCTAAAACCCTAAAACCCTAAACCCTAAACCCTAAGACCAAAAAATGGCTACAGCCGTTTCGGCCGAGGCAATCACATGCTGCCTAGGTTGCGCACAGCGGTTGTCCGGGCGACTTTGGCGCAAGGCGAATCTGTGGAGCTCGATGGCACAGACAAATGCGTCGATCAGTCAACATACTGCGGACCAGACCCAGGCCAGGTCACAAGCAGATCAGCAATTCGCGACAGACATGCTGAAATACTTGCATGGGATGGTCAGCGAGGCACGCAGCTCTGTGAAAGCCTGGCCGGAAGCCTACCAGTCAGTATTGTTGGCAGCTACATTGTTATGTTCGCTGCTGCTGTATGGACGTGCTGCTTGAGGACAGGCACGAGCAAGGACCGAGGACAGCGCGCTCAAAGGAATCCGAAAGCCGCCGCCAGCAGGCCTGCACCCAAGCAGCCTATGAGAGCGTCACAAGGGGTTTCGCGCACCACATTTGCACGAACATGTCCTTGCGGCATGTTGCTTGCAATTTGTGGACTGACAGGGACAACTTGTCTTCTGCTTCTTGCGTCGGGACACTTCGAGAAGATCTTGGCTTCAGCGAGCATCATGAGCTATTTAGGTGGCAGCCGCCAGACAGTTGGTGGTCAAGGGTCTACTGCTTGGGACCTTACTGCAGACACCGACAAGGCCAGCTCTGCCTGGGACACCGTGGTCCAGCTAGTGAGCCAGGCAGTGTCAACTCAGGGAACAGGCCCATCACCATCGACCATGTTGCCCCACCAATCCCAAATGAGCTCATTCCACCATCCAGATCTGCGACGCCTCCTCTCTCGCGCGACACTTCAGTCACGAGCATTGGAAGCAGCCAGCACGGCGATGGCTGGCGCAATGACAGACTCACTGGATGTGTTGAAGAGCGTGTTGAACGACTTCTCACTGCTCGCTTTCCAATGGCGTATGCAAATCCAAGATGGGACAAAGAGTCAGTCCTCAGGGCACGCGGCGTTGCTCACAAATTTGACTGCCGAGACTCGAGCTACGCACTCGTTGTGCCAACAAGCCTTGCGCAAATCTGCACAAACCACCTGCGACCTACGCAGGGGCAACCTCTACCATAAGATGCCTATCACTATATTCTTTTGTGGTGATGTTGGCCTTGATCGCACGTACTGCAATTGTGTACTACGTTGTGGCACCAACGCAACACGGTACGATGAAGCACTTGCTCATGAGGACACTGGCCCTCGTGCCAGTGTCACCACTGTTGGTCGAGTCGAAGGGTGATGGCACCTCGACATGGACTGGCTTCACAGCCGAGACACTCGGCCAAATCAAGAACTCTGGCCATATAACTGCCAACACAATTCTTGGTGCTTTGACGGATGAGCGACAGAAGAACGAAGCCTTCACGGCTACATCACAAAACCACGCGAACACCATGGCAGTACTCGTGGGTGCGCTGAATGACGCCATAAGCAAGCTCAGCGCGGGCACAATGACAGCCCCAACGGCACTGGCTGCCCCAACGGTCATGACGGTGGACGCGTTGCCAGTGCGCAAGCCGCCTCAGGCTGCCGCAGCAGGCTCTTCAAACGGCACACCGGCGCAGGCGAAGGCAGCACCACCGACGAATGACACTGGCACTGACTCAAGCAAAACCGACACTACGGCAAAGAGCCTTCTCAAGGCGGCTTCCGCGGTGGCTCAGGCCTCGCGTGGCAAGGCGGCTGGGCGATGACCCGCACGCGTGGTGTGGTGCTTCTTTTGAAATGCACACAAGCATGTTGCCAATTTGGGCGGTGGGTGCAACCAGCGACCACCTGGTTGATGCCATGTCAACGCCGCACCAGAAATCAAAAAAATAAAAAATAAAGTACACACCAACTCGCTTCTGATCCCAGAAAGACGATTCATTTTTGGGCAACGGTGCAAAGGGTCAGCGCATAGCAGCTCTGAATGAAATCTGTGTTGAGCACCACCAGCTCGGGGTGGACTCTGAACCGAGCGATAGGCCTGGATCCGGCAGATCGTTCGCCAGTAGCCCCGTCAGACCTGCCAACCATGATCATCTTCTCGGAGCCGGTCCACAATCCTGTGCCCTTGCCGGCCAACCCAACGCCTGCGCTACAGAACGCAGTGACGTTAACGACAGAGACACCACAACACCGGTCGTTGATGATTCGTGAAACAACGGAGGTTGCGATGTTCACTGGGTTCGATGTCGTGACGCTAGCGACGGACGCGAATCAGCAAGCACCCATCATCTGGCGTCCGGTGGCGTATGAAGGCGCGGCAGCAGCGCCACCGATGTTTGGCAATCATGCGCCGCCGGCGGGCTACGGCGTGGTTGCAGATGCTGCTCTGCGGGCGGCCATGAATCTTGGGCCAGTGATGCTGGGGACAGACTGTTATGCTGGTTGGCTGGTTAACTTATGCTGAGGGGGCAGGCATGACTGCGCTGATCTCTAGCAGCAGACCAAAGCCTACAGTCCCTCTGCGATATGCGAACATCTGCAACCACTGTCATTGTCATGCGGTCTCTGTCTGAAGCTACCGAGTGATTCCGGCAAAGGCACAAGTACAGCTGCATGCCGGTACAGATGCCTTGATGCCTGCTGATTCATTAGCTTGCGATCTGCGATCCGTCGCCAGCTGCCGACAGAGTCTGCAAACCGGGCTGTACTGGCCTGCAATGCCGATCCGCGACTTGGCTGAATTCAGTCCTACAGCGACCACTGGCACATGAAAGCCAGACACTGAATCTCACCATGGACCGTCACCAGATGAGCGTGGGAGTTTTCACATCTACAACTGCGAAGATTTTTGCGAGTCAGCTCTCGACCCACAGCTCACACTCTGGAGAAAGACCGTGCCTGGAAGCTGCGCTGCACCCATGGACTCAAATCAGAGCCGCAGAGACGGCGAAATGGGGCTACTGCATTGTAGCCATGGCCGCCATGCTCTGCCGATGAGGAGCCTGAAAAAGCAGTGCAACATTCCAACGATCCTGACGTGATTTAGCCGGACAGCCGGCACATCACCCATGCCGCTGATGCAGAAAACACGCCTGTGTTCTCTTTGACCTGCGTGAACCTGTGAGTATGGTGATCGATGCAACAGAGGCTTAGTTCATAATTCAGTCTGACAGGCTGTTGTGCATCAGTACTCGACTTGCTAGCGAGTCACTCGTCGACTCTGTGTACAGCTTGAGTTGGTCTAATTACATACCTCATGCCCTCTCGGGTGCAGCGAGAATCTAGCTTTCTTTCAGGTATGGTATATCTGGGGGGGGCTGCAGACGAAGAGGAGTCCCCGGGGACTTGGCATCCCGACTAACCTGGACTTATGTGGGTGACGCATGGTATTCAGTCTTGTTTGTCCCTGGGGTAGTCGTCAAACCGAGTCCGCAACTAATGTAGCTGTAGCTGTACAAAGCGGAGGTACCTCTGGATCCCGATGTGTACAGATGCCTGTGTGCTGTACGGTTGTTTCTGTAGTGCAAGTGCGGGCATGTACCTGTCGGGATGCGCTTGGCGAGCTCGACTTGAGCTAGGAGGTTTCCTTAGCTATGGCTATATTTTGGGCTCTTTGCGTTTTCTTACTCGCGAATGCACCTCCTGGTTTGACTCTGGGCTCGCACACGTCCACTACGTTACAGTTTCTAGGCTTTCGAACCAGCTCCCTGCGGTGCGACATTGTCAGCTGGGCGGGTGGGAAAAAACAGCCTCTGACATCCCCTGAAAGCACTTCGCTGGAGGCCCCTATCCGATGTCTGCCCGGCAGCTGGATGAATGCCACGGGCTACTAGGCCGTTCTTGAGCAACATCTTTGGTTCCAGTATGATAAAAGGAACTCCAGAAAGTTGGAATATGGTTTCAGGGTAGGATACCTTATAATTTACCATAAAGGGTTTAGGATAATCATATTCCAACTGTCTGGCTCTTACTTTAGTGGTATGATGTACTATAACATCGTGTAGCATAGGGTGGGAAGATAGGTTGGGATAGTAGAGCATAGTATACGTAGGCTCGGCTATCATAGTATAGTGTAGAGCAGTATAGTATAGTATGGTGGCCAAGTCAGCACCGGCTCAATCACGTCACTTTGGCAAACTGCCCATCCAGAAAGCTCCGTCGTGCAGCTGACCCTAAGAACCTCATGGTAGTGTAGTGTGGTGTAATGTAGTATAGTATTCCCCTGAGGGAGATAAAACATCTGCGTCTTGTTGAGTCGCCCCCCCCCAAGAAGAGCCCAGGCTACTTCGAGTGTGAGACTTGCCCGGAGGGAGTCTACTGCCCAAGGCGCCATGGCTGAACGGTTGATCATACAAATCCTGCATTACCCATATAAGGAATATATGGGATTTATGGTATATTCCTTATTATGGGTAATGCAGGATTTATATGATCAACCGAAGTACGACGTTTCTAATGACTTTAGTTCAAAACGAGCTCTTCACCGAACGAATGTTGGGTAAGTAGGCATTTCAGGGTGAATTTAACCCTGGTTAATGAGCCCCCCTAGCCTGCAAAGACACGGGGTTTATCAGAGATCCAGATCTACATTACACCGAAAATGTGGAGTTTTGGTTTCAAGGCCAAGGGCGGGTCTCGGGGTCATGCAGGTCTCCAGTAACTCAGATAGCCACCGGTATATATTTGATATTGGGTTTTTTTAGAAAGATAACCTTTTTGGGACCAGTTGTGGAACAGAGAGGGTAGGATCGTGGACTTCCCTCCGAGGTTCGGGGCTTCAGGTGACTTGTGGTTGAAAACTCAGCCGCAGGTGTGCTTGGAAACGCAAACGCTGGGTAAACCCCTACACGTCTCAACCCCAGACCTTCAAAAGCCCCAAACCCGAACCTAAGGGGCCCCTCAACCCTAAACCCTCAAAAACCCCAAACCCGAACTTAAGGGGAGCTCAGGGTTTCCCACTTTGCTGCCGTTGACCGCAGATATGCGATGATCGAGCCGGAGCACTGCGAGACGGGCTACCTTTGCCGCCTGACGTTTTGGCCATGCTCGTGGTACCTCTAGTCTCCAACTTTTTATGGCTACGATCCCGCAATACAATCCTGTCGGAGAGCCCCCCAAATGTGAACTTGAGCCTAAAGAAGTGGGCCTTTACGCTTTACACTTTGACCGCGGTGCCGAAGACTTTGCTGTTTAGGCTTTAGGGAATCCCCGAAGCCCAGGTTGGGGTGGCACCGGATTCGATGCAAACCTAGCCTTGTGCCCAGGAGGACACGTGGCCATAAGCCTAAGCTTGGCTTGGCTTTCAGGGTCCCCTAAATGGGCCGAAGCCCTAAACCCTAAACCCCTTAACGGGGAAAACCCTCAAACAAAAACACCTAAACCCTAAACCCCTAAATCCTACACCCCTAAACCCCTTAGCCCCTAAACCCGTAAACCCTAAACCCCCTAAGTCAGGGTTGGTGTTTGGAGGCTTTGGAGGCTCCGGGTCTCGAGCCATCACGTGGAGCCATACAAATTCTCGTAAGAAGTCGAGTGTGCAAGAGCGCCGTAGTCACCATGGGCTAAACCCTAAACCCCAAGCCCTAAACCTTAAACTTAAACCCTGAGCCCAGAGAGTCCGACCCAAACAAGCATTGAGAAAAAAATGGCACCTACATCCGGAAATATGGGAAGGACAGCTGTGTGTCCGGCCGCCCTATGGAAAGACGCCTTCATCAAGTACGTCGCGGTTCCCCTTCGTGAGACGCTTGAAGGCTTGAGGGTCAAAAGGGGCAGCTTGCGCAAGTACTGCTACGACGCAGCACTACATCATGCCGTATACCAGTCTCCTTTACTATACCGTCTCCTCTTATGCTCCATTATCATTTGTTCCTTTCTTTTCTGTTCTAGCATAGCAAGAACACATAGTAGCTCTGTTATATGCCGTATTATACTATTATGCTACGATACGATTATACTCGGATATACTCGATTTAAGACTATTACTTTCATATTACGGTTAATGATATAAATCCTGCATTACCCATAATAGGGAACATATGGGAATGCTTATTACCTGTCATGCGTGATTTAGATCATCAAAGTATGTAACTGGCGTTTTTTACCGTTTTGATCTCAGCCAACCCTAAACCCTAAACCGTGGAGTTGCAGGCCAAGACTTCCGAGAGCGAGCCGGCTGCTGCAATGCCGGAGGAGGTGGGGCTTTAGGGGTTTAGGGTTTTAGGGGCTTAGGGATTAGAGTTTAGGGCTTCGGTTTTAGGGGTTTAGGGGATTAGGGTTTTGAGTTCAGGGTGTCGGATTTTAGGGTTTAGGGATTTAGAGTTTAGGGCTTCGGTTTTAGGGGTTTAGGGTTTTGAGTTTAGGGTGTCGGATTCTGGTTTAATTAGGGATTTAGAGTTTAGGGCTTCGGATTTGGGGTTTTTTGGGGTTTAGGGGTTAGGCGGACGCGAAAGCTGCCTCCGCAGTGAAGCTGCTAGGGCCACTTGCCCCAACTCCGAGCGAAATGGAAAGCCTGTTGCAAAATGGTTGGGGATGGTTGGGGTTTGGGGATTAGGGTTTTAAAGTAAAAGCCAGAAAGTTGGAATATGATAATCCTAAATCCTTTATGGTAAATTATAGGGTATCCTACTCTGAAACCATATTCCAACTTTCTGGCTTTTAGTTTAGGGTTTTAGGGGTTTAGGGTTTAGTTTGGGGTAGCTAAGTCCCCAAAATACCGGGGCACCTTTATGAAGAGGTCCCGCAATGTAGACGAATACGCATGAGGGTTAAGGGCTTCTAGGTGTTTTTGGCCGGGTAGTAGAGATAAGGGTGCTTAGAGTTTGGGGCTTGCTGGGTTTAGGGTTTAGGGCAACGAGGCTTGCTGCAACAAGGGTGTTCAAAGTTTTGAGATTGGGCTTGCAGGGCTTGTCATTTCTTGTGGGGGTTTAGGGTTGTCGCAGTTGCAGTGGCTTCGAGGCCTGTTGCTAGCAAGCCAGCGACTCAGGTATTGGGCAAAAAGGATCTTATCTTGAAGATTTCGGCCATTGTTGCGCCGAACCATAAACGTCGCACCCATGGGCAAAAATCCATGCTGGGGAAGATGGGCTTCGGCTTTGGGTGTCGGTTTCAGCATTTGATAGCCGAAGCATACAGGGCGAGCAAGAAGATCTGTCATTCGCTGCACAGGACCAGGGCTTCTTGATCAGGTCTAAACAGACTCAGAGGAAGTGAGTTTGTGTTAACAATCAACGTTAAGAGCCCATTTATGCTGACACGAGTATCGTCCGGTGCTATTCCGGGTTATTCCAAAGCAAAGCACCGGCAGTTCGGTGACTAGGGTGTACTGGCTTCCAGGGAGACCCCACCACCTTCACCCAGATGGCAGTTTCCGAAAATTCGAGTACCTTATTTGGGGGTCCTTGTTATAAGGATCGTACTATTTATGGTATTATATTAGGGTCCCCTAGTTTCGGAAACTTCCAGATGGACTCCACATCTTGAACCTGTGGCGTCAACCCCAAGCCCTCAACCTTTCGACCAAGAAAGCCCAAGCCATTTCCTCTTGAAGCAACTAACCCCTTAGATCCTAAGCCGTAACCCTTCAAAACAACAGGAGATGACACAGCAGTTGACATCCACATCGGCACCTTCCCGGCGATTGCTCCTGGCCACGATTCCCTCAACGGTGGAGATCCAAACTTGTCCTGCAGGTGCTGTACTTGGGACAGTACGGATTTAGAGTCGAGGCTTTCATATAGAATTATATGTGTATATGAAATATATATATATATATATATATATATATATATATACACATACACACACACTTGCTCATATGTACATTTATATATATATATATATATATATATATATATATATATATATATGTATGCATGTATGTATGTAGGTACGTATGTATTGTGTGTTATTGTATGCACACACATGTATATGTATATATGCAGATGCATGTAACTGGTTGGTTGCAGGATTTGGAGTATACTGCAGGGCCTAAGATTCAGGCTGCAGTGGAGAGAGGTGGTCGGGGATCGGGGCATGAGTGGACTTTAGAGTTCAGGGTGAGATCAGGAAACACGGAATCCTGCATGTGGTCACTGTAATTAGTCGAAAGCGGCCCCCCCCCCCCCCCCCCCCCCCCCCCCTCCCCCGTATTCGGCGCTGTCTCGGAAACAGCACCGAAACTCGGAATACTACGCCGATGCAACCCTTAACCCTATACCCGAATGGTGGAGCTGTCTTCTCGATGCACTGAACGGCCCTGAGCTGTAGATGGATAAAAAGTCTTGGATTCTCAGACATTGCCCGACATGTTATTGGGTTTTCCTGGACATCTGAACCAGGCTTTCTCTAGGTCAGATCTCAAGCCAAACACGTCCGTGAGTTCTCAGAAGATCCGCCGTCTCTTCTGTACCTAAACCACTGCATGAGCCCAACTCAAATGCAATCTTGTGATGTACTGTTTCACATGTATGGGTCGCTGCAAGATTTTCGGGAACTCTCATCCGAGCTTGCACCCGGCCCACGAGGGTGCCAAGGAATCTGAACTCTTCATAAGATAAAACCAGAAACCCTTTATTGATTGTTCGAGGTATGACAGGCGAAACTGAACCTCAAAATTCCTGAAGGCTTATTCCCAGCAATCCCTTTGAATCCCCAAACCCTAAACCCGAACGAGTTGCAAGAGCGTAAAGCCTTCGAGTTGCGAGAGTGTAAAGCCTTGAAGGCTTACTCGCTATCCCCCTAAACCTTATGAACCCGGAAGCCTTGAAGGTTTGGGCTTAATCGCCATCCACCAAAGAAGTCTGGTGGCAGGCTTCTTCTGCCCGCCGGGCTCAATCGCCCAGATGGAGCCGTCGGGAGAGCTCGACTATCTGCCTCCTGTCAAGATTTAGGGTTTAAACACAGACTTGCTTCGCGATATAGTAGCCCAACCTCGACTTTTGGAATCCGTGGCCCCCAAACCACGAATCCATGGTGTTCCAACGTGTTGGCTTCAGGGGTTTACCCGAAGTTCGCGCAACTGAGCGAACGGCTCAGTCTTATGCGACTTTTATCCGAATTTCTGAACCCTAGTTTATTGAAATTACCAAGGTCTCCAATGCAGTGCACTCGGTTGGGCATTGTGCGTCTTGGCCAGAAATGTCCCGCAACAGCCCGTGACATTGTGTGTTGGCAGGTTGCTGAGTGAGGCTAGAATTCAACCCTGGGCGAAGCCTGCAGCACGAGCATTGGAACATCGAAGGATTGTCAATCTTGTTCAGATATGCTAGCATTGGTGTTGCCTCTGCTAGTTGCTGCCGCTGCCACTCACTGTCACCTAAACCCCAAACAAAAAGTAAACCCTAATCCGTAAGCATAATAAACGTTGGGCTGTAAGACTTAGATTCGCACAGTACGCGAGGTGCGCAGAGGGCTCCTCCAACCCGCTCTCCTCCGACGTAATGGCTGGACCGGGCGAGTGGCTAGGCCCAGACCATTCATACAATGGAGAAGTCTCAGTACTGAGCAGTTCCCGAGGTTTCTTTGTCTTTAGGGTTACAGTTGTCTGAGACACCAGTTCAGACCTCTGTCTTAAAGGTCTGAACAGTTGAAATCCCGTTGTAGTCGCTAGATGGTCCTGCGATGATATGCCCTTGCAGTGCTCCGCTATCGGCCAGGGCCCATGCTCCGGCATGGTGCGATGCTCTAAACACAGTGTTTTCAACGTCCTACATGGGTCACAGGTGGAGCATTTGGCTTTGCGCCTACTGCGCCAACAAATACAGCATGAGCGCCAGCACAGATGTGATGCTTGAAGACCCTCGGGGCTCAGATCTTTGCGCCGCAGATCGGGTTGGTTAAGGGTTTAAGATTGAGGGCTTAGGGTAGGAGTGGTCTGCCCAGACTTGTGCAAAGAGTTCATGTAGGGTCGAGGGACAGCCGGGAACCTTCTAAACCCTAAGACCTAGGTCATAAACCCTTCCGGCAAAACTGCTTAGATGAGGTATGTGGCCTTCGACAACAGCGGTGTTCTGCCATGTCCCGTGGGCATGTCTTGTCCCGGAGGACAGACGGTTTTGGTTTCAGGAATTCCGACGTAATATGAACAAAGTAACAAGTATATACCGTAATGTATGTGTACATATATATGTATATATATATATATATATATATAGAAAGAGATATGTATATATATATATATATATTTACACATACGTATTAACACACACACATATATATATATATATATATACAAGTATGTTATTATAAATGTGTATGTAGTTCAATATTCATGTTATTCAGTTGTTGCTGTTGAAATTAAACTTATGGTTACCGTTACTGTTACTAGTGACTCTTTCTTATTATTTAGTATTAGTATTGGAATTCAAACTAGCCTTGACGTGAAAGGTGCACTGAATCAAATAAACATAACCCCAAACCCTAATCCCGAAACTCCTACATCCAGTGTGAGCGCCGAAACCCTAAACCCGTAAACAGTAACCGAAATAAATACCTACACTATTTTGGTGGTCCCTCATTATAACTGTAGCATAATGGGGCCCAAAACCCTATTCTAATTTCTAAGGCCCCTAGAATATAGTACTATATAGATCACTGATAGTAACCTTTTGTCGACCCCTTTAGAGGAACCCTATTCTAATGAATAAGACCCCTTTTTTCAGACAGGAGCCTGTGGTGTGCCCTCTTGCTTCTCCTCATCAAGACTATCCCTACTTAGAACGGTCTCGCCTTAATCAGAGAACCACATGCCTCGCCTGGATTGTGCGAGCGTGAGTGCCGCAACCCAAACTATTAAAGAGGAACCAGTGGTTGCTTCATATAACTATAGTGTAATGGGCTCCAACAACCCTATTCTAATTATTAAGGCAGCTCCTTTATCGATTAAACAGGAACCAGTGGTGTGCCACAAACCCCAAATCCTAAACCCTAAGCCCTTGTAAACCCTAAACCCGTAAGCAGGAACCAGTGGTGTCCTTAGAGGACCCCTATTCTAATTATCAAGCTCCCTTCTTTAAACAGGAACTCCAAGGGTAAAAGGAGGGACCCTTAATAAGGACCCCTAGGTATATACCCTTAATAGAGCTATTTTAGACCCATTCTATAGCCCATTATAGGGTAGGGGCCCCATTAACGGTCCTTCCTTTTCCCTTTTGAGGAACGCAGTGGTGTGCCACAAATCCCAAACCTTAAGCCCTTCTAAACCCTAAGCCCGTCAAAACTCCAAACCCTAGGCCCTTCTAAACCTTAAACCCTTAAGGCCAAAGCCAGGAAGTTGGAATATGATTATCCTAACCCTTCTATGGTAAATTATAGGGTATCCTACCATGAAACCATATTCCAACTTTCTGGCTTTTACTGTAGCCCTTATGGACTCCTAAACCCTTAGCCCTTATAGACTCCTAAACCCGTAAGCAGGAACCAGTGGTGTGCCACAGCCTTGTCCGCCTGGGCAGTTCCAAGTCAGCTCGGGGGCTCCTCGGGCTTTGGATTCGGCTTGGTTCGGCTTCAGGTTTAGTAGGGTTGTTTTGTTAGGGTTTAGTAGGGTGTTGGTTAGGGTTTAGGGGTTTTGTGAGGGTTCAGGGGGTTTTTGGTAGGGTTTAGGTTTTGTTTATGCCTTCGGGGGCGATCATGAGACCTCGATTTCTACGCTGTCTGATCACCAGACTTCTATGTCAGAGGTTTAGCCCAGAGAGGGCGTAGGTTGTTGTTTCTTTGAAACCGAGGCTTGAGGTTGAGGCCTCTTGCCGGGTTTGGGGTTTCTTGGCGGCCTTGAGGGTACCTAGGCTTCAGGGGGGGTTTAGGGTGTAGGAGTCGGAGTTTGGCTGTTTCTTTATTTTCTTCTCTCAGGGGGGGTTTTAGTTAGGATAGAAGGCGTTTAGGGTACAGGCTGTGGGCTCCGGTCACGAGCTTGGGGGCGTTGAGCCTTTCAGTTTCTTTGGTCTGGGGATGGCTTACCTTTGGTTAGTAGGGAATGGAAGAATGGTAGTAATAGTAGTTATAACTGTACCCCATTCCTCCATTCCCTACTAACCAAAGGTAAGATGGCTCTTCCGTTTGTTTCTGTTGACGGAGTTACAGCGGATTTTACTCCGGGGGGCGAGGTTGCACGGGTTCTTGAAGTTCGATGTCTGTAACCTTGCCATGGCACGTCAGGCTTCCTGCATTCTGCCTACAGGGGCGGCTTCTTTAGCTTTCCTCATAGGCTTAAAAGGAGATGTCAAGGTGTACATGTAGGTGTCCTCAAGCCGCCACCTCTGGGTTTAGGTCGAGATGCTGCAGGCATTGGGGTTGTGGGGTTAGGGCTTTTGCAGGGCCTCAAGCTTGCAAGCATTGCACTGTACTACGTCCCAAACCTGCAGCCCAGACCCTAAATTCTCAATCAACCCCAAAAGCCGCAATCCTCAAACCCTAGGTATTAAGTTTTAACCCGCAGTCCTGGAACCCTAAACCAAAACTCCTGAAAACCCGCCCTGACCCTAAACCCCAAACCCCGTAAACCGCGATGTCGCCTGTCCCCTGGCCTCTGTGGCCTTTATCGAGCAGACTGGATTGCTGGGTGAAAAAAGGGGCTCAAAAAAAAAAAAAAAATAAAACCTAAACCACCTACACCCCAAACCCCGTAAACCCTAAACCACCTAAACCCTAAACGACGACCTAAACCCCTTGAAGGCACCGGCCTGCTCGACCTGCACTGCGGGAACCATCTGCCCTGGCTTCGGCAGCGCGCTGCCAGAGCTCTGCCTCTCGGCCACGGCCATCGATTCGGGGGTTTGGGGTCTCAAGAGCTTGGGGTTGGTACTTGGACCCCAAAAGTATGTAGAATAATAGCCTTTTTAGGTTTTGGTCCATTATTTTGCCTACTTTTGAGGGTCTAGGTAAGGGTTTAGGGTTTTGGGGTTTTAGGGTTCAGTGGTTCAGGGGTTTAGGGGCTAAGCGTTTCAGGTGAAGGGCTTAAAGGAAAGGGTGTAGGAGCCACAGTTTGGGTTTACAGGGTTTAGGGGCGCCCGTGTTGACGTGTAGCTTGCGGTCAGACTGTACTATGTAACTAGCTAGCCACAGGTTTGAGGGGAGATGTGTCGTTCGACGGCCTTTACTTACAGACCACACCTTGTTATCCTGAGGGTACATGATGTCTCGGCTCTTTTCCCCTTTTTTTAGGGTTCAGGTTCCCTTATAAGCCCCTGTAAACCAACAAGGGCACCCTTGTTTTTCCTGGGTTACTCTTGGGTCTAGATGTACGCAGCTCGTAATGTTTTGCCCTTGCTCTATCATTTAAGAGTCACTTCCGAGTGCCAGTCCTAGCAACCCTGTGCGAACAACGCCCACAATTTATCTAAGGATTTCTATGCTAGGAGATCCGCCTGGCCGCCGACAACTCCGAAACCCTAGAAAACCAACAAGTATGGTAGGCCCGAGCCTTCACAGGCCAGAGTTTAGGACGTCGGGCTTAGCGTCATGTAGAAGCTTGACTATAGTTGCCAGTAGTATGCAAAAGGTTCCCCTATCATCTTTCGAGTATAGTGAATCCCAAACCCTATCGTTGAGGCACCCATCGTGGAGTATGAGCTCATGCCCTACACCCTCAAAACCCCTGAAGCCCTAAACTGAAAACCCGGCTTTTTGTGAAGCGCCCTTGGGAGAGGTCCCGCGGGGCGAGTTTGCGCACATCCTGGTCGCCAGATCCCTTCATACCTTTGCCCAGCAGGAAATCGAATCGGTGTAGATTCAGGGACGTCAGAAAGCATCACTGACTCACCAGGAATCAGCAGGACTCTGCGTGCTGAAACGTGAGTGAGACTGGCTGTGCACAGGCGCAAAAGCCTACTCTACGCGAAGCTTCTAGATTCTAGCCCTAGCTGTGGATCAGACTGATGCATTGATTCCGAGTTCCTACACCTAGAACAGAAAAGCACCACAGCCAGGGATTCGCAGGTTTTGGGGTGTGGACAGTTCTGTAGGTATAATTATACCAGGGTTAGATAAGGAATATGACTCAACTCATAATATAAAGGCCCTCGTCATTTGAGGCATATCCTTTTCAGGAAGGGGTATTGAGCCAGGATCCTATTGCCCACCGGGGGTGATCACCCTGAACACCCTGGCGTCTCTCGACGACAACGGCCCAAAGATCTGCCCTCCGGGCGTCTATTGCGACCCGACCCGACATGCAGGGTTTCAGGATGCTATAGGGATTTAGGGCTTCTGAAGTTTAGCTTCCTGTTTCCAGGGAGTGGTTCGGGGTTTTTTGGGTTTGGGGTTTATTTCCCGGCCAGGCTTCCACAGCCCGGATGCAACAAGGGGGTCGAGGGCTTCAGTGTGGGCAATACAGGGCCCGAGCCCGAAATCCTTGCACACGGAGTCCACGTTCTGTCGGCCGGCCTTATGCAGGAAGTGGGTGGTTGTCAAAAATTAGGGTCCCTTTTTGTGTTTCCCGCTATAAAATACGGCACCTATTATTTAGGATACCCAAAAAGGGACCCTAGTTTTGACAACCACCCAAGTCTTGGTGGCAGCTTCTGCTTCAGGGGTTAGGATCTCGGGGTTTGGGGCTCAGGGACTAGGGATGATTTCTTATCATAACTTGCCTTGCATTATAACAAGTTCATGCATAAACCAGTTCTCAGGTGGGGGAAGGATGTCGGGTTTCTGTATCGGGTTTGGGGCTTCTAGTGGTTTTCTAGTTCCCTAAACCCTAAATCTCTACTATAAGCATAACCCATGATCCCCTAAGAAACAGTGTGGTGGTGTCATGTCCCAAAGGGTCCTGAGTACTGTTTTGCTGGATGCTTCCCCAAGTCATAATAGTAATTCCTAATATAGAAACCGCGCCTGCTACTACGGACCCTTTGTGCCCAGAGAGCTCAATATCCCTTAATTAAGGAATACACCTCAAATCATAATATGAAGCCCTATATAATTTAAGCCATATTCCTTTAATAAAGGTATTGGGCTCTTTGGGTGTGTTGCGCGAGCATCTCAAGCCAAGGCATGGCCGGAACATCCACCAGCGTTGTGGACCCAACGAGTTTCTTGGCTCGGGCGTGGCGGCTTTAGTAGAGCTCTGACCTTAATGGGGGTTACTATAGTAATAGGGTCTAGGGTTTTGGTGATACACTGCAGAGTAGGTAAACTTTCACCTTCTGGGATATTGAAATCTCCGAAGAACCCAATGCTTCACCTGTAGCTCCCCTAGGATACTGGACAAAGTAAGCCTTTCGATTCTTGTGGCATAAACAGGCTCATGCACGGAACATGCGACGGTTTGCTGTCGCTTGGGCTAAAGGACTGTGTTGCACCTGTTCAGACACCGGATGAGGCATGGACACCGCCAAACAGTGCACAGTGGGTACGTACTGTGGGGCGAACACCACGACCGCCGGTGGCACAGATAACTGCCCACCTCGGTGGCAGCTTGGCTTTACTTGGTCTCATCAGTTGGTTACAGGAGTTTCCGAAAAGGTGAATTTCCGAAGCAAAAGATCCAGTACTAGGTTTTGAGTTCTGAGTAGTCCGCCCCATAGACAGGAGGGAGTTGCAGCTTTCGGCAAATCTCCATGATCCGACACTGACGCCTGTAACCCAGGTTAAGAACTCCGACCTGCAGATGAGCCTTGTGTACCCCCGATAAATCCATTGCTCATCCGACATAAAAACCTACACCTGAAACCTTCAAAACCATAGGCCGTAAAAGCCTCATGACCACGTAAACCCTCACTAGTAAACGCTACAACATGCCCGCCAGAAACCCATACGTATGCCCCAAGCCCGCAAAACCAGGCGTATATATCAGTTCACATCCCCCAAACTTATCCTGTGTAGCAAGCCCCGAATCTCACAGGTACTGCCCGGCTGGCGTCAGCACCCCACAGCCGACACCTCCGGGGCACTATGTGGGCAGGTCGGGTCGTGAGCTTTGCCTGAAAATGCCGTGCAGTTGGGTTTACATCGTTATCAGGTCTTTTACCCATCGGGTTTAGCCAGCATTTGCTCGGCCCTTATGGGTTCATGGCATGGTTTCAATGTATGCTTTTTCATGGTTGCAGGATTTAGGGGCTACGTTTTGTACCTTTCACATGCTGCGAGCACATCCTCGACAGTTTGTATTTACACGTGTACATACATATAATTCTTTGTATATATATATATATACACATGGCACTGGGTTGGATATGTATATTGAATCAACGCTACAAGGTTAGCGGGAGCGAGAAAGAGACAACATTTTCTAGCTCAAGCCAACATTGGGTTGCAGCCAGCATGCCATGCCTGCCCACCAGCTGATGTGAGCATGTCGCCTTGGGTGGCTATTCAATGCCCACACACGAGCTGTTAGGGCACAGTGGGCAGGTGAGGCCAACCAAAAACCTTGATCCATCTTTTTCAAATTGCTAAAGCCTTCGTGTCATCCTTTGTGGCTTTGCTGCCAGCAGGGCTGCTGTTCTGAGTTTTCCCACTGAAAGACTCGGTAGTTTATGCAGCCGTCTTAGGAAGTGGCTTTGAAGTTTTGACGCCTGGGATCTAGGCTTCGGGGCCTTGACCCCAGGTCGATGTTTTCGAAACCCACAGGATCCTAGGTACCTGCACAGTACCAGGTAGGGTTGCTATGCTCGGAGTGCTCTTATTACGTCTTGGATGCTTAGTCCAAGTGTTCTCCATCTTCAGGGCCCTTCGGGTAAGTTTTTCAACTTAGCAGATTCCGAGTGCCTAAATCCCAAGCACTCAGGTATACCCTTCGAAATGCCGACCCGGTACCTATGCTGCCAATTGGCTGATGCTCCGTGGCTGAACTTGGGGCCTCTTACTCTTGATGAGTCCGGTTTAGGGTTTAGGATGAGTCGGGACCCTAAGCCCCTAAACCCCTAAAACGAGCCCTCATGAAGCCGTGCCTGCCGCGTGCGAGTGTGCGAGTCGAAACCCCTAAACCCTACCTTTTGTCTCCATTGTAGTTCTTTTCGGGGGTTACCTTACGGGATCCTTAATATATAACTGGTTAAACCAAAAAAAGGAACTACAATGGAGACTATAGGTAAATCAGTGCATGATTCTCGGCACAGAATCCCGGGACTGAGCTTCCCGCCGTTGGCCTCCTGACAGCAAGTTTCCTGCAGCAGCAATCCTTTGTTAGGTTCCGTATCGGATTCTATCAAGCACCCGACATTCAGGGTGGCTTTATCTCAAAATTCTATCTTAACGCCTCAAAGGCGGCGCAGGTGTCTCAGCAGGGCACTGCTGCAACGAAAGTGTGCTAAGGCTGAACCCATAATCCGAAACTTTACACCCAGAACCGGCCCAGAAGCCAACAAAAACAATATGCAGCAACTGCCTAAGAGCCGCTAGCCGACGTTTCAACCTGATGTGCTTGCATGGGCGTGTGATGCGGAAGCCAGAAACCCCCGACAGTGCAAAGAGAGCCCCTCGAAAGGATCGCTTGCGATCCTTGCCCCGCTGGGACCGAATGCCCGTTGGACGGTACAGTGGTGCCAACGGCCCCTTGGCTCTTAGTAACTGGGTAGTATGGGGGCTAATATTATCTTACCATACTTGAAACAATTACCTAGTAGTAGAGCAGGTAACCTTTCCTATGGTAGGGTTATATATTAGAGGCCTTGATAATTTGAATGGGGTTTCGGGGTATATTTTACCATTAGTTATATTAAGGAGCCCCCAAAATAGAATAGGTAATTGCAAAGGCCCCTATATTATTGGTGTTTTTATTATCCTACCATACGTGAAACGGTTACCTAGTAGTAGAGTAGGTAACCTTTAACCTGTTTTGGGTAGTAGTCCCTATATAATTCGTATATACCCAACAAGGCTAACCTGGTTCCCCATTAATACCCGACAAGTAGGGTTAACCTTTTGGGCTACGGTACTCAGCGCCTGAGGTTTGAATTGCTCGGTTTTGTGGAGTGTTTGGGGTTCCAGCCGCCCAGAGAGCCTTAATTAAGGAATCTAGCTTAAATCATAATATGAAGCCCTATATGATTTAAGCTACATTCCTTAATTAAGGGGTATTGGGCTCTCTGGGCGGGTCTTGGGATGTTGATCAGACGCCAGCTGGGCTTTAAGCTTGTGTGGTTCAAAGGCTACGGCCTCCGAAGCAATCCCGTGTTAGCATGTCATCCACGTGTGTTGCTTTGTAAAGTCTTCCTTTCCTTTTCTTACTGCACAAGCTAGGTTATCACCCGACGGCAAACTTGTCAAACACATTCTTAGTCAAAAGAAGCCTACTAAACTAGATCCCAGTAATGTTAGAAACGCAGGCACTATGAGGGCATTTAAGTGCAGAGCGTAAACTATCTTCTATATACCTTACCAAGAGCTTAAAGCCTTGAACTTTAAGGTCGAGTTCCGAACCCTCAAAATATTTGAGTCCAACCCTCGACAGCAAGACCTACATCCGAAAACCGAAACCCTGACCCAACGCCGAAAGCCCTACATCCCCTAAACCCTGTAAACTCCTAAATCCTAAACCCCACTAAGCCCTAAACCCTGCCAGCCCTAAGCAACCTTACAACCAAACCTCGCGAGCGGGCATAGGCTTCCGAGCAATGCGAGAGGGAAAAAGCCTTAAATCCGACTAAACCCTACACCCCAGGGAACCCAATACCCCTTAATTAAGGAATATACCTTCAATTATAGAGGCCTTAATATTATGATTTCAGGTATATTCCTTAATTAAGGGGTATCGGAAACCCTAATCCCTATAGATCCCTTTTAGACCCCTTTTAAAGGAACCCTAGGGTATAATTAAGGGGTATTGGGATCTCTGGGACTAAACCCGAAACCCCAAGTCCCAAAAAGCCGAGGTTTGCCGACCGGGATCCTACCGCGAGGCCACAGAGCCCGGCGAGGATCCCACGAAAAATGTCATGTGCCTCTTGGCCTTTAAAGGAACACCAGGAGGTTCCTATAAGGGATCTATAAGGGTAGGGTTTAAAGGCTCAATTAAGGTTTAGAGCCTCAGGTTTTTTGGGCTTTAAACAAGGACATGTTGCATCGGCTGTTTACAGCGATAGCCCTACATTTGGGCTGAGTTAAATTGGGTTTCTATATGATGTCCTGGTGGAAGTTTGATGTGGTTGGCATTGGTTCGGTTTAAAGCCAGCCGTTTGCGTCTATGCTCATGTGTCTAGTCTTGCATTAACGCCGGCTTGATGTGGATACTGCAGATATCGCCCCATGCATGCCAAAGCCTAAACTGGTTGATCGTGTTGACATTTGTGGAACTTGTCTCGTCCTTGGCAGCGGTTGTGACGCACATCCGGGTTGTTGTGGAATTCCCCGACTTATCGGCTGTAATCTCAACTGTTCAACTTTCGGGGTTCTTATAAGGTAGTCGAGAGTGAAAGTTTCAACTGTTGTTCCCTTGGGTTTTGGGCCAGTAAGCCGAGGTCAACCCTGCCCACAGGGCACTTGGAGCGAACAAGGAGGCAAGCTCAGCCCAGACAACGGAAGTCTGTCGTTCGTCCTTGTACCACTCGCTTTTGTCGGTGTCATCCTGAGGTCTGCTAGTGCTCTAGCGTTTTGGGATCTTAGTAGCTGAGTAGGTAGCCTTCCACCCCCTTTTGGGGTTGAACTTGATCAGTTGGTTCCGGCCGAGTCGCCCGCCAGGTTCGCGGTCTCACTTATCTAGTCCCGTCTCGCCTTCTCACGCGTTGGCGTCGGATCTCCTTCTTCGTCTTCGCGGCGACCTCATTGTCTCAAATTCTGTGGCCTAGCTGGTCCATGTTGGCACCATCAGAAGCAGGTGTTGCCTCCCCCTTCCCCCGATCTGCCCTCACAAGTAGGTGCTTAACCATTTTATGCGTATGCCTATGTAATCCTGCCATAATATAGTTCTTTGAGTGGGCCCTTTTTCGTGTTTTGCTGCTGTTGTTTCTGAGAATGAGTATGCTGTGCCGGTACAGGTGCTGGTGGTGAAGATGGTATCATCGCCATGCTTAGTCAACAACATGGCCAACCTTCAGATTCAGACGCCATCATCCTCGCCACCATCATCATCATCATCATGATCATCGTGGCGGTGACGGTTTGCTTTGCAGTAGCCGGGGAGTGCTTTCTCACTGATCTCAGGGGCTGTTTCTAGTATCTACGAGCTCCCGGTCTGGGCGGGGCTCAGACTTTGAGCGCAAGACCAGAGATCCCAAAACCCCTTAACTAAGGAATATACCTTAAATCAGAATATGAAGCCCCCTAGAATTTAAGGTATATTCCTTAATTAAGGGGTATTGGGTTCTCTGGGTGTGTGCAGGCTTGACATCGGTGCTGGACTGCAAGAACTGCGACGAGAGGCAGCTGGACGGTTAGGGATCACTGCTGCATGGATCCCCACACCCATCCACACCCTGAGCCATACCCTTGATGAGCTCGGCCATTAGCTGCTGTCTTGGAGGTATGTGTGCCCCATGGAGGGAACGATTCGCTTCGCGACCATCGACCAACCCTGTCCGCCAGGACGTAGCAAGGTTTGCGTATAGACAGATCGATAGACAGGTAGTTGGTAGTTAGATAGAGGTAGAAAAATGGACATAAATAAACAAATAAATATATATATATATATATATATGTATGTGTATATATATATATATATATGTATAGTCTTCAAACGTCCTTCTCCGAGTGCTAAAGCTACTGGCTACTGTCACCGTAGATTGGAGACTGTAGGTTGGGTTCTGAAGAGGTGTCGAAGGTTGGGATCACCACCCCCTTATCCTTGAAATATTTCAGGCCTGGGAGAGGGGGGTGGGGGATGTCACACCCTCCCCCCCTTAAGAAGGTAGTGATAGGTTGGGCCTCTTCGGAGGAGGCAATGCAGAAGACTTAATGCAGGAACCTGATTAAGAAACCTTGGGCCTTTATTAGGGTTCTATAAGGGTTCCGAACCTGATTAAGAGACCTTGGGCGTTCATTCGGGTTCCTTCTATGAGTCCGACTATTTTGGGGCCCAGGCTTTCTTAATCAGGTTCCTACATTATATATTCTTCGCGGCTGGCCGGGATCCCTCAAGCCCCGCAAGAACTCCAAGTAGCTTGGCCTGCAGATTTGACTTTGTGTTCCACTGGTCCCTTCTGGTGTTTTCCTACATGATCGGCGGCGATGAGTATGGCCATACGGTGATGAGTATGGCGTGTTTCTAAACTTCTAATCAACTGTGTATGTATACATGTCCATGTACGTACCTGTTTGTATGCAAGTATCAAGGTGTGTATGTAGACAGCCTACACGGGCCTACCCCTTTCAAATGGAGAACCCCTCCCCTCCACTGCGCAGCCCTTGAGGAGCAAGTCCCACCGATGTTTGCTTCTTGACTGCGCAGGGGGCGGCAAGTGTTCCAGGAAATTCTGATAAAGAAGGTATAGGTATAGTATAGTGTCAGGAGTGGTATAATGCCATTCGCGGCAGTGTTCCCACATGTTTATGATGAATCTTTGCGTGAAATGGCCATTACCGTCAGAAGAGGTACCAATTCGAGTTGAGTTCTTTCGTGGCATAGTTTAATGGAGGAACTATCCCATGACATCGCTGCTGCTATCATCCGCCTGCGCCACCAGAATTGGCGATGGCCGGTTCTGCTATTGCTGGTTGTCTTGTCGGGAGGGGTTTAAGTTGCTTATCAGGATCCCCTTATAACTCACTGTATAGAAGTCTATAAACATACATACATGCCAACATGCAAAAATTCATTTGTATGCGATACTTATCTACAACTAGACGATATTGAGGTCCTCAAGCACCACGCGGGCCCTACAGTCGACACCCAAGCTCCGAGGCTACGAAAATTCGCAGGGCTGGGACTGCCCCCAGGCACACGTGCAGCCGGGTTCTGGTTAGGGGGTTTAGGGTTTCGTGGGGATTTACTTAGGGTTTAGGGGCTCACTGGCTTTAAGGGTCTAGGATGATTAATGGTTATGGTTTTGTTTCTGGGGCGGATAAGTATACAATTTAGCAGATTTAACGGATTCAGGCTTTAGGGTTTCAAGGTTGTTGTTCGGGATGTATATCATGCACTGCAAAGACGAATACGGAATCCTCACAGTAAAGACATTAAGGTTCAGTCAGGTCCTAAACAACTGGCTCACTTGCGCAACGCGCCCTCTGCCAATGCACCCTGAAGCCTATATACCTGACAAAACCTAGCCGCTAGCCCTCAAGCTCCTAACCTACACCTCGAAATCCGAAACCCTCAACCCTTAAGTGGGTTCGTTTTAAGGCCCTTGTCTCAAGCTATCATGATAGCGATCTATAGTAAAACACTATAAATCTCTTCTTGCGATAACTTAAACAGTATAAACCCCGAAATCCCCAAAGCAGCATTTGCTGCTTCGAGGGCTATGGTTGCGGACCGGCAACGACTTCTTTCACCCAGCAACTTGGACCGCCGTCCTTGCCAGGGACAGGTGTGGCCAGTGGTTGCAAGGTTTAGAATTAAGGGGTTGGGTGCAATCTGTAAACTCAGCGTGTTGGGGATTTATGGTTTAAACAGTTTTACTGATTCTTTGCAGTGTGGCAGTCACTGTTCAGGCGATTGCACAAGTCCTGATGCAACAAGAATCAAAAAGGGAGTTGCGAGCTGAAATCTGCAGCTGCGTGCTCCAGCTGGTTCAAAGAGTGGAGCGTAGATTGCGCAGACTGATTAATGCATCAGTCCGAAACTAAAGAGACTGATCTCAAAGCAGGTGACGATTCAGCAACGCTGCGCTGATTAGGCCTTAGGATGCAGATCTCACTCCTCAACCCTCGCGAAGCCTTTGTTTCAATGTGGCAAGGCTTGCGGGATCGGTGTGGCTTCAGCAAGGCTTGAAGTGTATTCGCCTAATCCCCGAGACACATCGCCAGGCCCGAAGCAAAGTCCCCGGACCAGACGGCAACGCCTAACAGAGGGGCCGAAATGATTACCAATACTATTCTGGGGGCTCCTTAGTATACTTATAGTATAACGGGCCCCAAAACGATTATTAAGGCCCCTATAGTATCATTCGAATGCCTTGTTTTGCCAAGCGCGTGTGGGATGCTCTGGACTGCGTTCTGACAGGCCGGGCAGATAAGATAGGGCTTCAATAATTATCGATACTATGCTGGGGTTCCTCAAGCCTTAATGTATGTATGGCATAATAAAATATCCCAAGCCCCACTCTGATTACTAAATCCCCTTCAGTACTCCTGTGAAATGCTTCATGACTGGATCGGCCTCAGAGCGAGACAAGCAGTCAGGGCAGTGTCTCGAAGTAGTGAATTATGCACCACTTGCAGGCACGTCCGCATCAGTACTTCCAGCGACGGTGGCCATAGGAGTCAGAATGATCAGAAGAGGAATCGCATCTGTAGCAGCGGCAGCAAACATTAGTAGTAGCAGTGTTGCATAAAGTCGTTGTTGAAGCTTTCGTGCAGTCCTGAATTCCGAAACCCACCAAGGTCCAAGCCTCACCCTCAACCCGAAACCGCCGAGGTACGACTTCTACTGCGAAGCAGGGTTCTGGTGCAAGGTGCGGACGATCCCGGCCGAGACACGGAATCTTCTTTGCCCCGCAGGCCCCCCGAGTTTTTTGCAAAAGGCAAACAACAGTCGGCATCGGCATCACAAGACTGTAAACAAAATATAAGGCTAACAACAATACAGGTACTTAGTTGAACAACTGGGAAATTGTTGAAGTAAAAAAGTGCTCCCTTGTACAAACATGATATGAGTTATGCGTGTACCAAGAGAAGCCCCAAAATCTTGTTCCAATCTGTAAAGCCTTTTTATTACATGCTGTTCATGCGGTTCCTGCCCTGTTGGATTACGGTCGCAGGCTTCGTCGTTGAGCGTTGGGCTTTTGAGCTGAACTGAGGGCTCTACAGTAAAAGCCAGAAAGTTGGAATATGATTATCCTAAACCCTTTATGGTAAATTATAAGGTATCCCACCCTGAAACCATATTCCAACTTTCTGGAGTTCCCTTTAGGATGTTAGGGCTTCTCTGGCAGCGCAGTTTCAGCTTGCGGGTGGCGGCTATGATTCTGACAAGTTGTCCTGATGCCAAGACCTCCAGGAAGGCAAGCTTAGTGTAGAAACCTGAAGTACTAGGTTGGATTTTGGGACATTTTTTATTTTCCTTATTTGTGTTTCTAAGGGACCCTATATATAAATATTTTTCAGGGGGTTTAAAGGCCAACCCAGACTACAGTGAACGGCAGTCCTCTCGAAGTATTGCTGCGGCGCATGGTCATTTGGTCGAGGCTTCTTCGACATTCTGGAAATTTGTTGTCTTGAGTTTAGGGTTCCTGCTATAGGGTCTAGAAACACTGAAGTCGTTCTCTTGACATGCCTTTTTTCACGAAAGGCACTGCGCACCCTACCGATCGTCTTGGGTTCGAACGGGGAGGACAAAGAAATGGGTTTTGGAAACCCCAAACGGGCCCCCCAAAATCCGAAGTCCTCGGCCCTCCTAGACACTGACCCTAAAGTTCCTAAAGCCTCAAATCCTCAAAGGTGTAGGATTCTAAACCCTAAAGCCTGCAGAGTCCGAGTTGGGTTGCGAGAGTCCAAATCCTGTACCGGGGTCCAAGTTTCCCGGCTCGGCGACTCGATTCTTCATCAGACCTGCCAATATCCCTCAATTAAGGAATGTACTTGAAGTGGTTAGTCGGATCCGAAGTATGGTTCAAGGTCTATCCACTGATGAAGGAAAGTGCATCAAAGTAAAAAGTAGGATCCGAAATATGATTTCAGGTCTATTCCTTAAGTCTGCCCAGACCCCCCAACTACCCTCTCACATAACCCCAATTACCCACTATTGAGGGCCGTAAAGGATCTATTAAACGGCCCTTGGGGGGTTTTGGTGGGAAGCCCGTAGCTACCCCAAAAGCAGGCTACTACTGCAAGAGGGAGACGGGCGAATCGGGCGGTTCAGGCACCTGGCGCGCACCCACAGATGATCGTTTAGGGCTTTTCGGTTTAGGGTTTGAAGGGTTTAGGGTGAAATTTCGGTGGTGGTTTGTGTGGTGTTGGTTGGTTTTCGGGTGTACTTGAGCACACGGCTTCAATTTCTGCTTGGGCGCTGTGCGACCATGGTACCACAGCCCCCTACAGTACCTACAATCCCCCGAACCCGCCAAAGCTCTCGAAGCAAACTTCAATCCCTGAAGCCCTGCACCCGCGAACCAAAACCCTTGTCCTTTCCTGGGGCTCCATTTACCTCAATCGTAGGTCACTGGGGTTTCCGCATTTTTCTCCAGGGGAGATTGCTGTATGAGTTGGAGGTCGTGAGTCTACCCATAGGCCCTATAGTAGTTCCTTTTTGGCTTACCTTATGAGGATTCTACATATTAATATGAACTCCCCAAAGGAACTACTATCCGGCATATGCACATACTAGATATATATATATATATATATCTCTCTCTCTCTCTCTCTTTCTCTCTCTCTCTCTCTCTCTCTCTATATATATATATATATATACATGTCTATATGTATCTATATGTCTATCTCTCTCTCTGTCTCTCTCTCTTTCTCGCTCTCCCTTTCTCTCTAGCCACCTGATATACTGCTGGGTTCATGACTTTTGGGCATCAATGTCGTGCACCGACCCCCTCCCTCACTCCAGCAGATCTTTCCCCGACAATCCCGAACGACACGTCCATACGGGCTTCTCAGTGCCCGAAACGGTCCTTCAAGATTGCCCGATGCTAAACCCCTATACTGGTGGTAGCAGGGTTAAGGACAATGAGCCCCGGGTTTCCCTACACATAACTCTTAAGGTTTGGGGCTATCGGGTTTCCAACTTTGGGTTTCTACTGTTAGCTGTCCTGACATAACGGAGCGAGCATCCCCATTGACCCGGTATGTGGCCAGGACGCAGATCCTTCAGATGTCCGCCCGACTATTTCTGCCCCGAGGCGATCTTGCTGCGACAATTTTTCATAGGCTGCCAAAATAAACACGAATAGTGTTTTTCCTTCGGGGGCTGCTTATGTTTTGTTGTTGAATATGAATAGTCGAGAAAACCCAACTTTAAAACATTAAGGCCCCTAGAGTGAAGGCATGCAATCCACATGCTGCATCACTGGCAGTGATTTAAGTACAAATCTACATGAACGCAGCATAGTGCAGCTGTTTATGTTCAACTCCTTCGTTGAGCTGAACATTCAGGTCACTTAACACGTTGTGTTTGGCCGAGAACTACATTATTCTTTGCGCTGTCTCGGATGTTTGGAAAACACCCCAAAAATGAACCACGTCCACAAACCCATACCCTACCCAAAGTCTCCATCGTAGTTCCTTTGTTTCAGTGCAGTACCCAAATTTGTATCTTTGGATCCTAGCCATAAATTGGTTAGCCCAAAACTTGGGACTACGATGGAGACTATAGGTAATTCCCTTATAGAACCCTCATAGATCCCTTTAGGGAACCCTTTCAGGAACCCGTAGGTGAGCCTTCACCTCGATGCCGGCAGTGCTTTCTCGAAGACTTGCGGATGCAAGTAATATACGGGGCTTAATGATTACCTATACTATTTTGGGTTCCTTTAAAGGGTTCCTTTAAACGGGATACTATAGTAGGGTTCTATGATATACAGGGCTGAATAATTACCTATACTATTTTGGGGCTTCCTTTTATTATAGTTATAGTATAATATACCCCAAACCCTATTCTAATTATTACGGCCCTTATTGTATAAGGATGACTCGAACCTTGATGAGACCAATCCCACCAGCCCAACATGGGTTCAGCTAGCGTTCAGGGTTTACATAGGGTGAGGGTAAGACATAAGAGGTATGAGAGCACAGCTTTTGCAAGACAGGCCCAGCTTCCGGCTGGCTTTAGACTCACTTGGTTTAGATGACCTCGAGTCCATTGACCCATGGACTCACAGACGCACGTTTTTGGTAGCCACAGCCTGTAATGTGTTTTGCCTGCCGCGAGGGCACAGCGGCAGAAGATCTTCGTGTGGACAACCAGCTCGTTGTCGTTCTGCACAATGTGCCTTCGCCTCATTGTAGGATTTAGTTTAGTAGGCTTACATAGTGCTTACTTGCCAGGCTTTCATCTCCTCCGGTTCAGGAGAAACGATTTGTAACAAGGTCAGGCACAGGTGCTTTTGGGTTTCGGGGCGGCCTGGACCCGATAAGTAGAAGCCCCTTCCCTGGTTCCCAGGTGCAGTCCCGAGTGGAAATCGTGACGCAGCCAGACTTGAGCCTTTTCCGCAAAATCTGCCCAGGTGTACCCAAGTCTGATCTTGGGCTCCCGAAGTTGTCGTACCACCTTTGAGTCCGGACTCAGTCCTTCTCTGATCCGCATCATAATCACCAAGAGCCATCACTTGTTGTGAGCGAGACAGTGTCTTTGTGTGTCTCAAGGCTTCTGCACTGCAAGAGTGGGTGATTTGGCATAGTGACCCAGAGTAGGCCCTTATTCCCTTTTTTAGGTATTAGGTTCGCTTATAACCCCGTTTATAGCAAAAAGTGCACCCATTCCTAGGCTACTCTTGGGTCTAGAAGAGTTCAAATCCGCCCGCAGTACGTATTTGTAGCGCTACTACTTGGAGGTTCACGGGTAGTTATAAGTGGGAGTCATAAGTAGGGCAACTACAATGATAACCCCCCTTTCTAGCGGACTCATAACCCCACCTATAGCTATCATAACTACCCATGAACCTCCAAGTAGCACCCGCACTTCTCGAAATGCGAAATGCCGAATCTCACCCTAAACCCCTAAACCCTAAACCCCAAACCCCAAAGGACCCGGGGCTCCATGTGCCGAATTTGCAGCGACCTGCTTCCTCCGGGCGTCTTCGACCTGACACAATGCGCCTCTGCTAACTGCTTATTGGGTCTGGGGTTTAGGTTGGGGTTTAGGGTTATATCCTCTACTTGCTTTGAAGAAGCGGGGGACAGAGGGGGGCTCTTGCTGTAACCGGGCTGCTCGAGGCCTGCTGCAAAAAGGGTTATAACTTGGTTGTGGTTTGAGGGTTTAGGTTGCAAGACTGTTGCAAGATTTTGGGCATCAAGGGTTTAGGTTGGGAGAGGGGCTGCAACCGGCATAGCAGCATAGCATCATTGACAGAAGGAGCTGTCGGCAGAAAGAGACGTAGCTTGCCCGAGGAGAAGGCAGACCAAGCCCTGTCCCAGCCTATGTAATGTTGGTGAGAACTTCCAAAGCTTCAGAGGCACATTGCAGACTAGCCCTAAATCTGAATGGCCTACTGCGGTTGATGATTTAAATCCTGCATTACCCATAATACGGAATTATCCATAATTCTCATAGTTAAGGATCCTGAAGGTACTGCAGGGTTTGTATCATCAGCAGTAGTTTCTAGCTTCCCTTCGTATTGTAGCTGGGCTCCACCGGGCTGGTCAACGGAAGGCAGAAAGCTCTCGTCGCTACAAGCCCTACAGTTCCTAAAACTTTCAAAGTGTTTAGGGCTTAGGGGTTCCTCTCTTAGGGTTTAGATTAAGGGTTCTATTGGGGGAGTTTGGGGTTTTGGTACATTGGTACGCAACCCTACCCCTACCGGAGAAGCGAGAAGCTTTTGCTCCTTTCTGATTGCACTGTTCTCTGTGTGGGCGCACTATGTGCGAAAACTGTTACAGTGATCTCATATTCATATGGAAGCTTGACTAATTGCATTCAGTATCCATGATGCGACGACAATATGCGCCAATCCCCATTCTACCCGAGAGCTTCTCGAGCCCACACGGAGCACCGAGGTCGTCCCTGCGGACAGATTGTTCCCTGGAATTCGCATTGGTTCGGGGGCACCACTATCCTTGACACCATCAAAGGGCGTTTGGGCTGGGTAATGCAAGCGACTCGAAAGTATAATTCGTGCACTTAACCGGACCGTGCGTATGTCTGCTTCCGAGGTTCCCCTCTCTTACTTCGAAGAGTTGGCACTCTTGGAGCAGGGCGCCCGAAGGGGAGGAGGTCGTAAAGGTTTCGGGTATGAGGTCTGGAGGTTTAGGGGTTCAGGAACGGTTAGATAGGGTATTGGTGAAAAGGTGGGGTTTACTACGACCCTTTTAATTTAAGGTAGCCAACTGCCTCGTCATCTTATTAGTGAGGACCGTTTAGGGATTGGATCGAGGGGTGGAAGATGGTTGAAGTTCTGGCTCGGACTTCAGCTTCGGGGCAAAAGGAGGGTTGTAAGGCTCGGGTGAGTTTAGCGAAGGCACTGCTTTTTCGGGCGAGCCATCGCCCCCGGTGGTCCCGCTCCAGTGCGAAGTCGCACGCCTAAGCCTACTCACCTACTGCTTTATTCTACAGGCTCCTGGGTTGTACCACGCCAACGACGGCGGTAGTTACCACGACAAGACAAGAATCCCAGGGGAAAAAAGCCCTATTAGGGCTTTTAGTAAACCATAAATCCTGAACCCTAAACCCAAGAATCACAAACAAAAAACAAGAATCCTGATCCGGGACGTCACAAGCCCCAAACGTTGCTGGGTGCCTTAGTCTCTGGAGCTCTTCAACCGGGATGTGCTGGAACGCTGAAGCACTTGAGAAGGATCAAAGGACGACCTACCTATAGTCTCCATTGTAGTTCCCTTTTTTGGTTAACCAATTTTATGGTTAGGATCCTATAATAGAGATTTGGGTTAACCAAAAAAAGGAACTACAATGGAGACTATAGGTAGGGTTTAGAGTTTGGGGTTTAGGGGCTCAGGGTCTAGGATTGAAATTTAGTCACCGTGTAGTGTCTCTGCAAGGATTCTGTTTCCTGGATCGGCGGGCTTGCGATTGGGAGGTAGGGTTTCAGTTTAGAGTTGCAAGCAGTAGTCTCTAACCCATGAGCAAGCTTAAAATGCAAGGTCCGGACGGAACCGTCGCTTGGCCTACAATGCCACGGATTGGCCGGCAGCTGGGATTGGAAATCAAAAGCCAGCATCGATCCCTCAACTACCCACTCTTTCGAAACCCGAATGCTCGCGCAAAGCCGGAATAGATACACCTGATTGGGCGACTCGCAACATCTGCGTCCCGTACTCGGATTTATGAGACCTCTCATCAAAGGGTTTTCTTAAGGAGTGCCCTGGCTCAGAATCTGTGCTGAGGTTTGTTAGGTTGGGGTTACGGCCGTTACGGTTTAGGAATCATTATGTAGCAGGGTAACTTTGTTCACTGTATTATGTCTTTGGATCTTTGGATGCCTCTGATCTGTGCTGCTGCTACTACTACCAACAATAATCAGAATACCAATTTCAATACAGTACTACCAGTACTACTACTACTACTACTACTACTACTACTACTACTACTACTACTACTACTACTACTACTACTACTCCTACTACTACTACTACTACTACTACTACTACTACTACTACTACTACTACTACTACTACTACTACTACTACTACTACTATCACTACTAGTAGACCCTGTGAGTATTGACACCTGAAGCAACAAACTGTGGGTGTCGGCATAGCTGGAACTAGTCTCCCTAGAGCTACAGGGCAGTATACACCAAAACCCCCAGTCACATTGCCGCGCCCCCCCCCCCCCCCCACCCCATATTACATTCTCGACCCTTGAAGCGTGAAACCCGAAATTCAGAAGATCTTGGAAGCCCTAAAGCTTCGCCGAGAGTCTCCGAACTAAGAGAGTTCGAGGTTTAGGTTGTGACATTGTAACATCTTATAGAATCCCAGAACGTTTCTCTGAGCTAATTAGGCGTACAGCATTAGGATTTCAGAGTTTCACCTCCGAAAACGGGGCCACGAAGCCGAGGCGCGGATGGGAGAACATTGGGTGGCAATGCCTGAGAACTACAGTGGCTGGGTATGACATCCTACAGTCTCCATGGTGATTAGTTCCTCTTCTGGTCTACCGATGTCTGGCAACGTCTAATGTAGACTTGGTTAGCCAAAATTGAACTTTACAATGGAGATTTTAGGTAGTTTAGCGGTTCTAGTGCACATGTTAGGTGACTTCCGTAATTCGTTCATGTTGCAGTAGTGAACTTTGTGTGACAATGAAACATGTATTGAGATGTGTACTGCATTCTATGATGACCCCCTCTGGTTTCCCAGCCTTCGCAAGCTATTGCACTGCTCACAGGGATCTGTTGAAGTAGAAAGACGGTTTGTCTTCAGACACGGCTGTGCAACATTGCCTTTTGCCCAGCCCCAACATCAACCAGCATCTTGAGTTTTACGTATTCGGAGCCCTGACCCGTGCTTGGGCTCTAATGCAGCCTCAAGGCAGCACCAACCGTGGCAAGCAGGCGGGCGTGTTCGCGACCTTATAGGCTACAGCTGTAAAGGCAAGCAATCTTGCGGCCATGCATGTGTACTAACTCGATTCCTCGTTCCTTCAGAAGTTAGGGGCAGGTTGCTTCCTGAAGCGCAAGGAGATATCGGAATGACTAGTTTCCCCGAATTCTAGTATACTGTACCAGAACACCCTATTAAGAAGCTAGCCGTTAATGCGGCTGTAAATCAACGCCCTGCAGTTCTGGGTTCTGCCTCCGGGCTACACGGAGGAGCCCGTGGCTCCTTGCTCCAATCTTCAGCATTGAGGCTTTTGTGGGTTTTGGGGGTTGTTGTTTGGGGTGGTGTCTTCTTCAGTGTTTAGGATTTTGGGGTCTCTTCTTCATTGTTTTGAGGTTGGGGTGTCTTGTTTAGGGTTTGGGGCTTGGGATTTTCGAGTTGGAGCATCGTCTATTAGTCTATGCTGCGACCTGTGTGTCAAGTACGGTGTCTACTGCTGTGTTTGCGCCTACGTAGTTGTTAATCAGGCTGCCTATGACCCTTACTAAACCCTGATCCCGAAGCCCTATACTCCCGAAAGCCTAAACCCTAGACCCTAAACCCTGAACGAGATATGGGGAACCCTTTCAAACCTCGCGAGCGGGCATGGACTTCCAAGCAATGCGAGAAGGAAAATGAACGAGAACTCGGCGGCAGGGCGCCCTTGTGAAGATTCCATTAGGGTTGAGGGCTTTCGGAGTTCTGCTGTTTCAATTTCGCCAGTCTTTGTTCGTGGTTTTGAGCTTCATCGTGCTTCAAACCACCACTTCGGCCAAGCAATTGACGTCCTGAACATGAAGCTGGATTTCCCCTTTTAGCGGCCAGATTTTTGATCCGTTTGTCGGAACACGTTTCTCACGAGAGAACCGTAAACCGTACGGAACCCGAAAAATGCCGACATTATGACGACATATCCACATAGACGGCCGCAGTATGATCTCACCAAAAAAGGCGTAAAGCGGTCGAAATTTTGCTTATGCACGGAGGAAACTAAAAACTTCTTGTATATCCGAGCGGCCACTTATTTGCGCGGATAGTGTTCTCTGTCCTGTTCAAGCGTTTGGCTTGTTCTGTCCTATTAGCATCCCCGAGCAAACCCTAAACCATGAAACGCCAGTTGTTCCCGCGACTCCCTGATGACCCCCGGAACCTGTGCCATTGCAACCAAACCTCGCTTGACCGTCTCGAGCGCGAGTGCCAACAAAGCCCTCTACTATAGGATGGAAACCCTCGTAAGATGCGATGGTCTCCTAAAGCCGAAGACATCCTGCCTCCAATTCGAGTGCATTTAGCTACTGCGGCCTTGAAAAAAGTCGATTATGCGGGTATACCCCAGCCTGACCGGAACCCTGTAAGAAATAGTGTGCAGTGAGTCCCAGAAAGTTGGAAAATCCATGTAGGATGATTAATGCAGGGAGCGCCTATACTTTCATTTACCGTAAGGGCATGAGGAAAACCATGTTCCAACTTACTGGCCTCTACCTATAGTCTTACTTTGCCTTATTATTCAGGCCCCTAAACGCACGCGCGTAAACCGAGGAGTTTGCCGACGTCCTTCCCGACGAGGCCTTGGTTGCTCTCCCGAAACTCGGGGCGGAGTCTTAACTGGCGGAAGAGCGGCAAACTACCGAGCGTCCTTGCGCACAAGCCTGCAGCAAAAAGGGCTTTAAAGAGAGCCCAAGTAGCTCAACTTATCAACGAGTCTACAGAGCCTTTACGGGTTTTCTGAGGTCTGACGGGCAGGATATTTAAAGTATTGGATATGTGTTGGGTATCAACCCAAAGGGCTTCAGGGTTGTGGTAATTCGGGCTTCCGTAATTGGGAGTTTCCGAAAATTAGGGGGTACCTTTTTTAGAGGTCCTTACCATAAGCATCCTTCTTTCTAATGTGCTATATGAGGGTCCCCTATTTTCGGAAACACACAAGTCAAGGTGTGCCGAATCCGTGGTCCGCTTAGCGCCAGAGGAGGTCAGCGGAACCTAAACACCGCCTGCTCGCTGTGGCAGGCAAAGCTCTCATTGATCTAGGGGCCTTCATAATCTAGTAATTACAACATAATTATTCCTTAGGGCCTTATTAGTCTAAGGTTAATAAGGCCCTAAAGAATATATGTTGTAATGTAGCCTAATTATTACAACATATTCCTTAGGGTTCCGCAGTATAGTTACTATCAAGTACTCACATTTTTACCCCGCTGCCCTTTCTATTTTAGTAAGGCCCCTATGTTAGCTGGCACCTAGACCCTTTACACATGCCTCGCCTGGATTGTCCGAGTGTGAGCGCCGAAAGCCCCAACACACAACAAAAGCTTCAAGCCCCAACACCACCAAAGCCACGAAAGCCCTAGAAGCCCTGTAGACATTGTATGTAGCCCTGTAAGCCCCTATAAACCCTAAGCCATATAAACCTTTTGAAGGTCCTTCAGCGTGCCCTGGAAGAGATGGGGATCCAGGAGCGTATGCGGGATCGGAATTGGCCACCTGCTTGCCAAGATCTGGGGGCATGTAGGGTTCAGGGCTTCTGGTTTAGGGTTGGGTTTGTGGATTTTTGACGTCTAATTAAGTTCTATATCTTCTAAACTTGGAGCCTAAGTCAAAAAAGCAGAAAAAATTAGATTGAAGCCGAAACGTTCTTAATCCTGAGTCCCGAAACTCTGAGACAGTAAACTAAGGTTGGACCCCGCAGTCACGAAGATGGTGTCCGACGCGCTCAAGCGCGAGGTCCGCGGAGGGATAGTTTTTGGTTTGGCCTGGTGCCTTGGTTCTTGGCAAGTTACTAGTAGTGTTGTTGTGTTTAGTGTGTGGTAGCAGCCTTGCAGATCTCATGTTTTTGTAACTTGTAACTAATTGCGAATGTTGCAGTATCTTCTTGGTAATAGGTCTTGGACGACTGCTCCCCTGTGGGCCATGACAGCTGTTGACACAGGGCACTTGGCAGTCGTCGCATCTGCACAAGATACTCTTGAGTTGCTGTTTATCACATCTAAGGGACAACAACTTCAGGATTGATGATTCTATCTAAGATGACGATACATCATGCATGTCTGTTGGACGTTGTTCTGACAAGTGTTGTTTCTGGCGGCTCGCAGCGCTATCATACAATGACGACATGGCTCAAGCCATTTTGACCGCCCAAGGTGCTCGAGGTGTTTCCCCGTTTTGCCCCTCAGGAGAATGACCAAGGGCTCCAACTCGAGGGTGGCTCAGGCCATGGCCCTGGCTTCGGCCGCGGCGGCAGGCTCCGCCTTCTCCATGATGGCGGCTCCTCAAGGGTCGCAGTCGCGTGTCGTGACCCGGGCGTCGGGACCGAGCCCGGTTTCTGCGCCAAGCTGCGGTGGAGTCGCCGGTGTGACGGGCCTAGTGGGCGCAGGCTTGGTGGCCAGCGCGGCGCTCAGCCGCTCCGCCAAGCCCCGTGGTGGCAAGAAGAACCTGGTGTCCATGGCTGCTCGTGGTGGCGAGAGCTATGACGCTCTGGTGAAGGACCTAGAGACCCTCGTCAAGGAGAAGGAGTGTGGACCGATCCTGGTGCGCCTGTCATGGCACGATGCCGGCGTGTTCTCGGATGGCAAGCTGAAGGGGGGCTGCCCGAATGCAGCCATGCGATTCACCGATGCTGGAGAGGGCACCTTTGGCGCCAATGCAGGGCTCCCTGACGTCGCTCTTGGCCTGCTGAAGCCCATCACCGAGAAGTACGTTCCAGACACCATCGGACATGCGGATCTTTGGACCTTGGCGGCCAATGTGGCAATCAAGGTGATGGGAGGTCCCGACATCAAGACTCGCTTCGGCCGCAAGGATGCCGAGTCCTCTGCCGACTCCGTGGAATCTCAGGCGGGCCGCCTCCCGGACGGCGACAAGGAGATTGATCACCTTCGGGAGATCTTCGCCCCAAAGGGCTTCAGCGACAAGGAGATCGTGGCCCTCTCGGGTGCGCACACCGTCGGAAAGTGCCACTTGGATCGCTCCGGCTTCGACGGGCCTTGGACGGAGGCACCCTTGAAGTTCGACAACAGCTACTTCAAGGACATGCTGGAAAAGGAGTGGACTGACGACAAGACGGAAAAGGGCAACCCTCAGTTCAAGAGTGAGAGTGGCACCATCATGCTCATCTCCGACCTGGCTTTGCTCAAGGATCCCGCCTTCAAGGAGCATGTCGAGAAGTATGCGGCCGATCAGGATGCCTACTTCGCGGACTTCACTACGGCCTGGGTGAAGCTGCAGGAAAACGGCTGCTCCGGCCTGCGGGACAGCCTTTGAAGACTGTCCATGTAGGCCATATTTTCGTTCCGCACACACGCATATCCACTTCGAGGTGAGAAGTGTGAGCGGTGCCATATTCTTTCGTGTCTACAAATTCAGAATGTCGCTACTTTTAGCAGACCAAAGCCACCGTCCAGCTGGAAGAGGCAGAAATATGCTTGAGCCAAGTTCCGTTGAGCCTTATCAGATGTGCTTATATACACTTTCAGCGCTAAAAACGCCTCAGACTCCCCACTCGGTTTGCCATCCCCTGAGGCACACCCGAAACCCTACAAACTAAAGGCCTCAAGCTATCGCTGAGCCCTACCAGCCTGAAGCCCGCGGCCTTCAAGGTCCAAACCCCGGCTACAATTCGCCATAAGACGAGCCCAGAAGACTTTGCACCCTGCCTAAAGTCTCCATCGTAGTTCTTTTTGGGGGTTATACGACTTATGGTTAGGATCCTGTAATATTATAAATTTAGATAAGCAAAAAGGAACTACGATGGAGACTATATACCTTAACCTGCCAAAACCTACTTTTCTGGTAGGGTCCCCATAAATTCCATATTAGGGTTTACATGAAGAATCTACAAGAAAGGGGTTACGGTAGTTTAAGGTAGGTGGCATGGTAGGATGGCCCTTCACCTCCGGTGGTCGGCTCTTTCGCCGAGATGCTTGTCTTGCAGAAGCCGCCACAGCTACCGGTAAGAGTTTAGGGGTTTAGGGATTAAGGTTCAGGTTAGGGTTTAGGGTACGCGGGGCCTTTATACGGGATGGTCATGTTTTTTCAAGCATAAGATGTCACCCCCCGGAAAATCATGATGACAGGCCCTTTTGTTGTAGACGCCATGTTCTATCCTATGGTAAATCCTTTAAAGGAGCCCTATCCTAGTTGAATAATATTCATAATATAGATATAGTAGGACCTTGATAGTAGCCCTCTTATAGACTCTTACTGTACGGGGGCCGTACCTAAGGTTTGGGCTATTGGGATTGGGGGTTTAAAGGCGCATCGACCCCAGTACGGGTAAAAAGGTAAAAAACAGGGTTTGGGCTTTTGGAGTTCCCAGAGAGCCCAATACCCCTTAATTAAGGAATATGGCTTAAATTATACAGGGCTTCATATTATGGTTTAAGGTATATTCCTTAATTTAGGGGTCTTGGGCTCTCTGGGTTTCGTGCTGCTGGGGCTTTATTGCGGATTATAGCGATCCCAAAGCGTGTCATCGGGTGTTCGTAAGGGTACTCCTTGCTGTTTGACAGGGGGTTCTGGAACTGGGACTTCTTGGCATCGTCATGGTTGAAGGCTCCAACATGTTCCAACCCAAAACTCGCGTCAATAAGCTTTCCCTGCTTTTCTAAACGGTTTCTATGGAACGACAATGGAAATTGCAGCTCTGACGGTGCTGAGTGCCTGGGGATGCCGATGATGCGGAGGGTTTCTGATCGCAGTTGGAGTTTGTAGAGGTTGTGAACTTTTCGACATCAAGTGGCTCCAAGATCATCGATGTGTCACGAGCTCTCGAGGAAGTGAGGTTTAGTCAGAAGCCGCAAAGGAGTTTCCGAAAATAGGGCACCCTAATATCGCACTTTAAATAGTAGGATCCTTATTATAAGGACCCCCAAACAAGGTACCCCAAGTTGTCGGAAACTCCCACAAGCCCTGAAGAAACTGATCCGCAGAACTCAGGAACTCTCTTCCCTCAACCCTTATGGATTGGGTACTGCCCCCACTCAGTAACAGCTGGAGACTATTCACAATACGGATTAGTAGCCCTATTATAGACTGTTACTGTATGGGGGGGGGCAGTACCCAGCTTATAGATCCTTTTAAAGGCAGTTCGGATCCGTCAGATCCATTACTATGGCCTTGTTTCACATCATTGCACCCTAAACCCTTGTACGAGATGCTGGCAGACATTAAAAAAGAACTTAAAAAACAACCGTTTGCGAACCCTAAAATGCATCCTTAAAGGAGCCCTGAAGGGGACCCTTATGAGGACCCCCCCCTTCCCAGAGGCCCCAACAAACCCTAACCCCTTACGAAACAAGGCCGAAAGTGCGGCAGCTGCAGGCGCCTCCTCACCTCATTTGCTTGCTGGGGTTTAGCGCTACCTATAGTCTCCATAAGCCCTTCCTTAAAGGCTTCCCTAAAGGGTTTAGAAAGGGAAATACCTATAGTCTCGATTGTAGTTGAGCAACCTATGTTTCAGGTGTTGTACCGAGTCATACCCCAAGCATCCCCAATTTCTGTTTGGGGCAGTCGGCTGGTCCGCAGAGCGAGTCTCACACATCAGCTTATTCCGACGAGGCCGTTTGGATCGATCTGGATGATATAGGAGCCTGATTAAGAAACCTCGGGCCCTTATTCCGCTTTTCACATGGATCCTGATGTTTGAACCCCGGGGTTCCTACATCAATCCGCCCCAATCCCGAGAAGCCCCGAGAGGTTTGCAAAATTGAGCCAGGACCAGACAGCCGCAGTTCAAAACGATACGAACTCTTCGAACGATGCTTGGCTGGCACTCAACTTATAGACCCCAGACCCTTCGAGAACCCTTGACCGTACAAGTCTTCTCCGGATGTTATGAAGTCATCAAGGACCACGACTAGGTTGAGCCGAGATGGTACTCAAAAAGGAATTTGGCCCTAAACCCTAAACCCTAGCCCTCGACCCTAAAGTGTTTCAGTTTCAGCTTTCTTTCCAGGCTCAGGTGCCCCAAAAAGGCGAATCTAAAACAGCCGAAGCTCTCGTCCGAAGATCTGCGGCTTGCGGCTGGAGAGATAGTCGGTGTAGGGACTAGGGTATAGGGCTGCGGGTTTAGGATTGATAGGGTTTTGGGCTTAGGTTTTGTTGGGGGCGGTTTAGGGTTTGGGGTTCAGGGTTTTGGTGTTGGGGTTGGGGGTTTAGGGATTAAGGCTCGGGCCAAGAGTTTGGGGTTCAGGGCTCAGGTTTTAACATAGAGGTCAGCTCAACGGCCGTATGTAGAGATACTGCATTCATTTTACGGGAGTTTCCGAAAATTAGAGGTAATTTCTTGGGGGGGTCCTTATGATAAGGATCCTACTATTTGGGGTGCTGTGTTAATTAGGGTCCCCTACTTTAGGAAACTCCCAAATCTACCTGGCAGCCCTACTCTTGTGATTAAGGCCCCTGAGTAGTTTCGAGCTTGGGTTCTGTTTATCCAAAGGGGAAAAGGAGGGACCCTTAATCAGGACCCCTAGGTATATACCCTTAATATAGCCATTATATACCCACTATATAGCCCATTATAGGGTAGGGGTCCCCATTAAGGGTCCCTCCTTTTCCACTTTGATTTATCCAAGTGGCCCAAGCCTTTTGCACCCTCGTCGCATTAAGCCCTGTTGAGGGGTTCGCAGGAACAGCAGCAGTACAATGCACTACCTACAATCTCCATTGTAGTTCAATTGCGGTTAACCCAATTTACGATTACGATCCTATATCATAAATTTGGTTAACTCCAAACAAGAAACTACCATGGATACAATAGGTAACTCGTGGCTCGTGACATTAGTTAGTAAGACAGTTTAGTAAGACTGCGGACCACCGATTCGGATCAGAGTCCTTTGGCACAGCCTGAGATGCGACAAGAACTTCGGCTTCCTGGGGTCGGACCTCCATCGCCCTGATGCGAAGTTACTGAGTTACTGAGTATCCGAAAGATCATGTCTGCAGATCCAAATTCTGAATAAGAGTTGTAGTCATATTCCCTTATAGCCCCACATTTGGATACAATCTGCTTCGGCCGAAAGATGCCCATTCTAGGTTAGAAGTGCCGCTAACCTACCGGAGCCTCAGAGGCTTTGGGGTTCAGAGCTTCTGAGGACACCCTCGTTATCAACTATCAGTGTGCACGTCGGCTGCAAGACTTTGCGGTTTGAGGTTGCAGGGGTTCGGGCTTAAGGGTGGGTTTGCGGTTGTGGGTTCCAGGGTTAAGGGCTTTGGGTCCCGTGTTTACAGGTTTCAGTGCTCCACATGCAGCAACTCTTCACGAGTTTGACCTGCGGTGTCGAAGTTCGCCTGTACTCGTCTGGTCTGTCCGATACCTCCCTTAAATCCTTGGCCCGAGCCCTAACCCTGAGTAGCACGATGCGTCCCGTTTTCTTTAACACTACATGAACAGATTGTAAAGGCACCTAAAGCACTCACAAAGGGAGATCTGAACAATTAGGAATACTATGCTCTTGCAGTCCACCTTCTCGTTTTCGAACATACCCCACCCCCCGCAACCCTGTACATGTATTAGGCTATGCAGGTGTACGTCTACATATATATATATACATATATACACACACATACATACATACATACATGTGTATATATATATATGTGTATATGCATGATACCGGTAACACAAACACACATATATACACATGTGCATCTATATACAGATTTTAAAGCGCCTAAAGCGCGACATCCGCGCAGAACTGAGGCGCCTGACATCACTGTGGCAGATACAATTCCCTGGGAGCTGGGCCCCTTTCTGCAGAAGAGGGATACATGAAGGGGTCTGAATAGATACCGGTACTAGTAGTTATTACACTTATACGATACAATAATTCAAAGATTCTAGTTAATTCCCAAGGCACCTACATTCGGGTGTTGAGTGGGGCGGCTTCGTGGTCCAAGTAGGAGGTTCCATGGCTAATGTCGTGCAAGGGGTGCCTGTTTGCGCGACTTTTTCTGGGGTGGGCACGATAAAACTTACACCGCGAAAAGGCTCGGGATCCTACTGCACATGGTGATGAGTCAAGCTTTCCTGGGACTGGGGTGGCAAGTGAGGTTCCCTCCGGGTAGAGGTCGGAGTATTTGGCAATACTTGGCCCGGCCCTCGACCCTAAACCATTGTCCGAGTGTGAGCGCCGAAACCTCAAACTGCAGTTCACACAAGGTTCAGAGAGGCCGTGCTACACTGCTGTGGAAGCATGGAAGGGCAACCTGAAGTGCCCGCGGGGTACCTTCTCAACGAGACTTGGTGCAGTGTTTTCATTTGCTTAACTTTGGGGGCCAGGGCGAAGTAGAAGAGAGCATTCGCGAGAGGGGTTGCGGAGACAGTGCAAGACCAATGTAAGCAAGTGTCGAGGTTTGCCTTTGTGCTTTTTTGCGGCATGAAAATCTCAATTCGCACGACCTGGCAAGGAAGCGATGGCAATGGCACAGCAACGGTGTCCGAATAGTCTTCCCCGACCCAGAAAGCCAGAAAACCAGGGTGGTGGCATGCAACGCAACTGCCGACGAAGAACCCCAAAAGCCTTCGAGCTGCTTCCAATTTCATGTACCGAGCCCGAAACCCTAAAGCCCAAAGCTCCAGACCCTAACCCTAAAACTCTAAGCCCTAAACCAAAAATCCTCCCCTACATTACCCATGACCTGACTTGAGTCGACAAAGGATCGGATCTATTTCGCCGGAGGACTGCATCCAGCAGGGTAGACGCATTGCTGTGACGAGGCCTAGGCAGCACTTAGCAGACTTCGGTCATCTGGTGTTCAGTGATTCAGTGAACTTTTTGCTAAGGGTTATCAAAGTAAAAGTAAAAGTACTTTCGTTGCGGTTAAATATATGTAGCTGGTTCGACGTACTAGCTAGGTTACCTTACTTCTGCACTACTACCGAAGCCCATCACCTTCCTGTGCTTTTCCCCTCATTGCCGACGCACACAACACTCATCGGATACCGCACCCCAAACCCGGCCCAGCACCAACTGGACAAAGCACACCCCCGACCTATCACCGTGATTGTCGTTACTAAATTACCAGCCCCATCAATGTTATCTGTGGGAACCTAGCCCAAAGGCTACGAAGCCTTTGCTTTCTTTATCGGGCCGACCCCATGGTAGACACAGGCTCCAAATCCCCCTCCCAACAAGGTACTCCTAAGCCCCCCATGCCGACACCCTCAACACAAGCCTCACAAGCCGCGCCTGGAGTGTCCGAGTTGTGAGGTCCGAAGCCCTCTAAACCCTTAGTACACCCTGCCCTGTTGCACGGTGCTTTTCTTGTTGTCAGGCCGCTGAGCCTTGAAGCATCCTACCACGGAACCTTTAAGTTAGGTCTCGAGGCGTAGGGGTTTATAAGATTTTTGCGGTGTTTCTTGGGAGGTTCGGTCCTAGGGTGCGCAAAACCGCCGACCACTGAGGAACATCAACAAGTGCGACATGGCTGGATTTGTAATTTAACACTTGTCTTGCAGGGACCTCAAGAGTGGTCCTTCGTGGCATGGTGCTGCAGGTTTTAGGCAATGCCAGAGTGCTGACACCACGTTTCGAATATCGAACATCCTGGCATGGTTACATGATGCCCTCATTGAGGGACTTCTTACCCTGCTCACTAAGCCCCCTACATGACTGCCAATTGGGGTACTTGTGTCCCTACTTAAAGGGAACTCCAGAAAGTTGGAATATGGTTTCAGGGTAGGATCCCCTATATTTTACCATAAAGGGGTTAGGATAATCATATTCCAGCTTTCTGGCTTCTACTGTACTTAGTCCCCCTGATCCTCCCTGAACCTGCAGGGACTCCGAGGGTGCCAGCATTTTAGTTTCATTCCCCGCCAGCGATAGTGCTGTCGTTAAACGGGGGGTTTAGGGTTTAGGGTTTAGGGTTTAGGGTTTAGGGTTATAGTTACAATGTTTCAGATGCCCACGGGCTCATACAAGCACACACGTCATCGAGGATGATAGGGTGGTATTTCTAGCCAGAAAATGGGCGGCATGATTTCCGTGATGGCCCTTTAGCATATTATGGGGATATACCTAGGGGTCCTTATTAGGGGTCCCTCCTTTTACCCTTTGATAAACTCTAAACCCTAAACCCCTAAACCCTAAACCCCAAACCCCTAAACCCTAAACCCTAAACCCCTAAACCCCTAAACCCTACCGAAGGCTTTCGGCTAACAGCACGAACAGACCGATGTGAACTATTCGGCCTTCCGACTGAACCCCTTTAAAGGCCGATGTCAACTGCCGAAGGGCAAGAAAGAATGCAAATAAATACAAGTTACTGTATCTCTCTGTATATACACACATATATATATACACATAAATATAAATAAATAAATATATGTATATATATATATATATTGCTATATATATAAATATATGTATATATATATATATATATATGTGTATATGTATATGTAGTTGTTTAAGTGTGTGTTAGATACACACATGCTAGTACGCGTGCTGCTTGGATTTTAAAGGTTTCTCGGGTCTCTGGCTATTGGGGTACAGGGTATTGCACTGTTCCAGGGTCTTTCTCCCAAGAGTTCAAGCATCAACGCAATATGGGGGCCATCGGGGTCTTAAGTTGTTTAGAATATTTAGGGTACTTTATAGTCTAAGAGTACCCGGAGGAATAATATTATACTGTTAATTGATTCAGCCTGCTGTGCTACCCTGCAGCGCCCAGGCTACCCGCCTCGTCCATGCTCCGGCTATGATCCTACCGTGGACACCGGGTATTCGCATGAGCCTTATGGGCGCGTAGGTTCTAGGGATGTAGGGTACGGCAGGTAGGCCGGATGTAGGCATCTCAGAACAGAATTGTGAAAGTTGGGGCCCGGGGGAGGCCAATTCCGGAGTGAGGTCTGCAGGCTTTGGTTTTTCCAACTCTGCAGAAGTGCATCTGCTACGGCCGACATATCCTCAGCCTCACCAAGCAGATTGTGATGTTCAGCTGGACTTCGATTATCGGAAGTAGGGCCTGCACGGCTGCAGCCTAAACCCTGAACTTGGCCCTGAACCCCTACCTTAAGCCGGAATAACCTACCTTTTTAGGGTTCCTTATTATGATTTCCTTATATAAGTCCTTTAAAAAGGTAGGTTATTCCGGCTTAAGGTAAACCCTAAACCTTACGTTGCAAGGTGTGCACCTGAAGAGGCCGGAGAAGACGTTGTTTTGCTTGGGTGGGGCGGTGCTTGCTTTTTGCGGTTCGACACTAACCTCGGAGTGGAAGGTTGCGGGGAAGGAAGTTGTCCCGGAAACAGTGTGCACATAGTAAAAGCTAGGGCTAGGGTCGGGTGTCTTATCCCAGGTGTTCGTGGCATTGAGTGGTTTAGGCCAGAGCAGGTATTGGGCGGTTTGTACCGGTTTTGAATCAATGGCATCTGAGCATTGGAGAAAGCTAAGGTGCAGGGTGGACTCGGCGGGTTGGGGCATCCCAAAGCCTGCAAAGCTAGCCCCAAGCCCGCCGTGTTCCCTTTGGCCGTGAAAGTGGCCGAAACGAAGGGCGTACCCGATGTCTATTCTTCAAACCCACAGAATTCCTAAGCCTCCAAATTACAAAGGGACCTCTGAATCACACATCCAACAACACAAAGAAGGCAAGACTAACAAGCACACCTTTGCAGATCCTCTGCGGCATCACGGAAGACTTGGAGATCTACGCCGCGGACGAGACCGGCCTGCTAAAGATGCCTGGCTCTTCACACGACACCAGAAGTGGACCAGAAAGCCAGAAAAAAAAAAATTGTAGTTAAAGCAGACACCTTGATCATAAGATTAAGCACCTCATAATCTGTGGACCTTTCCTCCATGAAGTGATGTTGGGCTCTTGAGAAGGGGCGAGACCTCCTGGGGTGGAGCAACTCAGACTTCATGCTCGTGTGGTACCGCAGAAACATTCAAGAAACCCTCATGTCAGGATGTCAAATGCGGAATAAACCAAAACGGCCGGGACTAGGATCATGCTGTTGACGTCTTCAAGCTGGTTGGTTTAGCAAACCCAAAAACGCGGGTGCAAGTTCCGTCGGGTGAAGCGAATGAAGACAACTCCCCTTCAAAAATCAGCACAATACAGTAAACCCCATAAAGTTGGAAACCGGATTAAGGCCAAATAGTCCTATACATTACTCTTAAGGATTGAGGCTATGGGGTTTTCAACTTTTGGGCTTCTACTGTACTGTACAGACCCGTAAAGAAGGGAGCCTTCTCTCAGGGCCTTAAATCAGCTACCCCGAGCTTGTTGAACAATCCAGTAACCCATGCAGAGCACTATCAACCGAAGCCCTTGCAGCAGCACCCCAGTCCGCCCCATACGACCCTTACAAGAACCGCAGACTCTGATAACAAAAACCGCTACAGCCTCAACCCTCGGCCCTGAACCCTTACAAAAGCAACAGTCTGTGAGGAAATCCTTCATTTTCGGTCAGCCAGTGGAAGATTTCCCAGACTCGAAGCTTGTGCCTGGGCCAGATTCAGGTCTTCCAGGGTTTAGGTTTTGGGCTTTCAGTGCTCAGGTTTAAGGTTTGGTCTTTAGGGTTGTAGGGTTCAGTTGTGGATGTTAGGATTTGGGTTTGGGGGTGGAAGGCATTGGTTCAGGGTTTTCGGGTTTGGGGTTTTCAGGCTTCTGGGTTTAGGGTACAGTTTCAGCAGGTCGACGACCGAGGCACCATCTTGGTGTTGTGGGGGCCGAGTCGAAGTGGGAAGACGCGCTTTGCCAGTTTTAAGGGTTTTGGGGTTTTCAGGGCATATGCACTGCAGCCCCTGGTCAAAACGACTTTAGCCGGTCGTACCTAGCGGCCCCTGGAGCTTTTGCTTTCGCGGTTTCAGTTTTAGTATAGCGTCAGCAGCAGCAGCAGCAGTACAGTAAAAGCCAGAAAGTTGGAATATGATTATCCTAAACCCTTTATGGTAAATTATAGGGTATCCTACCCTGAAACCATATTCCAACTTTCTGGAGTTCCCTGTAAGAGTAGCAGCAGCAGTAGTAGTAATCATCCTGGCGAGTCCTTGCCACCCCCCCATTTCGTTATACATGTGACCAAGGTAGGTGGTGTAGTCCCAAATGCAGGGCCACCGATTGCAGAAGACCACGGGTACCAGACCCAGGATCCCTGCCTGCTTGCACCAGGTCACAGGCGTGAAAGCTCTGCGCCTTAAAAAAAAGCCACGAGCCCTACCTATAGTCTCCATTGTAGTTCCTTTTGTTGGTTTAACCAGTTATATATTAAGGATCCCATAAGGTAACCCCCAAAAAGAACTACAATGGAGACTATAGGTAGACCCGACCCTGAACCCTAAAGGTGAACTTCTTCGGCTACGACCCCGACGTGGATGGCGATCTGGACCTGAAGCCTTGGGTAGAGCGGCCCTTCACGAGTTTCAACATGAAGCCGCTGGAGACATGCTCGCAAGAACCCAGAGACTCCAATATCCCTTAATGAAGGAATATTCCTTAAATCATAAAAGGGATCCTACTACAATTTAAGGAATATTCCTTAATTAAGGGATATTGGAGTCTCTGAGAAGTCCCCGAAACCTTCAAGTGGAGCTTATGTTCGGACTGCTATAAGTGCACAGGGTTCCCGGAAAGGCTTCGTTAAAGGCTTCTAGAGGGCTTCGCGTTCGGCTTGGCGCTTTCGGCTTTGCAACTTCATCATCATCATCATCATCATCATCGTCATCATCGTCATCTGGGATTTCTGGGTTCACGTATGGATCGGGTTAGGGTTTGGGTAATTACAGTGTAAATGGTGGGTGCAGGGTTTAGGGTTGGGGTGTGCATAGTGAACTATGCGTTTGGGTATGGGAACACGAACGAACCTCGGTTGAAATGTCGAAGCTCGGCTAGGGGAATGTTTACGTTTCGAGATCTTGCTATGCTTGATCTGGCTATTGACCGCCGGTTTGAGTGAATCTGGAGGTTCAATTATGGTCTTTCCAAAAGGGGGTGGACTGAGAACGATCTCAGATTCGCGCTTCGTCTTCTTTCAAGATTACTGCTGCTCTGAATGGCAGTCTGCATCATGCAGTTTTCATCATAATCAGCGTCCCTCATTTTGCTATTGTGAATGCGTCGCCTAAACCTACACCCTCTCCCCTAACCTCAAACCCTAAACCTCAAACCCTCTACCCCAAGAGCCCCAGAACCCAAGCCTAATCCTGCGTCAAGGATATCGTGATTCTTGACTTCGCCTTCGACAAGATCTCTCCTACCACCCTCGTGCCCTGAGGATTTAGGGTTTGGGGGTTAGGGTTTAGTAACTTATAGAGAAGATGGTGGGGCTGAGGGATGAGGGGCTAGGCTCCAGGATCCTGGAAGGGTTCATTGCTGGCCCCTGTATAACTACAGGACCTAGAGTAGGCCCTCATTCCCCTTTTAAGGTTCAGGTTCCCTTTTTAGCCCCTTTTAAACCCAAAAGGGCACCCTTTCTATTCCTAGGATACTCTTGGGTCTAGATACGGATTCCTAGAAGTTGTTTCGGCTCGGGGTTTCAGCCGTTTGGTAGGGGATGTTTCGTTTTGTATACTTTGGGGTGTACCTATAGTCTCCATTGTAGTTCCTTTTTGGGGTTACCTTTTAGGATCCTTAATATGAAATTGGTTAAACCAAAAAAAGGAACTACAATGGAGACTATAGGTATGGTCGCGAGGAGTGTAGACTCCGCAAGCCAAAACCTTACACCCCGGGCTCCAGAGCTTGAAGCCTGAAGCTCTAAACCCAACAACTGGGAACCTAGCCGCCCAACTCGCTTTGAAACCCTTTTCTTAGGGTTGAGGGTTACGGCAACCCTGGTTTAGGGATTATAGAGTTTAGGGTTCAAGGTGGTTTGGGGTTTAGGGTGGTTCAGGGTTTCGCTACCCCTACTTGGAGGTTCATGGGTAGTTATATGCAGGGTTATGCGTCCCCGAATAGGAGTTATAACTATAGTTACCCCTACTTATAACCCCACTCATAACTACCCATGAACCTCCAAGTAGGGCCCTGAACCCTATACCCTTACAGAATCCCTATAGATCCCTTTAAAGGGACCCTTAAAGGAATCCCAACTACCCATGAACCTCCAAGTAGGGCGTAAGACTCCGAGCACCCTTTTTGGGGTCAACGGGGCAGCTTTCGGCTTCAACCCAAGCATCACATTTGTGCAGGTCGGTCCCGTAAAGGCTTGAGGAGATGAGGGTTTAGGGGTGGAGGGTTCAGGAGGTAGCTCTAGGGGTTTCCCAGGTGTTGAAGCACGAAGGTCATTCCAGCTATAGCTGGGAAGTTTTGCGGTTTCTGGCACTTCTCTCATTCAAGTCAGAAGCAGTAAGTAATCAGGATGTAAAACTAGCTAGGGGTAGCAGCACGACCTGAACGTGTGGGGCTTTTGCCCATGGGTTCCTTGATAAACAACAGGCAGACAGACACACACCCCGCTCAATACATACAGTGCTGCGTAAACCATGATCCATCTGAATCATAGCTCTAAACGGAGATGCCGAACACACGTCCCGCATGTTTTCGTTGTTGTCCAGCGGCATGACGAACCCTGGCAGTGCCTAGTGCCTCGTACGAAGGACTGTCCGACGGAACACCCAAGCCCTAAAGCCCATTCCACGCCCCCCAACACTCTCAATATAAGGCCCTTCACAATTAGAATAGGGTTTGGAGGCCCAGTATACTATAGTTCCAATAAGGAACCCCCAAATTGTATAATTAGGTAATTATTAGGGCCCCTATGTTGCTGGATCCGTCCCTCGGGATACATTTCTGGAGACCAAGCCGAAGGTTTCTGAGCCTGAAGCAGTTTTGGAGTGGAGTTAGTGGGATTCGCGTTCTTTAACAGATTGCTGAACAGAGGGCGGTGTAATGGCTTCGGTGATAGTTAGGGGCTTCAAGAAATTCAGGCCTGGCAAGTATGGGGTCTGGGGCCTTAAGCTTCGTATCCCAAATCTCAGGTGAATGCAGGTGGAGCGGGCCACTTCAACATCAGCATTCATACAAACCTTCTGTGGCCCGGTGCATTTTAAGAGGTTTGAGTGGTTTAGGGTGTCGGGTTTTGCACAAGTGCTTGGCAAAATCAGGTTGCCACCGCTTCTGGCATGTCATGTGAATTTGATCTGTATTGTTGAGCGCTAAACCCTACCTATAGTCTCGGTCGTAGTTCCGTTATTGGCCTAACCACTTGTACGATTGGGAGCCTGTAAAGTAGTACCAACACGGAACTGCAATGGAAACTGAAAGTAAATCCTAAACGCTTTCTTGGGGAGTTTGCATACCGATAGTAGAGTAGGTAACCTTTAAGATTTTTGCTGTACTAGAAACCCATAAAAATCCTAGAGACTCCCAAAGATTACCCTTACATATCCCCAGGATACTGGACAAGTAGGCAAAGCTCCCTAAACCCTTCCTCAACCCCAACAAGCTACCGTTTTAAGGACTTATATAAACTATCGCATCAAGATTCGTGTCCGTCCTTGATGCGATGGTCTGTATAGCCGTCAGTTTGTGAAGCCATGATTGTACCCTGCATCGTAGGTTCGTCCTAGCCAGGCGGGAGGCAAAAAAGGACTTGTATAAAGAAATCATATTAGGGATCCTTAAGAATAAGGAAGGTTATTTTTGGTTCAGGTAAACCCTATAGAACCCTAAACCGGGCTGCCTCGTGCCTGCTGTAGCAAGGGCACCTCGACTCCATCGTTGAGGTCCATAGGCCTCTGCATAGATACCCGGACCCTAGGAAGCCTACATCCTGATTTCAGGGTCTAGGGTCTATCATTGTTGTTACCCTCATGGTTCATGATGATTATGATTTCCCTAGGTGTTTTGAGCAAGTCTTGAAAGAGTAGGGCTTTCGGGGGGGTCAAGGTAAGAGATGCTAGAGGCCCGGTGGAACCGTTGAAGAACGCTCCAGCATCTTAAACTCTAAGCCCAATCCCCCAATCCCCCAAACCCGAAAACCCACAACGTTCAGGGCTCCAACTGATCATCAGCTTCTAGTGCAGACCAAGCAAAGCATTTGCGGAGACCGAGACCTCGTTAGGCATGTCCGAGTTGCGAGAGCGCAGACCCTACTGTTTGTCCCAGGCAGCTAGGTGGGAGGCAAACAAAAACCCAATGTTGCAAGGGTTGTGCAAGGTTCTGCGGAGTCGAAGCATGGAGCCTCACAAACTCCCGAAGCAAACGCCCTGCACCAACAAACAGAAGCCCGAAGCCCTAAGCAGGCCTACAGGCCCGCAGACCCTAAACAGTTTAGCCCCAAGATCGAAACCCTTAGACCCGAACTCTCCATCGTAGCTCCTTTTTTGGGGGTTTATACTTAGAACCCTATAAGGTAATCCCAGAAAAGGGAACTACTATGCAGCCTCTGGGTAGACCCTTGAATCCTAAGCTCTTACTCTTGATTGAAAGCTTTCAGCTACAAGCCCCCAAACAAAAACCTCAAGGTCACAGGGCATTTTGGCGCCACAGACGAACCCAAAACCTTGCAGATACCGAGGGCCCAATGGAAACCCTAAAACCCTAACCCCAGGCCCTCCAAACTTGAAGTAACTCGTAATAGCCAGCTACTGCATGCCCGACCCTGATCCCACACCTTGGCCCTAAACCCGAAAAAAACCACCTGCATCCCCGAAAACACCTCTGCAAGGAACGCTCTACAGCAACAATAATAAGGACCCCTAAGAAGGTATGTTTTTGGAACACCTTATATAAACCCTAAACCCTAAACAAACCCCAAACCGCTGAAGGCCCGATGGGAACATTATCGGGCATCTCTTACCTCCCTTCTTCGAGCGCCGCTGGGGCGAGCTGGGGCATTGAGGTTTCAGGGTGCTGGGGTTTTGGGATTTATGGGGTTTAGGAGTTTTGGGTTCCGGTGCTTTTGGGGATTTATTCTTGTGGTTTGGAGGTCTAGAGTTTGGCTTTAGAGTCGTTCTGGGGATTTGTTCTTGGCGTTTCGGGCTTTAGGGTAAGGCTTCTCATGAAAAGTTCCTTTTCAGAGTTTGTTTTGAGGGTTTAAGGGTTGGGTTCCAGGGATCCTTATTTCGGGCTACAGTACGAAAGCCGCCTTCTTGAATTATATATTCTTCTCAAGAACGACGTTCGTTCTTGGCGTGTCTCCGCTTTTGGCGTGATGCTATGCCGGCTTGCTTGACAGTCTATCTTTATGTGTTAGTTTTCTACATGCATTCCTATTTGCTATGAGCTGCTGTCGGGAATACTTGCGCTGCATTGCCCCCTGAGGAATAATGCAGGTGGCACAGGATCTAAATCCGAAGTCATTTCCTTTTGCCCTGCATCGTCGGTTCTTCCTAGCCAGGCGGCAGGCCTGACCTAGATCGTACGAATCACCGGTTGTCACCTGAACACCCAGGAATTACGGAGTACCGTCTAGCCTCAGGATGAGCATCAAGTTCATAGTTCTGGAGGTTGGGCCAAAAGCCATGGGGTGAGAGGACAGCCTAACTCCAAATCCTCAGAAGTTTCCGTGACTTAATGCTTGCAGCACTGAGGGTCCAAGCTGTTGCTGAGGTTCCATCAACACAGACCTGCATGTTCCGACACAGATGAAGATCTTGGCACTGTCGGAGTTGCTTGGCACCTGATGTCAAAGCTGCTGAACGTAAACTTTACCCAACGTCTTTCTTCAAAGCCTGATTCCTTCGAAGTTGTGGGGCCGACGGGGATGAAAGGCTTCTCTCTGCATAGTGCATGGTTTTTTCCGGGTCTTGGTTAGTTGGTTGTAGTGGGAGCTGACCGCCAGTCGTCTCATGTCGGGTCATTGCTGCCAGCATGCTTGCATGTCCCCGTTTCACATACCTGCTGCCACCAGCCGTGGGACGTATTCGATGATAATTCACGCAGAGAAGTAATCGTAGTTACCTGATGATGGTGGAGTGAATCCACGGGGAAGCCCACGATCTGTGTGCCTGTACTATACTTATACTAAAACATACCATAATTCTCTCTAATTCTCTATAATCTTACTCTAGTGCTTCTATTTCAAGAAGTCCATTCGAAGCCTCAGACTCGTCCGCCTACAGCCGTTTTGACGTCCCAAGGTGCTCTTAGGCCCTCCCCTTTTGTTGCCGCTCATGACCAAGGGCTCCAACTCGAGGGTGGCTCAGGCCATGGCCCTGGCTTCGGCCGCGGCGGCAGGCTCCGCTTTCTCCATGATGGCGGCTCCTCAAGGGTCGCAGTCGCGTGTCGTGACCCGGGCGTCGGGACCGAGCCCGGTTTCTGCGCCAAGCTGCGGTGGAGTCGCCGGTGTGACGGGCCTAGTGGGCGCAGGCTTGGTAGCCAGCGCGGCGCTCAGCCGGTCCGTCAAGCCCCGTGGTGGCAAGAAGAACCTGGTGTCCATGGCTGCTCGTGGTGGCGAGAGCTATGACGCTCTGGTGAAGGACCTAGAGACCCTCGTCAAGGAGAAGGAGTGTGGACCGATCCTGGTGCGCCTGTCATGGCACGATGCCGGCGTGTTCTCGGATGGCAAGCTGAAGGGTGGCTGCCCGAATGCAGCCATGCGATTCACCGATGCTGGAGAGGGCACCTTCGGCGCCAATGCAGGGCTCCCTGACGTCGCTCTTGGCCTGCTGAAGCCCATCACCGAGAAGTACGTTCCAGACACCATCGGACATGCGGATCTTTGGACCTTGGCGGCCAATGTGGCAATCAAGGTGATGGGAGGTCCCGACATCAAGACTCGCTTTGGCCGCAAGGATGCCGAGTCCTCTGCCGACTCCGTGGAATCTCAGGCGGGCCGCCTCCCGGACGGCGATAAGGAGATTGATCACCTTCGGGAGATCTTCGCCCCAAAGGGCTTCAGCGACAAGGAGATCGTGGCCCTCTCAGGTGCGCACACCGTCGGAAAGTGCCACTTGGATCGCTCCGGCTTCGACGGGCCTTGGACGGAGGCACCCTTGAAGTTCGACAACAGCTACTTCAAGGACATGCTGGCAAAGGAGTGGACTGACGACAAGACGGAAAAGGGCAACCCTCAGTTCAAGAGTGAGAGTGGCACCATCATGCTCATCTCCGACCTGGCTTTGCTCAAGGATCCCGCCTTCAAGGAGCATGTCGAGAAGTATGCGGCCGATCAGGATGCCTACTTCGCGGACTTCACTACGGCCTGGGTGAAGCTGCAGGAAAACGGCTGCTCCGGCCTGCGGGACAGCCTTTGAAGGCTGTCCATTTAGTCCTTTTTCGGCCTGCTCACACGCATACCCACGCTGCCGTGACAGGTGTGAATGGCCACGTTTTCTTTCGCAGCTATAAACTCAAAACATCGCTACTTTTAGCAGACCAAAGCCACCGTCCAGCTGGAAGAGGCGGAAAAGTGCTGCCTCTGAATCACTATAAGTGCTTTCCAACCTGCTCAGACGTTGAGGAAGGGGCACCGCTTTTTGATGTCAGTGGTCTTCTTATACCAACCTATAAAATGTCACAAGAAATAATGGGTTAGGCTTTAAAGGCTTCGGGTTTAGGGTTACGGTTTTTAGGGTGCAACGTTTAGGGGTTAGGGGATCCTCTTGATTTTGGCACTTAGAAGTGTAGAAGTCTGAGCACGTTAGGTTGAGAGCCATTGCTTACAGGGGCTTTTGTGGTTGGAATCGGGTTTTGCGCCCTTCGTTGAAAACAAGGAACCGTAGGGAAAAATATGAGAAGCATGACAAGTACCTGCTGCAGTGCGTCGCCTCGCGGCCCTTTGTTTCCTGGGCGTTTAATGACAACACAGCATCGCCTCGTTTCTTTTTCGAGGGTGCCATAGTATAGGGGCCTCAATAATTACCTATACTATTCTGGTGGGTTCCCCCAAACCTTACTCTAATTAATAAGGACCTGATATTATATATTTGGAGGCCACATAACGGGATGAGGCTCGTACTGCAGGTGTTTTATTCAACCCTCCTTGAAGCACGAAACCTGCAATTGCAGCTTGTACCCCGTGAAATGCAAAGGTTCAACTTCAGCGTGCAGTTGGTCTTGCTCCATGGTGGACACTTGCAGAACCTGGACACATTCAACCAGCGCTCGGGCCCGACTTCAAATGCATCAGATTTACGGACAAGGGTTAAGGGGTTGACCGTAATGTTTTCAGTATGCAAGTTATAGACATGCACCAGCACATGCGTGCAGACTTGCGCACATACATACATACGTACATACATACACACATCAACACACACACACACATGCATGCATACATAATCATACATCAGTACGACCCCTATGTTAAGATGACAGTGGGTATCTTTCCTTGGAGACTCAAGGAAGCCATAATTGCGAGTTAAAGGGAACTTAACCGTAGGATAGGGTCTTGGGGTTTATGGTAGTGCATGGACTTGTCTATTTACCCATCCATCCGTCCGTCCATCCATCCATCCATCCATACATCCATCCATCCATCCGTCCATCTACCGATCTGACCAACCAACTAGTCATTCACATTCATTCAATCAAACCCAGCAACAAAACAATCAGGCAAGCTAATCAACCAATCATAGTTTCTGTCCCTGTCTTTCTACATACTAGTACCACTTAAGCAGGCACTGTAAAAAGGAGTAGTACTATTCCCATTCAGACCTATGTTCTGAGTTCGAGAAACTACATTTCCAACCTCAATCGTCCGTCCTCAGCTGCCTGAGAATGAGGAAACACTGAGATAATGGTCTCGGGTGCTTTTGGGACTTTGCGCAAGGGGAGGGGGGGGGGTTAATATAGAGGGAGATGCTTGGGACTTCTCTCGAGACTCTGTGAACGCTAGAAGAACATGCAACTTAAATCTTCATTATAAGTATCTATATACACATGTAGGTTGTATGCTGTTCAAACGTGACGTAAAGGGTCACACCCTGCTTCCCAGTTTGTGACGAGTTACATTAAATACAAGTTTGGGAATTGCAACATGACAATACCAGGTCCCACTAGGTAGCAGTAAGCGCTTACGGGTTTATGCATGCATGCTATGCATGGATGTGTATGCCTGCTTTGGGTGAGTAAGTAACTAGGTAAACCAGTGAATATGTATGGATGCATGTGTGTGTGTATGTATGTGACCGCTTATACCTGTAAAGTCGACCGCTTATACTGGACCATTCCGTTCTACTCTACTAGATACTGTACCAAGCCCTAAACCCTAAACCTCGCAAGTTCTACTAGATGCAGAGGGTTCTGTCAGCACTTCATGCTTCTTTTTTCCGTGTCTATAGGGATTTAGGATACAGGGTTTAGACAGGGTTTAGGCGTTGGGTTCAGGGTTTGGGGTTTAGGGTTGCTACAGAGCCGCGAAAAAATCCCGGGAGTTTAAACCAGACTGTTTTAATACCTGTAAACGGTAGCCGTAAAGAATAACCCCGTCAGAAGTAAAGGATTTACCTTAGCGGCAATGTAAGGGCCAGAATGTTTGCGAGAAATGTCTTATCATAGTCCCCCTACGCTTGTATTTATAAACTTCCCAAAACCCGGATCTAATTGTTGGGGCCCTCATCTTGTGCGTCTCTTTCCGTTCGCCTGAGGATCTTGGACATGAAGAAATACTCGCCAAGCCGAGCGATTTGGGGCACTCGCTACTTCTTCTGCGCCGTGATCTCCAAGGATGCATGTGGAAGCGGAAGCAGTGTTGCAGGTGATGGCTAGCGGCTACCGGGTCTAACATGTAAAAGTTTCGGGTTCACAGCGCCTGTGCAGCCTGTGCAGTGGGGTTCTGAGATTCATCGGGTCCAGGTCGAAGAGTAGGTTGGAGGCTTAAGTTTGAAAGGTTGTTGTGTTTAGGGTCTGGCAGTGGAGGTTAGCTCTACCATAGGGGCCAATAATTAGAATAAGGTTCGGGATCGGACAGGAAGTCTGGTCGGGCAAACGAAACTAGAGGGCTTGTGCCTCACCAGTAATTGTTAAGCCGTGTCCGTGTTGGAGTTCAGCTTTTAGAAATAGTATCCGTGATAACTTTGATCATCGAATCGAAATCGGAATGCCACGAGTCAAGAAGTTCAAGAGGGATCTCAGAATAAGGTTTGTGGGCTTATAATTCTATAACTGTAATGAGGAACCCCACCAACCCTCCGTATATTAAACCCATACATATATATATATATATATACATATACATAGGCGTGTATATATATATATATATGCATACTCTACTCTACATGGTTGCATGCTGCTATAGAGTTTCTATTTCATTTGCCTTATCGGCTCTGTAATGCCGAAAGTTCACCAGCATCACCACACAACGTAAGACAAACCCGAGAGATCTCGCAAGGCCCCCAAAGTTGCTTGGCCTTCAATCTGCGGTTTAGGGGTTATCCTGAAGCCTAAATCCAACGTAGGAGCTGCTGTTGAATGGTGCCTATGAGCTGCCGTACAACATGCCACCAGGGTTGGCATCCACACGAGGCACAAAATCTGTGTTTGGAGGGTTTCGAATCTGGGGCTGGATGGGGCTTTGTTGTCGGTTTCTGCAGTGTGGGCTGTAGTCATGAGCCATAAGCTTTCACAATGTGGTACCCGGCGAAATGCCTCGAGGATGTTGGGATGTTGTGCCGCTTTGAGGTAAGATGCTGCTGACGTTGCAGATCCGTGACTCGCATCCTCAGGTGAGAACCGCAAGAAGCGTGGGTCAGACAGAGCCGCTGTTATGCTCAGTCATAGAGCAGGTGATGCTGGACAGGTAGGTATCACTGTTATGTCCTGGCGTTCCCAGAACCCCATGAACTTCCTAATATAGGGGCATTAGTGATCACATATACTATTTTGGGGATTCCTTATTGTAACTATCGTATAATAGGCCCCAAATTAAGATAACCTACATTATACCCCTAAACCCTAAACCCTCAGCGGCAAACCACTTCGATCACGAGACCTCGTCCGGCAGAGTCTGAGTTGCGTGAGCCTGATCCCCAAACCCTAAACGCTTACGGGAGTCCGCCTGGTGGACCCCAAAACTATGTGGAATAGTGGCTTTTTATAGGTTTTGGGCCATTATTTTACCTACTTTTGAGGGTCTAGGTCGAGGGATTTGAGTAACGTCGAAGGCCATCCTGGTCTGACCATCAGTTTGACGGGGCCCCCTGGCTGCACACGGGAGATCTTTCGAAAGGGTCCTCTATGTCGTCATCCTTTATTAAGGGTCTTAGGGGTTTAGGGTTCAGGGAGTTTAACATGTAGGATTAGGCTTTAGGAAGTTTCGGTTTTCGGGTTCTCTTGTGTCTTGATGATGCGGATCCGGCTGATGAGGGCCCAGACTATCTGATTCATTGCACGTCATCATTGTTTCAACTGTTTAGCAATGGATGGCAAACACTGGTAGTTACCCAGAGGCCCCATAGTAGTCCCTTTTTGGGATTACCTTATAGGATTCTATATACGAACCCCAAAAAGGAACTACATTGGGGCCTTTGGGTAAGGACACTGGCATCGCAATCGTATGCATTAGTACAGACTGGTATCGCAGTGCAGGCTCAGGAGCTTCCAGTTGCGCCTTAGATCTTGGAGGGTTTGAATATGATTAACAGCCTTGTCCTTTTTCATGGTTCCCCCAAAAGAATAAGCAGACTGGCTAGTAGACCTTCTTAAACAATTCCTATTAAGGGATAGAGGTATAGGGCTCTGTCTATTATTTCTAGAAGGACAAGGGTACTGATTAACATAGGGGCTTAAATCATTAGAATAGGGTTTTGGGGCCCATTATACTATAATGATAATAAGGAACCCACCAAAATTGTATAGATAGTTCATAAGGCCCCTACAGTACTCCTGGGCATGCTCTTTCATTATTTGTGGCGGGATTGAGCCGCCCACCGGCAAGGCTGGCAACTTGGCTCTGGAAACTGAGGAGCCAGTAATGTAGGAACCTGATTAAGAAACCTTGGGCCTTTATTAGGGCTCCGTATATGAATCCTATTGTTCTGGGGTGCAGGAACCTGATACAAACCCTGGGCCGATAACCCCAAAATAATAGGATTCATATACGGAACCCGAATAAAGGCCCAAGGTTTCTTCATCAGGTTCCTACATTAAACAGAGTTTAGGTAACTTGAGCTGTGCGGTTCGGTATTGCCCAGCTGAGGTTGGGAGGTGGCCTGGAGAATCAGCCACAGACGGCGGCTCACTGAGAGAAGATGCGGGCACGGTCGGTGCGAGAGCTTTCTATGTCGTTTTGTAGGGTTCTGGGGATGCTTATAAGGCTTAAAGTGAAAGCCCAAACCCTCAACCATGAACGGGTTTTCAAGGGGCTGGGGGCTTTCTGTGTTTAGGCGGTGCCGACTGGGTGCTGCATTGACACAGACTCGCTTTTGGCACGTTTTTGGGGTTTTGAGAATATTTGGGTTTTATGGAGCAACGGAGAAGCACATAAACACTGGAGCTGGGAGCATGAAGCATGGAAAACATCTACCAGCTTTTCTTAATTGAGACCTCCTACTTCGTACTCATAGCTCTTTAAACGGGTGGAGCTTGTAGGTTTAGGGTTTAGGGACGTTTAGGGTCTTGGTTTCCTAGACGCAGTACCTCAAAGCCTGTGGCTTGGACCTTGAGTTTCAATCCCTGAAGTAAGCCTGGCCGCAGATTCTGCTTTTGCCTCTTGTATGATAGATCTCGGGAGGACCACTGCCTCAGTCCTACGCCCAATTAGACGCTAGGTATAGAATTACATATATGACCTCACTTGGAGTATAGGGTTAACCGCGTGCACCGCATGTCGCACGGACCTCATTTGGAACATCCGGGTTAACCGCGTGCGCCGCAGCACGAGGTGCAGTATGATGGTGATCTCGCTCTTGCAGAGCTGGACAAAGGTGGACAGGCTCGTTTCTGCACGGGTATCTTGGGAAGGGTAGTATAGGGGCCTTACTAATGGAATGGGTTTTGGGTTACAGTATACTATAATCATAATAAGGACCACCCCCCCCTTCAAAAAAAAAAACATAGAAAAGATGATCATTTAGGCCCCTACATTAGGCCTCCCTCACTGGTGTTTAGATGTTCGGAGCCTGCACAAGCGAATACTCGGGAATGCGACGCTAACGACCCATACTGACTCGATGTTTGTTCTTTTGCTTTCTATTGCGATGCAACATTGGCAGTGGTGACCCCTAATTATGCTGTAGAACATGTGTGTCTAATTATGGGAGTCAGTAGTGTAATTTTGTCGATGGTTTCTGAGTGCTCTACCCTTCTAGCATTTGACAAGTTATCCTTCTGTGAGAACCGCACGTCGATTGCCGCGCTTTCGTCGAATCTCCGATGGAAATCTCAGCCCTGCCGCCTTCATGGGTGGTTATTACAAGTAGGGTTATAAGTCCCCTAACAAGGGTTATAATTATGGTTACCCTACTTATAACCCCACTTATAACCACCCATGAACCACTCGAAGGCTTTCTGGCAGTCGCAGGGATTCGACACAGCATCCTGGCATGAATCGGACCGGGCCAGGGAGTACCATACTTTAATGCTTCTTTGAGGGGAGTACAGGATGTCTGTTGTTTGCTGAGGCTGGCGGACCTGACCTCACAGCGAGCCCTACTACCCTGAACCCGAAAACCCCTCAACCTTGGATCCAGAGATTGAAATCAGTTTCTGTTTTGGACATCTCTTCATCGCACGAGATTGACAGGCTTGGGAGCTTGTCGGTTGTTGCGGCTTACGGGTACGGGCCGGTCAGGGCTTACCGATCTGGGGATCGAGGGCCTTTGGATTTGTGGCTTTTGCTGCGTTGCAGCTCAGACGGGCTTGAGTTCCCCCAGCTTCGGAAACTCGGGGCCAGACTCTCATTCCTGCGAATTGCCGCCGAGAAGCCCTATACCCCAATCCCACCCCAAGCACTGAACCCCAAACTCAAAACTTGATCCTAAACCTAAGCCGCAACTTTGCACTCCAAACCCTCAGTTTCCACAACCTGCTGATGCAGAGTCCGGAGTAAGTACTAAGATTATATCCGCCGGGCTCTTTGTTGCAAGTATGTTGATGAATATTCATAGCGCATCATCAAACACTATTCCAATCATGTATAAGCCCTGCCTCAGCCTTAAACCCTAAACCGTACAGGAGAAGCTAGAAAGTTGGAACATCAGTATCCTCATACCCTTAAAGTAAAGTATAGGGAATCCCCGCACTAATTAATCATCCTAAATCCATGTTCCAACTTGTTGGGGTTCACTAGAGGCTCAATAGTAGTTCCTTTTTGGGGTTCATATATTCAATCCTATAAGGTAATCCCAAAAAGGAACTACTTTGGAGCCTATGGCTAACCCCTGACACTGGGTTGTCCTTTGGGATATTTTTTAATTTCCCCTACTCTTATGTAGAGAACCATAATAGTAAATAATTTTCAAAGGGCTTAGAGGACAACTCAGTTAACTATAACCCCTAGCCCAGCGTTGAGCTCATGCTTCAGGTTGCTTTGCCCTGGCTCCCCTTCTTTTCCAACTGCGAGGGGCAACTGCTCTGAAATGACCAGTACTTGTATCAGAAGTCAGGGTTCCAAAAGACTTCATATAGGGGCCCAAATCCGTACCAATTCTATTTTGGTTTTTCACTGTTATATGTATGTTTTTTCACCAATTTCCTATGTTGAGTATTATTAAGGCCCCTATATGTTAATTGATTAATGCAGCTTTAGCTCTCCTCTGGCAGTTGTTCACAGCCCGAAGTTCTGAAGCGAAATGATTTTTGCTGCAATTCAGGTAGTTTGTTCGTGCAGGCCGCCTTCCTAGTATCAGGGTGTATCAGGGTGCTGAGTATGCGACACCCCCACGGGGCCGAAGCTGCGTCACATCCGCAGCATGAGTAGGTTGACGATCCCCTGCCTAGTAGTAGAGTAGGTAACCTTTAACCTTTTTTGGGTAGTAACGTTTCATGTACCTGGCGAATCATGAATAGTTATATACGGCTGGTTAAACAGCAGCCGACTTTAAGAGCCTCCGAAACCCAAGTGCAAATTATGGGACTCTCGAGACCCTTGGGGTGAGGAGGTGTGCTGTTCGGTTTGGAGCTTCAGGCACTCATTTGTTGCGAATCTCTGTTTCAATCACGTACATGCTTATTCGCCAGGGTTCCTGAACCCAGGCTTTTTTGAGAAAAAAAGGCACCATCTGGGGTGTAGGGCTCAGGGGTTTCAATCACATCACTTTTCTGTGGTAGTTTTGTTGTTGTCGGTGCCTTTATTCGTAGAGAGGATCATGCTATGTAAAATCATTGGGTGATCCTGGCCTGCGATCCCGAACGTCCAAAAAAACACTGGCAGCCTCATCAGCCTCAGCCACAGCACCCAACACCCACACCAAAACTTGCAAAACAAAAACAAGCCCAACACACCCGCCGGGAAGCCAACAACCCCAACAACCTTGTGCATTCCAACCCGTACAACGGTCAACGCCCATAGACATCTGCCACCTGAGACCCACCATCGATCTACTTTTATCTGCTTTGTCTGTCCATAATATCTAGATCTACCATAGTTATTATCTCTCTCTATCAGACATCCCGGAAGCTCCTAATGCCAACAAAGGTTCGACTCCTACATCACTCTCTGGGATCTCTTTGAGTCACCCGGGGACCAAGTTCGCGACGGCTGTGCGCTGGCCCGGCCATGAAAGGTTTAGGGTTTAGGGAAACCCTAAACCCCTAAACCCTAAACCATGGGGTGCAGGAAATCCTCGCTTTCAGGGCTTCCGGGGGTTGACATCAATAGTTCAAGGTCTTAGGCTTGTGGGGCCCATGTTTGAAGCCGCAGAGTTACCAGGCACCAGATGTGGTGAAGCTAGCTACGGCAGCGACTGCAAAGGATGGTTCCTTTAGATCGTAAGAATGCTTCAAGCCTAGGTAGCTCAGACTGGGTCCTTCGAGTGCAGTTCGCGTTATTAGGCCCCTTGTTCAGGCTTAGTGGCTGAGTAGGACACCTTCAACCTTTTGGAGTTTATATAATCCTACCTAGTTTGAAAAGGTTAACTTTTTTTGGGGACCCTAAACCCTAAACCCTAAACCCCTAAACCCTATAGGGTGCTCAGCCCCGTTTTAAGGAGTTTCCGGATTCCAGCCCCGAGCTTCTTCGGCTGATCTGACCAGGGGTCGTCATTTTCAGACCTGCTCTCGTCGTATAGTGGCCTACCTATAGTCTCCATTGTAGTTCCTTTTTTTGGTTAACCAAAATCTCTATTATAGGATCCTAACCATAAAATTGGTTAACCAAAAAAAGGAACTACAATGGAGACTATAGGTAGTATATGGGGCCTAATAAGTAGCAAAACTATGTTGGGGGTTCCATAGTATTATGGATCCCCAAACCCTGTTCTAACTGCTAAGGCACCTATATTCAGCGTGGGTCGTCAGGAACGCAAATATCCTGAAACCGACAGCCTATGAGCCTTGAGATCCTAAATACTCCAACTCAACCCACGGCCCTTCATCTGCCCTCTACTAGACCCTGACTGCCCATTCTTTGGGACCATCAACTTTTCAACTTTTGGGGATCTTATAAGGTAGTCGTTTCTGAAAGTTTCAACTTTTATTTCCTTGGGTTTTGGGCCAGTGAGTATTTGAGGGTAATTACAAGGAGGGTCCCGGCAACCAAGGCGATCTCTACACTGCTGCAGAGGTGGAGATTGTGCAGCCCCTTATTATCAACTTCGCTCTCTCGACAGCATTTCAAGCGGTTTTTTTTGCAATTCCTAGGGTTTAGGGGTTTAGGGTTTAGGGTACCACTTCCCATAATTTTGCATTTGCTTGGCCGGCTCGGGTTTTGCAATTTCTTTCTGGTGGGTTTTACTTATGTTCTTCGACTTGGATTTTGTGAACAGGAGCCGCACTCCAAATATGAGGTAACATCAAGGAAGCCACACAGGTAGGTTTTATGACATTTGGGAGAGCTTGGTGTTTGAGGTTTTGGAGTTGGGCAGGGCAACGACGATGTGACCCGAACCGAAGGGAGGGTATGAGAGTTTCCCCGGGTCGCTAGCCCCGGAGACCGGGGAAATACTCCCCATTGGGCACATTGGAAGATTCGCGGAAAGTCACGCAAGCTGGTCTATTGAAGGGTCCCGATAGGCGAAATGCTTTGCACTAGGCTTTGAAGCAATTAGAGAACCTAAACGCCCTAAACCCTAACTTGTAGTCCCTTTAGGCCTCCCCATTGTAACAGAGTCGGGAGGCTGAACTCATTGTTCCTTCCAACACTTCGTGGTGCTCCCGAAAGTGAATGACAGTGACGAGGGCCATCGAATCCTTTCAGTTACGAAGCCCTACCTAGTAGTAGATTAGGTAACCTTCATATAACCTTTTTTGGGTGGTATAGTCCTTATATAACAAAAAAGGTTAACCCTTAGTTCCCCATGATATCCGACAGGTAGGCCTAAGCTACCATTAAGCCATTCACATGCGCCAAACTGAACCGCAAGGGTCCAAAGCACCCAATAATTAGGTATTCGGTTTAGGGTTTAGGGTTTAGGGTTTAGGATGGTGACTTCAAGAGGCCAGGATGCAAAAAGGGATAGTAGTTATGCAGGTCACTATTTTGGAGAGTATACGATAATATGGTACTTGGACCCTTAGGACAGGGTTAAGAGTCTCTTCCAAGTCACGGGATCGTTGGGATAGGCTAGCGCCCTAGTACAACTAAGGACATCAGCATGGGGCAGTCAGGACAATTTTGGGTGCCCCACCTGATGCAAACCCAAGCTGTGAGTGCCGAAACCCTTTTTGGCCCTAAACCCTGAACCTAGGCGGCAAAGCACTTGTGGACGTGACTATGGCGTTGATTTTAAGACGGCCCTCAGCAATCGAGAATGGCACCCTAATCTTTGAAGAGGGGGCATAAGAAACAAGCCTTGAACCTGAAATGACCCTAACGACGTCTTCAGCCCAAAAGAAACCCCAACGACACCTTTAGCCCAAAAGGAGGCGAAACGAAAACCTAAACCCAAACGACATGAAACCCACAAGAAGCCCCGAAATCCAGCCTAAACCCTAAAAGCCCTAAACCCCTAAACCTCTAAACCCTAAACCCTAACCCCCTAAACCCTAAACTCTAAACCCTAAATCCCTAAACCCTAAATCCTAAATCCCTAAACCCTAACCCCCTAAACCCTAAACTCTAAACCCTAGACCCACAAGACATCTGGAGAGCAGCTGAGGACACCTTGCAGGAATCCTGGGGTCACTTGGCCGTCGGAATTGGGTCTCAAGTGTTTAGGGTTGGGATTTAGGGATTTAGGGTTTAGGGATTTAGGGTTTAGGGTTTAGGGATTTAGGGTTTAGGGTTTAGGGTTTAGGGATTTAGGGATTTAGGGTTTAGGGATTAGGGATTTAGGGTTTAGGGATTTAGGGATTTAGGGTTTAGGGTTTAGGGATTTAGGGTTTAGGGTTTAGGGATTTAGGGTTTAGGGATTTGGGGTAGGGATTTAGGGTTTAGGATTTAGGGTTTAGGGATTTAGGGTTTAGGGATTTAGGGTTTTGGGGGTGTAGGGGTTCGGGGGTCTAGGGGTTCGGGGGTCTACGGGTTAGGGGTTTCAGGGGTTAGGGGGTTTATGGGTCAGGGGTTTTCAGGGGAATTTAGGGTTGAGGGGGTTTAGGGTTTTACTGGTCATGTTTCTTCCCTGGCCGGGATCACCAAAACGTTTTCAGTGTCGTAGGGTCTGGTGAAAGAAGTTTTTTGATGCTCACATGATAGTCCAGGAGGACACTAGCCACCAGTCACTACTCGTAGTAGACAAGACAGGACGTGCTTTGCCCAACAGAGATCCGCGCCTCACTATCCAAATGCATCTAGCCACGCGCTGATTACCGCATGTAGTATAAGATGTTACAAGTATCACAAGACCGGGACCCACCGCCACAGATCACTCGTACAACATTCAATCCAGCACCTGCATGGCCATCACCTGAAACTCAACTCCAGTTTCCTGAAACTACCTAAATATCGAATATATTGCTTCGTAGCCTGTGCACAGAAGAGAACATGTTAGGGCTCTGGTTAGTGTATATAGTGCTCCCAAGTTCCGCTGCGAGTGTGTAGTGAGGTGATGTCGTCAGAAGGGATATGCTAAAAAACCCGAAACCCGCTTTATATCCCTTAACCTTCATCCGAGCCCCCGTGGCGGACAACTGCAACTTCATCACGAAGTGCAACTTTGAAGAGCGACTGCCAGAAGGACCGTTTGCTTCAATGTTGTTTCTGGAGGGCACGCGGTATGTTTAAAAGGGCTTGGAGCATTGAAGAAGCGAGGGAAAGGGGGGGCTCTTGCTGTAACCGGGCTGCTGGACAACGAGGCCTGCTGCAAAAAGGGCTTGGAGCATACGCTAACGACGGCTAATGTCCACTCATTAAGGCCCCTCATTGCATGCATTACCCTTGGGGTTCAGGGCGAGGCATCTCGGTGATTCTTCTTGATTACTTTTGCCCTTCACCATCTCATCGGACTCAGAAATGTTGTAATCCCTCCTTGCTCTTTAGGGTTTGGAATAATCCCAAACCAAACAGCAGAGTTGGTACGGTCTACGCGCCATAGTAGAGTCCCAGCTGCCATATCTTGTTCGACCAAAATACTCATAAATTTCCTTAGACCCTAAACCTTAAACCATCATAACTTTCCCTAAACCCTAACCCATCATACTTTCCCTAAGCGCTAACCCATCATAACTTTCCCTAAACCCCTAAACCCTCATAACTTTCCCTAAACCCCTAAACCCTCATAACTTTCCCTAAACCCCTAAACCCTCATAACTTTCCCTAAACCCCTAAACCCTCATAACTTTCCCTAAACAAAAACCCTCATAACTTTCCCTAAACCCCTAAACCCTCATAGGGGATCGGAAATTGGGACTTGAGGATCCTCCTAGGGCTCCTTTGCAGGGCGCGGGTGAAGGATTTCCTGTCCTGAACGGTTTAGGGTTTTGGGTTTTGGGTTTTGGGTTTAGGGTTTAGGGTTTTGGGTTTTGGGTTTTGGGTTTAGGGCTTTGGGTTTTGGGTTTAGGGTTTTGGGTTTAGGGTTTTGGGTTTAGGGCTTTGGGTTTTGGGTTTAGGGTTTAGGGTTTTGGGTTTAGGGTTTTTGGTTTTGGGTTTTGGGTTTTGGGTTTAGGGTTTAGGGCTTAGGGCTTTGGGTTTTGGGTTTTGGGTTTAGGGTTTAGGGTTTTGGGTTTTGGGTTTAGGGTTTAGGGTGAAACCTTGAAGGGTGTAGGGTTTGGGGTTTTGGGGTTTAGCCGTCAATACTGAACCATCTTCTTCTCAGCTTGTGCTGCAACAACTCCGAACGAGTCTCGCCAAAAGTCCAACACAGAAAAGGGGAACAACAAGAGACACAAATAACGTTATTGCATGATAGATAAGCGCATACGACATACACACACATACACACACACACACACATATATATATATATATATATATATATATATATATTATATATATATATATCCACTCATACATATATACATCTCAGTCTATAGCCGGTTATAGGTATCCTGCCCTCAAGCCGAGCCCCAGAGACCAATATAACATGGCGATGGTCTAAATCTCGAGCTACTAGGAGCTAGAGTAGGCCCTAATTCCCTTCTTTGGGGTTCAGGTTCCCTTAAACGGTGTAGGGTTTAGGGGTTTAGGCTGTAAACAACGAGGCCTGCTGCAAAAAGGGGGCCCTAAACCCTAAACCCACTACTGTAGACGCTTTGAGGACACCCCGCCACTCTCTGGTGGGCGCTGGACGAGGTCGGCAGGTCATTGCTGGGAGAAATATGGGTCGTTCTCTAGATTAGAGTTCCTTTTTAGGGTCCTTTCTTCGGGGTCCCTGGGTCCTTAATATAATACGGCACGTAGTATTTAGGGTACCCAACAAGGGACCATAATTTTGACAACCACCCATATGAGGAAGGCATAGCTTTATGGGACCTAAAGAGGGCCCTACCGTAATTTTGAAAACTACCCGCATGGAAGCTTCAATAATTACCTAAATAATTCGTCCGGGCCGTTCATATTTTTCAGTAAAGTGGACCCCCAAGCCCTATTCCACTGTTCCGGCTATTCTGAGCCGAATGTGTCTAGCTGTCAGAGATCCAACTTTAACTACTTGAATCCTGGCATTCCGAGTTCGATTCGATGTTCAATCCTCAGGAAGTGGACCTCTTCTACATCACCACGTTCCCGATCCTTTTCGAAGTGCTTCGGTGATATGATGAGGGTGCATGTGGCGCGTTTGTTTTTTTGTTGTAGGTCGGCTCAGTTGCGCAACACGACTTGCAAGCACGGCTTAAGCTGACTAGTGTAGGCAGGCGGCATTTGTTGTAAAGTGCGTCAGATGCCGGAGACTGGGTCTCCACGCTTTGGGCAGTAGCTGCGGGGAATTCCCTGCATACTGACTTGGCCAACTGGTTCTCCGTTAAAAGATCCTATGCTATACTCCTCAGGGCTTCGTTTTGGTGCCTAAACCAACCAACCCCTCAACCCCAAAACCTCAAGAGCATACTGTAAGCTTCTAAACCCTAAACCCCTCAACCACAAACCCTTTAGAGCATGCTGTAAACCCCAAGCCTTTCTCTACGCCTCTGAAATCTTTTTGGCTTTAGGGTTCGGGGGTTCCTACCTAGACCCCCAAAGGTACCTAAAACAATGGCCCAAAACCTATACAAGGCTATTATTCCACACGCACTTTTGGTGTCCAGGTAGTACTTTCCTGGATTGCAATACCGACCTGGCTTGCAGTCTTATCCGACATTCAGTGCAGCCCTGCCCTTTGGTCGGTAGTTGTTTTCCGTCTCCTGAACATGAAATCCACAACGCCTGCTTGTGTGTTTCTGGTGTCTGGCGTTTGGGGTCCCCCGTCGAAATGTCACCCACTCAGAACTGCGCCGAAACCTTCCTCACACCTTAAATCACTGATGAACAAGCCCCAATGCCCCAAACTCCAGACCCTACAACTATTAAACTGTACACTTCCCACACGCCCAACACCCGACTGCACCCGCACGAACCACAAGGAACTCCAAGAAAAGAACGAGTTCGGCGAGCCCATTGGCGGATTGGATCCAGATGTGGCGGATGCTTTCTTCTCCAGCATCGGAGCTGCAAACACATCAAAAGACCGCGGTCTAGAAGTCGAACCAGCTTGTGCTTGTACCGTTCATCCCTAAAAAACCTAAAAGACCGTGAAATCCTCGCAAAACCTCCAGCTTTCAGACCCCCCTTAAGCCACAGCACAGGAGTTCTCTGCAAGCAGCCACGGTAAGCAGATCTTTTGTCGTCTTTATGACGGGCCTCTGTGGCAGATGCCGTGTAAATCAAGGTGGGCATGAGAGAGACCAGGGGCTGTAATAAAGCTAAGTGTGGTTGAAATAAATTAATTAGGATTCAGGTTCTTAGGTGTGTAGGCTTCGGGCAGTATCAAGAGGTAGCCTAGAGTAGGCTTTGGCATTCAGGGTTCCGGAATTTGTACTGTATGTTCAGGCTACTGAGGTTCGTGGTTCAAGACCTGAGTCTGGATATTCCTAAACCCTAAACTTTGTTGAGCTTCTAGTTTTATGGTTTGGCTTCTCGAGTCCCTGCGCTTGAGAAGCGAATGCGAAAGCGGAAAGACATGAATGGGTAGTTGTCAAGATTAGGGTCCCTTTGTGGGTGCCCTAAATAGTAGGTGCCGTATTGTATTAGGGACCTCAAACAGGGGCCCCTTAGCCTATAATGGGCTATATAATGGGCATATAATAGCTATACTAAGGGTATATTACCTAATTAGGGGTCCTTGTTAAGGGTCCTTCCTTCTCCCCTTTGACCAAAAGAGGCCATAATTTTGACAACCACTCGACTGGCTGAGTAGCGACCGGTTGCCAGCAAGGTCTCCTCGCATGGGTTTCGCAGGGGACGTTAGGGTTTAGGGGTTTGGGGTTTAGGGGTTTAGGGGTTAGGTGTTTAGAGTTTAGGGGTTAGGGGTTTAGAGTTCAGGGGTTTAGGGGTTTAGGGGTTTTGGGGTTTAGGGTTTAGGGGTTTAGGAGTTAGGGGTTTAGGGTTTAGGGGTTTAGGGTTTAGGGGTTTAGGGTTTAGGTTCACGTTTCGAATGCCTGGGAGAGAGAGAGAGAGAGAGAGAGAGAGAGAGAGAGAGGGTTTAGGTTCAACCTTAAACCCTAAGTCGATTCCCGCAGTTCCATGAGTGCAGACGCGAGTGTATCCCTCTGAGGCATGGAAGGCACAGAGGCGCTCACAGCTGTGCCTCCGAAGCATAGACTAGGTAGGGCTTTGAGACATTTTAAATTTTCCCTTATTGGGCTTAAGAGGATCTTATTTACTAACATTGAAGTGCGACTTGTTTCAGCTGGGCGGGTGGCAAGAATATTTTTCAATTGCTTTAAACGCCCCACCTAGTAGATTTGGCCCCTTCATAGCTGCAGCCGGGAGCCCCAAACCCCAAAACCCCTAAGCCCCAAGCCCGAAACCCTAACCCCCTTGACCCTAAAACACCTAAACCCTAAAACCCCTAAACCCCTAAACCCCAAACCCCTAAACCCCAAACCCTAAAACCCCAAACCCCACAACCCGAAACCCCTGAACCCTAAACCCCGAACCTTTGGCCCGGTAATTGGGGTTTGGGGCCCTCAAGGTGGGTGGTTGTCAAAATTGTGTCCCTTTTTGGGTCCCTTTCATAATCCGGCACCTAATATTTAGGGTACCCAAAATTGGACCATAGGGGCCCAAAAAAGGAACCTAAATTTTGACAACCACCCGTGTGTCTGTGTCTGTGTGTGTGTGTGTGTGTTTGTGGGTGGGGTTCTTGGTTGTTCATGGCACTGCAAGGGTGCAGTGAGCAGCGAACACCCAAGGGGTCCAAAACACCTGGATGGGATACTTATACCCACCCATGATTGCCCAGAGTAATTATATATGTATATATATATATATATATATGACTAGAAAAAGCCTACTTTATGCCACATGTAGGTGCTTATAGGTCTCTTTGGGAGGCGATTTCTATCTACCGCGGTATGCGTTAGGCATGGCCCCGAACAAGGGAAACTCAATCTTGAGGGCTGATGACCCCACCACCCTAAACCCTAAACCCTAAACACCCATTGTCTGCCACCCATCCCACAATTTGCTAGCCTGCTGTTTTCATTTCGGTCCCAGGAGTGCTGGAAGTGACATCCAGTTAATATATAGGGGCCTACTATAATAATTACCTATACTATTGCGGAGCTCCTTATTACTGTTATAGTAGAATGGGCCCCAAAACCCTTTAAGGCCCCTACATGATATAGTACCCTTATAGATCCTTTTATAGATCCCCTTTAAAGGATCCTTATTCTAATTATTAAGTTAGAGATGAGACTGGGCCGGAGGCTTTGGGGGTCTAGGCCCAAGGCTGCCAAATCCTTTGCTCAGGCCATCCTACCCGAAGTCTACTTAGGGGTACTTAGATTTTTTCATTTTTGGTTATTATACTCCCTAAGAAACAGCTAGAATTATAATTGTTGCTAGGGTTCTAAGTTCAGTATAGCGTCTATCATAGCCAAGAGAATCCCTGAACCAGACCAGATGATGTAACCCGAAGTCTATCATAACTAAGAGGATCCCTGAGGAAGGAACCAGGCCATGTGAAATATTAGCGGGGTTGATTCGTCGATGCATCGCAAGCGTTAGGCTTAGCTGCGCAGCAAGTAGCTTCATACTTCCGGACGGAACTCTGTGCCCGTCCGGCAGCCTGCTTTGTTTTGTAGTTCCTGCTACGGGTTTTCGAGAATTCTTTTTTCGCTCCCTAGATGTTGGCGCTCTCCCATTTCTTCAGTAACCCCTTCGGGGCGGAGACAAAGCAGGTGCCCATCCGCTTGTCTGGGGATGCCCTTTTGTCTCTCCTCTCCTCCCTCCCTCCCTCCCCCCCTCGCTCTCTCTTTTTTTTTTCTCTCTCTCTCTCTGTCTCTCTTTCTCGCTCGACTAAATGGAGCTCGAAAAAGGCCTTAACCGCCTTAACCTGGAATTCCCAAGCCCTAAGCCTTAAATCCTCAGAATCCCTAAGCCCCCAGGATCCCTGAACCATGGGCTTATCCCAGGTTAGCTTCGAGACTGCAGACAGGAGCCTGGACCACATCGGCACGGGGAAGGGGGGACGTCCGCGCACAGCGCAGTACCATGAACTAGTTGTAGCCTTAGTATTAGTTAGTGTTGGCATTAGTACATTCCATTAGTATGTGTTATTGTTGTTGCTGCTATTTCATTATCAGTAGTTGTTGTCTTAGCATGAGCTGTAGCAGGAGTAGTAGTAGTAGTAGTAGTAGTAGTAGTAGTAGTAGTAGTAGTAGTAGTAGTAGTAGTAGTAGTAGTAGTAGTAGTAGTAGTCGTAGTAGTAGTAGTAGTAGTAGTAGAAGTAGTAGTACTAGTAGTAGTAGTAGTAGTAGTAGTAGTAGTAGTAGTAGTAGTCGTAAAATACGAAGTCGTAGAAGTAGTAGTAGATGTAGAAGCAGTAGTCGTAGTCGTAGTCGTAGTCGTAGTCGTAGTCGTCGTCGTCGTCGTAGTGGTAGTGGTAGTGGTAGTGGTAGTGGTATTGGTGGTGGTAGTCGTAGTGGTAGTGGTAGTGGTAGTGGTAGTGGTAGTAGTAGTGGTAGTGGTAGTGGTAGTGGTAGTGGTAGTGGTAGTGGTAGTGGTAGTGGTAGTGGTAGTGGTAGTGGTAGTGGTAGTGGTAGTGGTAGTGGTAGTGGTAGGGGTAGTGGTAGTGGTAGTGGTAGTGGTAGTGGTAGTAGGAGTAGGAGTAGGAGTAGGCGAGGAGTAGGAGTAGGAGTAGGAGTAGGAGTAGTAGAGTAGCGAGTAGTAGTAGTAGTAGTACCAGTAGCAGAGCAGTAGCACTACTACTACTACTACCTATACTACTACTACTACGACTACTACTACTACTACTACTACTACTACGACTACTACTTACTACTACCACTACCACTACCACTACACTACCACTACCACTACACTACCACTACCACTACCACTACCACTACCACTACTACTACTACTACTACTACTTCCGCTGCTACTTCTACTACTACTACTACTACTACTACTACTACTACTACTGTTACTGCTACTGCTACTGCTACTGCTATTGCTGCTACTGCTACTGCTGCTGCGACTGCGACTGCTACTGCTACTGCTACTGCGACGACTACCGCTGCTAACTACTACTACTACTACTACTACTACTACGACTACTACTACGACTACGACTACTACTACTACTACGACTACTACTACTACTACTACTACTACGACTACGACTACGACTACGACTACGACTACTACTACTACTACTACTACTACTACTACTACTACTACTACTACTACTACTACTTCCACTACCGCTACTGCTACTGCTGTTTGTGTCAGGTGCTATCCTG